AAAACCATTACCTTAGAAGTCGAATCATCCGATACTATTGACAATGTTAAATCTAAAATCCAAGACAAAGAAGGTATCCCACCAGATCAACAAAGATTAATCTTTGCTGGTAAACAATTAGAAGATGGTAGAACTTTAGCTGATTACAATATCCAAAAAGAATCTACTCTTCACTTGGTTTTAAGATTAAGAGGTGGTAATTAAATGGTGTATCCATTTGAGATTATATAGTAATATATTACTTCTATCTTATTTCATCAACTCTGCTTTAATAATTGAAGAATCCGAACTGAAATTTTGTAACTTTGTTTCTATCTCTTTGACTATCTCTAAATAATGGAAGTTCTCAAGATATTTGATGAACAACTTGGAGTTTCTGATGAATCTTACCTTAACATTTTCGATATTATTGAAATTGGAACAAACTTCATGTAACTTTAACCAAAGTTTGAATAAGTTATCGATTTGGAATTCAACTTGATCCAATTCCTCAATAACCCTTTGGAAACAATCATTACCATTAACTTTTGATCTCCAAGTTATTTCGAATGTCTTATCTTCATCATTTAATAACTTTATCATGGATTCGACCATGACTTTAAAGAGTTCTTCATTCAATTGATCTTTACTAAATGTTTCAAATAAATTTGTCATATAGACCAATTTCTCTTCTTCGATTTGGTTATTATTAACTCTTTTATTGATCCGCTTAGAATTATCATCATCAACGTCCATTTCATCGTCACTATCGTTATAATTTCCACTGATAATCAGTGACATGATTTCCAAATAAGTATCGATCATTTCCTCATTGGGGAAATTGTATAAGTATTTACCCATGATCTTTATGGAATGTTTCTGATACTCTTTATTTCTTCTTTTACCTTCAACTAAGACGACTTTATCAATTGTCTCTTTGTAATTTCCAACTTTAGATTTCAATTTGATGGAAAAATTCACTAAAGCTTCAAAGATCAATTCTTTACCTGACCAACTCTTACCTTTACAACTACTGATTAAAATTTCAAACATTTGATTAATAATTGTATCAGAAATGTTGTTAAAATCATTGATTTCATTGGTAATTTTAACTATTGATTTGGCTAAAATTTGTCTTATATGATAATTGGGTGAAGTTATATACTTGGACATTAATTCGATGATTTCACTTAAATATAGTTTTATGACATTACTTCCTGAAGTATTTTCAATCCATTCTCTTTCGAAAAATCCTGAAACATCTTTATTAATATCATTCAAACCTATGAAACAAATTGGTAAGAATAAACTTGATACTTTTTCAAATTTCTCTTTTGAATATTTAGCAAAGTTTTCATTGGCAATACTTGAAATTAATCTATTTCTATCATCCTCTGATTCAAAATAAAGTTTACTTAACATCTCCCCATATTTGATTATCAAATCAAGATTGGCTAGTCTACTTAAATATCCAACTGATATGGAATATGATGCTGAAATGGTATCATTCTTATCTTTGATTTGATTCATAGCTAACTTCATCAACTTATCACCATAAGGTTTAATTAATTCGTATTTCTTAGTCACTAAACTTACCAAAACTTTACTTCCGCAAACTTTTGAAGGTAATCCAATGGATTTCTTGATGGAATTGATGATTGATTCGATTCCTGGTTCGATTGTATCGAAATCTAATAAGTCAATTAACTTATCAATAGCTTCCATCATAGGAGAATTACCTAAACTTTGTAATCTTTTAGCATCTATTTCATTACCTGTGACATTATACTTGTCAGCATTCAAGACAAGATAATTAACAATCTCGGGTTCCAAGTTGGACATCAACAAAATGAAATTTTCAAGTAATAAAGGAATGAATTTCGTAATGGATTTGTTATCACTCTTGATCAACTTTAATAAAGTATCTAAAGCGAAATTTCTGATATCATCAGCATCACTCAATAAACCTTTATTACCCAATAAAAATGGAATCAAACGTTTCAAACCTTCATCTTTGGATGATTTAGTTAAGATATTGGCTAGTAATTTGGTTAATTTTGAACCTTCCTTTCTAACACTTTCTTTGATATCATCCATAACTCTGAAACTCATGTTCCAAATTTCTTCTAATTTATCCTGATAAACTTTGAATTCCACCACATTCAATAAATCATTCATAGCTGTGGTACTGGCTTGTCTAACTCTCCATTCTTTGTTTCCCATTCCTTTCAATAATTCCTGTAAAATATTGGAGAAATTCTCTTGAATGGTTTTAGAACTATCTTCGATTAATACATTCCAGATTTCGTTCATGGATGTCGACACTGATGTACTTGGGTCATATCTATACCTGTATAATTTAGGGATCAATCGGTCAGCCAATTTCTTGTTGTTAGTTAACATATCGTCGAGACTGGTTTTCGATAAGATAGATCCTAAACCAAAAGCCATCCCTTTTCTTGATGACCATAAAGCTGAAGATTTCGCTAATGACATGAATTTATAAACCAAACTTGGATCTCCTACATCAGCAGCTAAATTTAAAACATCTCTGTAGGTCGAAACTGATCCATCATTGGTTTTCAAAATATCTTTATCAAATAATTCAGTATCTTCTTCAACTGTTCCACTAATCAATCCACTAGTTGTATTGGTATCAGTAAACGACTTCAATAATCCTTTGACTAAAGTGTCTTTCAATTCTACGTCACCTAATTCATAGACTAAACTTAATCCTCTGGAAGCTGCTTCTTGAACCAATTCATCTCTATCAGCTAAGAATTTCATAAACGTTAAATGAATCTTAGAAGCTTGAGTCTTAATGATTGGAGACAGTTTACAAAATTCAACAATCGAAAGTAACCAAATACATCCTGCCCTTCTCAACGATGGTTTAGTATTAGCACACCAAATCAAGATTTGATCTAAGATGAACTCTAATCTTCCAGTATTGTAAGGTATATACTTAATCTCTTCATCTTGTATATCAATAGATCTTTGTAACACTTTTGATTCCCATCCCATAGCAACAATCAGCCATGCTTCACCACTAGTGAATAGATATTCTGTTTGTTTAGAAACATGAGTTTCATAGATCATTTGTTCAAGGTCGGTCATCTTGTCTTCATGAGCAGGTTCTTGAGTCAAATTAAGATATGATAATGTAAGAACTGTTCTTTCATCACACTTTTTCACTTTAGGTTTGATGATCTCCAAAATCTGATTGATATAATCATCAGATTTGAATGTCAATTGGGGTCCTAAAACCCCATATTTGGCTAATTCTCCAATACTTTCCAATGCCACATAAAAAGCACTTGAATCCTTCAAACTGACAACCAATTTTTCAAGGTATTTACTAAATAGTTCAGGTTCAATGACATCAATTCTTTGTCTATAGGTTAAACGAGAATAAAGATATCCACATACTAACGTATTGGCTTTAGCTTTATGAGGTGGTAAGTCTGATTGGATTAATTTTTGTAATAATTGATTCAACTTTCCATTATCATTCACAGGATGACTGGCAATAATGGCTATTATTTGTGAAATTTGTGATACACTTATATCACCCCAAACTCTATCATTTAAAAGTCTCAACAAAGGATCAACTAAATCAGATAATCCACCGACGATACTTGATGAAGCTAAAGATATTAATCTACTGAATGTTGATTCGAAAGTGGTATCTGGATGTTCGTATTGGCCATTTAAAGCGTCAAAGATTATAAACAATAAACTCTTGAATGGGTCTTGATGTCCATCCATATCGATATCGTCTTCATGAACTTTCTTGATTTCGATTTTCAAGAGATCTCTGACTTTGGTATCAACTTCAACAGCTTTATCCAATCTCGTTTCCCATTCCTCATCAGCGATAACTACGGTCTTTTCTTCTTCAATGGATTGCATAACCAAAGTTTGAATACAAAATTTGATAGCTTGACTCAAAGATTTGTAGATCATCGCATCTTTGTTCAGGTCTTCGATTCTGTTGTTCACCAAAGTAACTATTTCTTTAAAGCTAGGGAACTGAACTAAATTTCCTTTACCTAATAATTCAGGTGTGGACTTAAACTCCAAAGTATTAGAGGATTGGTTGATATTAAACCAATGTGGATGCAATCCTTTGACTGCTTCCTCGATGGTTTCGGGTCTATTAACTTTGGAAGTTCCAAGAATGTTCAAGTATCTTGACTCACTATCATTAAATGGAAATGTACAATTGATGAATTTTAAAATTATAAAGCGGCAAGCATGGATATTGAGCTTTGAATCTTCATTGTTCAAATAATTGTTGGCCAATGTCTTCAACCTTGATTTACATTCGGGAGATAATCTGGGTAAAAATACGGTCAAACTTGATAAACCTTCTTGAATGGTTGATCTCAAATCAACAGATTCTCCCTCTAAAGAATCCAACAAAAATTCAATATATGTAAAATCATTTAAAAACAAGTCAGGACTAGTTTTCAATATATTTGTTAATGCTTCATACTGGGAAGACCTTTGTGTCATATTGGTAGCATAAGACTTCCCGTTGGATAAGTTAAGTTGGGGCCATCCTTCGTTCATAATGTTTTCTTTCAATTTAAGTGCCATTACCGAATTAAACTCCACCATTGATTCTTTGAAATCATTAGAGTCTTGATTGTTTATACTAACCCATTTAACAAATTGTATGGTAGCTTGTTTCAATTTACTATTATCTGAACTTAAACCTAAGTTGGTAATCTTGGAAATATATATGTTCTTGGTAGCTATCACGCTTTTATTCAATTGATTTATTATCCTTTCTTGTAAAACTGAATTCACAGGTGGGGTTTTGTCATCACCAGTGAATAAAGAGATCAAAGATTCAACGAAATGTTCATCTTCCAAATTGACGTTCAATTTACGGTATAATACTTCTGACCCATCGGCTATAGCTGAAGAAGGATCACTGGATGCAACAAGTAAAGGTATTCTTAAGTTTTCATTGGTGAAACCTACCTTCAAGAACTCCAACAAATTCTTTTTCACTTTGAAAATATCTTGGGGTGTTTTAAAAGAAACTCCAGCGTCTCTAGTTAAAAATGAGGCATCCTCAATACTTAACCCTGGTGATTGAACAACTGCAGGATTTGGATTAGGCAAAAGCATAAGGAATTTCGATACTTTCTCACATAAGAACTTTTCATCTTCAATATGATTCTTAAAATCCAAATCTTCAATCAATTGATTATAACCTGGAGTATCTACTTCAGGTGATTTCCAATCAATTATCAGTTTACAAAAAATATTGAATAATCTAGCACTAACATTCAGTTGAAAATTACTTATTCCTTTAATAACCTTAGGAAAGAAGCCTCTTCTTTCTTGATTATTCATTCTTTCCACTGCTTTAGATATGAATAAAAGTAAATATAATCTTACAGTGGAAGCATCTGCACCTTGAGGAATTGATGGTTTCTTCACCTGTTCTAACAATGCATCAGCAGGTAACTTTATATCTCTTGCAGCTCCCAATCTAGTCATAACATTTTGTATTATCTTAAAAACTGCTTGTCTAACTGAACTGTGAGAACTACTGAGTTTCAAAATAACTGGACCTAAATACAATTTTAAAGAATTTTCCAATTGAGCATCAGTATTTGCCAATGCAATTCTTAATTCCACCTTATTAACAAGGTCAAGTTCAGTACTTTCCATGTTATTGTACTGTTGTCTTAATCTTTTAACTAGTAGTGGCAAAAAGATTAGATCGCGAAATTTTAGTTGCAAAAAAAAAAAAGGTTCATGCCAAATATTTATTTATGTACTTCTATATTCCCTTAAAATTACAGGAACTGATGAAGGTGGAAGGCCTCCAAGTTCAGTGATAACTTTCTTTATATACTCTGGTGGGGTTAAATCATACATTATGTTAAGGATATTCAAATTTGGAATATCTTTCCAATTACTTAATGGTGCTTTATCTTTATCGTCTTCATCTTTCTTTGATTTATTCTTATTATTAACATTATTTTTACCTTTAGGAGATTTTTCTTCATTTTTCTTTTCGTGTTCTATTTGTTTTATGAATTGTTCTAAAGCAAAAGCTTTCTTTTTAGGTGGTTGTTTGGAATTGATATTAGAAACTAAATCTTCAGGATCTGCTAGTTCATTATTGGTGACGGAATCTAATTGAACTTTATCGGAGAATTTAACTGATTCACAGCATGTTAAAACCGGAATATTTCTGGCATGACACATCATGGCAATTAATCCTGTTCCCACTCTTGAATAAAGACGACCATTGGATAACATGGCATGAGCTCCTAAGAAAACACAATCGACGTCTTCTAAAATAGTGGAACTTAAAGAATTTATCAAAACATAATGAATCTTTATATGATCTTGAGTAATTGGTTTGGATTTGGGTCCACGACTACTAACAGAACTAGTTTCCGAAGCAAGATCATCAACATTAGGTGAAGTTTCGGTTTCAATCAAATTGTTGAATAAGGTTTTACCTTCAAATAAAGGTCTGGAATCAACTATAATCAAATTAAAATGTTTATCTTGTTCTAAAGCACAATATTTGAACAAATTCTCTAAAACTTGAGAATGTCCAAAAGTTAAAATTGTTGATCCATTATTAATATGTTTGGAAGCTGTTTCAATAATAACTCTATCGGATAAATCAATTTTTTCTCTGATAAAATCATCAATCTTTTCACACAATATTTGTTTAGCTTCAATATCACTTAAATCAAGTGATATATGACTAATTTCTTGTTTTAACCATCTAATGGCATTACCCATTGAAACTGAAAGTGGTCTAGCACTTTTCAAATATTCAATTTGATGAGATAAATGTCCTGTTAAATGTCTTTGTAATGTTGTATTACTTGGAGTAATATAACCTTCAATAATAATCTTGAATACTTCCAACATACTTCTTAATCTTGGTATTGATCCAACAATCTTATAACTGGAGATTTTAAGAGCCAATGATAAAATGGCTGGATGGACAATATGTGAAATTGAAGGAGATGCTGCATTTCTTTGTTCTCTAGTCTCTAAATGACTGAATAATGTGGGCACTTTCTTCTTACTATCATCTTTAATAACAGTTTGAATTAATTGTTTCTTTAAATTGGAATTGGTGGTTTGTTGTTGTTTTTTCTCTCTTTTCTGTTCAGCTAGTTTCTCTTGTTGTTCTGGACTGATACCATTAGCTTCTTTTTGAGCTGCTCTTTTAGCTGCTTTCTCTTTCTTCTTTAACTCTTTTAATTCTTTATTAGAGAGTTTCTTTTCTTCTGAAGTTTCTACACTTTTGCTTGGGGTTTTATCCTTAGCATCTGGTTTGACAGACAGGTCTGTTGATTTACTTTCAACAGGTTTACCTTCAACAGGCTTTTCACTCATAGTTTGATCCTTTCTTTAATTCTCATAAATTTTTCAATCAATCTCAAATCGATGCGTCAAAAAGTAGTGCCTTAAGCAAATTTAGTATATACCATTTTTTTTTTATTGTTTCATTTTATTTATACAAACTATATAAACTACGTACTTTCTTGAAGTTCACCAAAATCTCCTCTCTTTTTGGTAGTATCATATAATCTAATAATTTTCTCTTGATTTTGATCATCGACTTGAGAAAATGCAAATCCTCTCTGTTTCTTGATTCTTTGAACTTGTCTGACTTTTCTGATAGCTTTTTGGAATTGTTCCATTCTTGGCCTATAATCTTGAATATTATATTTTTGCATTTCTTGAACATGATGATACATTTCAGGATTAGTTCTTCTTTTATAGAACTTCCATGCAAAATCACGTAAAAGACATAAAGTTGAGATTCCCAATACAGTGGCCCAAAATGTTAATGAAGGATAAGATGCAGCTAACACCCCTCTATATTCTTGTGAAGTATTGGCAGCAGGTCCAATTATTGAATAAACAGGGAAAAATGCTAACCAGAATAAGAACGATCCTGGAATAGCTACTAATGTGAATTTTGTCCACATAGTGACAACTAATGCGGCTTTTCCTAATGCCGTCAAAACTGCAGTGGTGAAAACCGTTGTTCCCCAAGACCAATTATTAGCTAATAATCCATTTGACAATACATCTCCATCCTTATAGATGAAGAAACTACAAAGGAATATAACTGCTGAATGATAAAATCCATTAACGATCCAGCCCCAAAATACTGTCACATTGAAGAATCTTCTACTTTGACCTAATTTGTATAATTGGGGATATCTGTCTAATAATCTGGCACTAACGAATTGATCGAAAATCCCCAAGACAAATGGTGGGAAAACAGTGAAGAATACGTTATAAAAAGTTAAAGTCCAAGATTCAATAAGTGATTGACCTGAAAAAGCATTGGTGAATACGAACCAAAATTGAACCATATATAAACACATATTCTTGTAGAAAGAATATAAGATAGCATTGGAGATTCTTTGATAACTCCAAGAACCATGGACCAATAATAATTTTCTTAAATATTTGAATTGACCAATAGAAATATCAGCACTTCTAGCTGCTTGCATACCTTCCATACCACTAATACCCACACCTACATGAGCTGCTTGAATCATGGAAACGTCATTGGCTCCATCTCCAACAGCTAATAACAATGAACCTTTCTTTTTACGTTTTACCATCTTTACTACCAAAGCTTTCTGTAAAGGTGAAACTCTACAACAAACCACAGCTTTACAACGTGATGCTAATTCAATAAACATATCTTCCAAATCAGCTTCTAAAGCGAATTTCAACGAATGACCATCGATGATAAGAGCCAACGATGAATCAAAGACATCCTCTTCTTCACCCTCAACATTATGTTGCATTATAGCATCTAACTTTTCTTGTAAATTCAATCTGGTTTCTTGTTTGGTGTCCTCATTAATGATCAACAAATTCATTTCTTCACTCAATAACTTACATGACATACCGATATTTATAGCAGTTTCTTGTCTATCACCGGTCAAAACCCAAATCTTAATGCCAGCGGTTTGTAAAGTTTGGATGGTGTCGGGTACACCATCTTGTAATTTATCTTCAATTGCAGTTGCACCCAATAAGAATAAGTCACCTTCAATAAGATCAGCCACTTCATCTAACTTACCAGCTCTGTCATCCATTGAGGTTGAGGCTTCGTAATATTTAGTTGACCATGATTGGTATTCTTCTTCACTAATAAGTTTAGATGCAATACATAAAGTTCTTAACCCTTCGGCTGCAAATTCTTCCAAATGACGTAAAGTAGCATTAACAAATGGTTGCTCTTCCATTTCAGTTAATCTTTCAAGTATAACCGTATCGGCACCTTTACAGAATAATCTAATAGCTCCATCAGGACATCTAAAGATAGCTGACATTCTCTTTCTGGTAGAATTAAATTCACAAATATTTAATAATTCATATTCTGAATTGACTCCAGTCAAGACGTTTTCAATGGTGATAGACTTTGGTTTTCTAATAATGAATTTGTAACCCAAACGAGCAGCTCCTTCAACTAAAGCTCCTTCATCAGGAGAAGCCGCTTGATATTTGATTTCGCCGGTGGTTTCATTGACTTCAGGAATTACCGTATGACAAGCACTAAGTAAAGTTAAGAACTCATTGATAATGGCAGATTGTTGACTTGAAGTATCGTGTAAATGCAGTTTCAACTCATCGAAAGTATGGTAACCGATTTCAATACCATCAATCATTTGAACATGACCATCTTCAGGAATATCTTCAATATAACATTTACCCCCAATTGAACAAGTTTTGAATTCCATGACGTTTCTAGTTAAAGTACCAGTTTTATCACTAAAGATATAGTCAATTTGTCCCAATTCCTCAACTAAGGATGAAGTTCTAACACCGGTTGGAGTATCTGATTCCTCGTCGTACATATCCAAATCACTTCCAATCATATAAGCTTGATAATATTTAATGATTTCAACAGTAACGAATAAAGAAATGGGGACCAAGTTGGAGAACAAAATCCAATAAGTTAAAAGATCTTTGAAGAATAATGATGCAATGTTTGTACCTTCAATATAAAGATAACCCAAAGAATCTTTACTTGCTTGAGTTTTGATCACATTACCGATGGATGAGATTAATGATAAAACAATTAAAAGACAAAACAATACGATGATTTGAATATTGATAATTCTTTCAACATCAGTTCTTTTGATAGGTGTGGCGGTGGCATTTCTCATTAACTTGGTTTCATGACCAGTAAACACCACAACCCCATGAATCCATTGAGTATTTCTTAAAGTAGCACCTCTTAATAACAATTGTTCTGGAGTCATTGGAATTTCTCCAGTAGAACCGAATCCTTTAAGATTACCTTCATAGGTATATAAAGAAGAATTCGGTTGTTCAGATAAGATTTCTGTGTTGGTCATATCACTAAGTAAAAATCTTGGATTAACTAAATAAGAAGTTTCTGATTTAGCTTGTTTGATCTTTAAATTGGTTTCACCATCCAAATTGGCAGTTTCGATATAACATAATCCTTCAGGTTCAGAAGAACTTAATAATAATAAATCAGCTGGGAAAGGTTCTTCGTTGAATACTTTGATTACATCACCAGCTTGAACTTTAATCCATTTTTTATGAACAAATTCCCCTGATACCGGGTCCAATACTTCAACTTTGGTATTATTCAATTCATTATCAGCTCTATACCTTTTAAGATCCTCCATAACTTCTTTGATGGCTGATACTAATAACACCACTAACAAAGTACCAATGGTTGTATATCTATTAGTAGGGGAAACATTTGGAACTTGTTGAATGATGGATGTGAATAAAAAGAACAAGTTAGCATACTTACTGAATTGTTCAAATAAGAATTTAGGTATGAAGGTAGCTACATTATATTTGGTGGTGGAAATATAGTTACCAAAATAACCAAACGATGCATTTTTAGAATGGTTCATAACATAGATTTGTCTAGGACCTTTATGTTGATTTTCATCAGCATTTTTGAAAGAATTCCCACTCACAGTGTTTTTCACTCTCCTGAAAATCCTACGTATATCAAAGTCAGAACGTCCTTGAGTTTCAGTTATGTTTCTACCTGGAGCTTCACTATCATCAAAAGGATTTTGCATCTCCATATATTCATTATTATTATTATTGAATCGACTGAAAAATCCATTTTGTGTATTACTGTTACCATTTTGATTAGCATTGTTAGTTTGGGGGTTTCTATTATTCAATAATCCATCATTACGTTGAGTGGAATAATGATCATCATCATCGTCATCACCACCTATCTCGAATTGATCCTGAAATGGATCATAAGCTCGAGATGTTGAGCTCGTCGGTATGTTATCATAAGGGTTGGATTGACCACCTCCATTGAATTCCATATCTATTAAGTTATTCACATCCTCGAAAGGATTATTGTGGTCTTTCTTGTTATTAGGTGAATACATAATCTATTTATAACTTTTGAACAATTTGGATGAACTCACCTATTTGAATCAATTGACTATCAAATCTCCTAAGCCTATTTGTTTATTCAATTCTCACTTACGATGGAGTTTCTATTGATACAAAAAATTGTAAGTAAACTGTTATGTCTTACCGAGCCTTGTAGATCAAATATGATCAAAATAAATTTGTTAAGACATAGGCGCGGGATTGAATTTTTCAGACATTTCATCTGACTCACAATAGACAAAGAGTAGTATTTGAATACCTATGGCAGAAATTATAGCTAAGGAAGCCAACAGTGCATTTTCTGTATTGAAAACATTAAGTGACGATGAAAGATCGGGAGCTTTACACCAAATATATCAAGGTTTAAAGGATAAGAAAGATGAGATCTTAAAATTTAATAAGATAGATTTGGATAATGCTAGTAAAAATAACTTATCATCAAGTTTAATCAAGAGATTAGATTTAAGTACGGGTGGTAAATTCGATAGTATGTTAGAAGGAATCTTAGATGTAGCTAAATTACCTGATCCTATTGGTAAATGTACCTTAGCTAAGAAATTAGATGAAGGTTTAAACTTATATAGAGTAACTGCACCTATTGGAGTTTTATTGATTATTTTTGAAAGTAGACCTGAGGTTATTGCCAATATTACAGCCCTTGCTATCAAATCAGGGAATTCTGCTATATTAAAAGGTGGTAAAGAATCATATCAAACTTTTAAGATTATGAGTGATATAGTGAATGAAGTATTAAATGATAAAACTAAAGTTCCAAAAGATGCTATCAAATTGATTGAAAGTAGAGAGGAAGTTGGTGATTTATTATCTCAAGATAAATATATTGATTTAGTTATTCCAAGAGGTTCAAATCAATTAGTTCGTAATATTAAAGAAAACACAAAGATTCCTGTTTTAGGACATGCTGATGGTATTTGTTCAATATTTGTTGATGAATCCGCTGATATTGAAAAATCAGTTAAAGTTATAGTTGATTCCAAGACTAATTATCCTGCTGGATGTAATGCTGTTGAACAATTATTAATTCATGAAAAGGTGGCCAATGATGATGCTAAATTACAGAAAATCTATCAAGGATTGAAGAATGCTGGTGTCACTATGCATGCCACTTCAGAAATCAAAGGTTTATTACCAAATGAATCAGTAGTTGATGCTGATGATAAATGTTTCGATACTGAATATTTATCATTAGATATAACCGTTGCCACTATAAAATCTTTAGGGGATGCTATTACTCATATAAATAGTCATTCTTCCAAACATACTGATTGTATTATGACGGAATCTAAAGAAAATGCCGATAAATTCTTGAAAGGTATTGATTCTGCTGGTATTTATTGGAATTGTTCAACTAGATTCGCTGATGGTTTTAGATATGGATTTGGAACTGAAGTCGGTATCAGTACTAATAAAATTCATGCCAGAGGACCTGTCGGATTAGAAGGTTTGATGAGTTATCAATATCAATTACGTGGAGATGGTCATATTGCAAGCCAATATAAAGGAGCTGGTGGTGATAAAGTATTTGTTCACGAAGATTTAGATATGAACGTTAAACTTTAAAGATTTAATATATACATAGGGAAAGTTTGAGTTCCAAGTTGAATTATATCAACAATCTCTTGAATTCTTCAATCTCTTCTGGTGGATACTCTGGATACTTATTTACAATATTAAGAACATTTTCATCATTGATGTCCATTTCACTCCATGCTTTTGTATCAAAAAAATCAGTTAATTTCTTAATCCATTGCATTCTAAGATCAATAGTATTGACATCATTTTCAGGTAATTTCAATTTACGTAAATTGAATCTGACGAGGTTCAAGTTTTCAATGGCCTTATTCAAATCTATATCATCGATTTGTTTTTTAATGATATCTTTAATGATTTTCAGTAATCTAGGTGACTTACCATTAGTTGATATCATGATTTGTAAATTGTCTTTATTGATCATAGCACCAAAATAAAAATCACATAATTCTGGTTTATCAGCGATATTAGCATTTATTCCGAGTAATTTACATTGAAAGTAGATTTTGGCAGATAAGATATGATCATCAATACAACAACAGACTACTTCAAATCGATTATTATGAAGATATTCATTGATTTTAGTGAAATCTTCTTCAGTTACTTTATCAAACTCAATGTCAATACCTTCATTTTCATACATTTTCAAATCACTAGGTTGATAATTTCTTTCAATCAACTTATGAATAGCTCCTTGTTCATTTAATTTCAAGATTTGTGGATGGACTTTAGTTTCACCAGTAATTACAGTGATTTTAGCTTGAGCTACAATCATATGTTCGATTCTACTTAACGCTACATCTCCACTTCCTATGACCAAGCAATGTTTATCTCTTACTTGCCATGCTAATAACAACGACCCTCTTTTCTCATTAGGATCACTATTCATGGTGGTTGCAAGGTTTTTAGAAAGTCGCACAGGGAAATCTGGATTACAAAACGTTGAAACGTATATTCGATTACGAGACCCAATTGATCTTTTGTTATTGTTCCTGAATCAACGAGGAAACCATTGTATAAGTGATAATTCAATAGAAATATAGTTAAGGTTTTACTTGGAATCAAGAAGTCTTTATAATGTCAAGTTTCCATAGAGCTGAAAGACGTAAATCAGTGGCTGAAAGAAGTCCAAGTGTTTCCTATGCTCCCGATACAATTCCACAATTAGCAGGTTTAGAAAAACCTCAAGAACATAATTTACATATTGGTGAATGTGATGTTTTAGTTATGGGGACAGGATTAGTTGAAAGTGTTGTGGCGGCAGCATTATCATGGCAAGGAGTCGATGTTTTACATATAGATAACAAAACCTGTTATGGAGATCTGAATTCCACTTTAACCATTGAACAAGTGAAACTGTGGTGTCAAGAAGTTAATAGTGGCAGAATCCAACATTTTGAAGATGCTCAAGTTTATGTTACCGGAGATATTTATCACCCTCAAAGTAAATTTAAAAGTAAAGATTATGGAATTGATTTGACTCCTAAAATTATGTTTGCCCAATCAGATTTATTAAGTTTATTAGTGAAATCTCGAGTTTATAAGTATTTGGAGTTCCAAAGTTTAAGTAACTTCCACATCTTTGAAAATGATAGCTTCTCAACTAAATTTGCTAATGCTAGTTCAAAAGAAGAAATCTTTACTGATCAATCATTATCTTTGTTAACTAAAAGATATTTAATGAAGTTTTTAAAATTCGTTTTAGAAGATAATAATGATGAAGATAAACGTAAAACTTTGGCCGACAATGCTAAAGTTACAATCTATGATTTCTTATCTCAGAAGTTCAATTTGGAAACTTCTCAAATCAATGAATTGATTTATTCTATAGGTCTTTGTATTAAACCTACTACCAAAACTCCTGAAGCCATTGCAAGAATAAGAAGATTCTTAGTAAGTTTTAACGTTTATGGAAATTTCCCTGTTTTAGTACTGAAATATGGTGGACCAGGAGAAATATCTCAAGGTTTTTGTAGAAGTGCAGCTGTTGCTGGAACAACTTATAAATTGAATACTGCTTTGACTGATTATGATCCTCAATTGAAATTGGCTAAATTTAGTGATAAAAGTTCAATTAAAATCAATGAAAAATTAATTGTGGCACCAACCCAAATTCCTAAATTCCTTCAATCTAGTTATAATGAAATCACTGAATCTTTGAAAAAAGTTAATATCTCAAGATTAGTGGTGATTGTTAAAAAAGACTGTAAAGAATGGATGGCAGATCAAGAATGTTCAGCTATGGTAGTTTTCCCTCCAGAATCTTTGAATTCTCAAAATAAGACAAGTATCCAAGCTTTAATTCAAAATGGTGGTACAGGAGTTTGTCCACCAGGTCAATCAATTTGGTATTTGACCTCTTTTGAACAAGATTCAATCAAAGCTAAACAAGATTTACAATGTGCTTTTGAAAAAATGGAAAGTTCCATTTTAAGAGAATCATCAGATTTGGATGATGTTTTAGATGAGAACTTATCAGTGAACAAGAGCGGTACTTCATTGGTTGTTAACTCTGTCAAATTAGGTAAATCTTTACAAAATTTCGTTCCTAAAGAAACCCTTGAAATAATATGTAAATTTGGTTTCACCCAAAAGACTTATGTATTGAATGATTTGTCTAATGTTATTAATCCAACTGATGAAAATAACGTTTCATTACGTAAAACAAAAGACTGTGAAGATATAATATTCACTAATATGCCTTCTTCGGAGATTAGTTATGATGGAATTGTTAAAGAATGTAAAACCATTTATCAAGCTATTACAGGTTCTGATGATGATTTCTTCGATGTTGATTTTGAAGATGATGATGAGTTCAATCCTGCAGGTTTCCATCAACAACCAACAACCAGTTCATCAAATTTAAAAACTTCAGATAATGATATGGCCATTGCTTCCAGCGATGATGAAGATAATGCTCATCCATTTGGTGCTGATGAAATGGAATTGTAAAAAATAACAAAACTTTGATAGTTGAAATTTAATTCGTTAATATGTTAATAGACCTATATATATATTTATGTAGTTATTACCTTGTCTTATCTTATCTATAAGGGCTATAACCCTAACCAATCACGTGTTTTCGTGTGACAGCGAAAATTTGATTTTGAGAAATTTTCCTGGGTCTGCTCGATTTTTTTTTTGAAAATTTCAATTTAAGTACTGAGCAGTTACCTGTCGAAGAAGTCTATAACTTTATTAAATACTAAAAATGTCAGACGTTGAAGAACAACAAATCGTTGAAGAAGTTGCCGTTGAAGAAGCCGGTTCAATCACCATTGAAGATGCCTTAAAAGTTGTCTTAAGAACCTCATTAGTTCACGATGGTTTAGCTAGAGGTTTAAGAGAAGCCTCAAAAGCTTTATCAAGAAGAGAAGCTCAATTATGTGTCTTATGTGAATCAGTTACCGAAGCCTCAATTGTTAAATTAGTTGAAGCTTTATGTAATGAACCAGAAGAAAAAATCCCATTAATCAAAGTTTCTGATGCTAAACAATTAGGTGAATGGGCTGGTTTATGTCAATTAGACAGAGAAGGTAACGCCAGAAAAGTTGTTGGTGCTTCTTGTGTTGTTGTCAAAAACTGGGGTCAAGATTCTGAAGAAAGAAACATTATCTTAGAACACTTTGCTCAACAATAGATCTAGTGGCTTGTATATTATAAAAGTTCTTTCATGATCTTAATATATAAAAACTAATTCAAATAATTCTCTTTAACTCTTAACTACTGGAGATAGAAAAGAAAAATAGCATTTATATGGGTGTACCTAACTTTGATCTCATCCCCCTCCATCTTTTACTCGCACACCGCGTTTGATAACATTAGAATGGATCAAAGACAAGAGAAGGAAGAGTCAAGGAAAAGAGGTGCAGAGTATGTAAGTTAGATGTCACAGATCAATTGTAGGATACTAACCATTCAGTTTGAGGAATGTTCAAATAGATGATTTTCAAATCACTAATGATCAACCACCCTCTATAAAACAAGAATATTTACCTAGATTTAGTAGAAATAACTACTCTGTTGATGAAGATAATTCAATGGAGCCTGATACGAAAGAGGAGTCTGACTTCAGAGATTTCAATGACGAACTACCCGATGACGATGATGATTTTTTGGATAAGAATTATGGTAATGAAGCGGAGGAAGATGATGAAACTGATATTGAAGAAAGAGGAAGAAGTTATGGGAAAAGTTATAGATCAGAGGAAGAATTAGATTCTAGAAAGACATCAGCAAGATCAAGTAGAGAATCATCTATGGGACCTGATCAACCTAGGAAAAGAGGTAGGCCAAAGAAACTTTTAACAGCATCAGCTGTAAAAATCAAAAAGAGGAGAGGAAGACCAAGAAAGGGATATGAGAACCCATTAGCTGGGGTTTCACGATTTGGTGCTGTAGATGCTTCTGAAGAAATACGAAGACGTAGAAAATTAACCCCTGAATATGGTCCACCAATACCTTTAACTAAACATAGACAATTACAAACACAAAAACCATTATATATTGATATGGAAAGATTGAAATCAGGTTCAAATAAAAGACAAAAATTGAATACTTTAGATGTATTGAAATTCTTAGTTAAAGATTTTGAACCTATTCCTAGTACCAATGATAGTATCAAACCCAAATTGATCCAAAAAGATATGAAAACACATATACTTGATCATTTAGGACACTTGAGTGATGTTCATGGTAGTATTGATGATTTAAATTTCGAGATCAGTAAGATCCAAAAAGAGAAAGAATTAACCAGGACCAAAATCTTGGAATTAAGGAAAGATCATAATGATTTAGGTAATAAATTGAATTCTCTTAGAGAAGATTATCAACAATCAAAGGAGAATCATGAAAAGTTTATACAATTAACTGATAACATTGATGAATTAAGAAGTATAGTAAAAGGGGATAAACCCATTAATAATGATATAATCAAGAGTGTTGATAGCAAATTGAATCATTTAAGTAAGATCTTTAACCCTATAGATGGAGTTAATGCAAAGATTCATGAACTTAATAGAACATTAACCAGAATTAATAATGATATTTAGACAATTTATATTAGATACATAGTAATGAATAATGACAATAATTGATGACAGAAGTAAATCTTATTTCATTTCAAAAGGGTGTCATCTCTGGTCCATTGTAAATTCACTTTTTATACAATTTATTCTTCTTTCGGAATGTTCTCTATGATTTCTATCAGTTAAATCCATTAAATTTAAACATCGTCAGAAACTAAAGCCATGATCATTCTATATAAGTAAAAGAAGAACATTAATAAGTGGAAACCTAATTTAATGAATGATTCTTTTTTATGTTTAGATAAAGTTCTAAAAATTTCAGTAGCATCTAATAAATGATTTTTGTTAATGAATTTGTTAACATTATAAGCTAATAAAGGAGCGTTGATTAAGAATGGGAACCAAAATCCATTAACTAAGAATAAAATAGTAATGAATCCATGTAATCCCGCTTCAGGAATGAACCAAGGATTTAATTTGTTACATAATTCAATAGGATTAATATAATCACATTCTAAATCAGAATACATAATAGTAAAGAATACTTGAGCGAATAAATTGACAGCATTGAAAATAACTGCAAAAATGAATAAACTATGGTTGTTAGTAAAGTGATCTATAACTTTTTATTGCTATCCCATCTCAATCATAAGGGAGGGATATTAACATTTGATGGTTGTTGATGGATTCAGATGTATGTTTACCTTTCATTATAACAACTGATTACTTCAAGTCTCCAATATAAAAGCTACATACAAACTTTCTCCCGACATGTTTCAATCGACCTTATCAATAAAAAAATCCAACCGTGAGAATCGATAATCCTCAAGGGAAAAAAAATTTCCAAAAGTCGTGTGCGGCTGGTTTTTTATTTTGCAGTTAAAAAAAAAAGGTAGAGATTAATGAAGTGATTTAAATTGAAAATTGTAAGAATCTACTCAATACAAGTCCATTTGACGTTATCAATGGTAATAGAATCACCTTTTGCACCATCGAAATCAACAGGGAACTTAAAGTTACTGTAATTAATCAAATATTCCCATTTAGAATCTTTAACGTAACATCTGATGACATTTAATGGTACTTTGGAATTCTTTTTATCATGTAAAATACCTTGGATCCAGTTTCCTGATCTAATCATTTGACCATGGAACTCATCGGTATCGATTCTTAATACATACAAAGGAGTAACTTCTTCATCTGCAGGTTCTCTAACTTCATTTTCAGGTGTATGTTGAACACTACTAACAGATCTCCAGATTTCAACATAATCTTCCTTTTTACCGGTAGCAGGATTAGTCATATTACCTGTTTCTTTTCTATCTTCAGTATCAGTTTTCCAAAAAGTACCTACATCAGCTTCAGTAAGGCACTGATCTAAAGGTAAATTTTCGTTAATTGCTTTCATGATAGCCAAGGAATCAATCTCATGAGTGAATTGAAGTTTATAAGTATCAGGGATAGTGGATTCCAAACTGATTTCATCACCTACCATTGCCCATTCAAATATATCATCAAATTTACTTGTAGGATTCTCTTCAATAACGGGATAATTCTCAAGGAAAATTCTAACATCCACAAAATGACCCTCTTTAGAATAGATCACCATAGTACTGGTGTTTTCACCAGCTTCTTGTGGTGGCCATTGTATAGATATTCTTTTGGATAACATAGGTTGGGGTGGAATTTTTTTTGAGAGAGCGGAATTTGGTTCTAAAAGGCTGCAAAAAAAAAAAATCTCAGAGATAAGAATTCTATAATACATGCATTAAATTTTATTTCTTCAAGTTAATCTCGAATTCCATTCGTTTGTCGTTATCTATCATAGAACCATCAAGTTTCTTTAGATTGGGGAAATAATTAATTAATAAAGTTTGATAATTCAAACGCTTTTTATACTTATTATGCTTCAAATTCTTGATGAAAGTTTCATTTCTTGATTCCCAATCATTAGGATTATTATTCAATGATTCATAATGAATAGCAAAGTTCTCAATATCATCAAGAGTTTCAAGTTGAATTAAATTCTCAAAATTCTCATTTATCATGGACTCACTATTTATCTCCAATTCTTGAGGATTGAATACATAAGGATAAAATTCCAAATTCAAAGAATTCAATCTGAAATCAAGAACTTTCAAACTTAATCTGGAGTTTCTCAAATTTTTAATGATCTCTTCAATTTTAGTCAAATTGTTACTGACCAAATAAATTCTTTTCAAGAATTTTAAATCTTTTAAAAATTCCAAACTATTCAATTTATTGAAGTTTAAATTAAGTTCAATCAAATTAGGGAATATTTCATTAAAATTGATATTTAAATTTGTTAAATTTATGGCAGATAAATTCAATTTATTCAAATTTGGGAATGTGGTGGTCATGTGACTGAAATAATCGAGATTACCTGATAAATCCAATGATTTTAAAGTTTGAAATTCATTTAGTTTATTAAGCATTAAATCAGATTGTGATTTACATGATATTTCGTCAATATATTTCAATTTCCCTCTAACTTCTTGGAAATCATTACCATCAATTCTTAAAATTCTCAAGTATGGAAAATTGGAAAAGTTGATGGATTTTAATTTATTGAACTTGATTAACAATTTCTTTAAATGTGGGTGTTTACCTTTACAATGAAGTGTTTGTAAATTATTTTCATTGACATTCAAGACTCTTAAATTCTTCAAATTTTGTAAATTGTTTACACTGACAATTTGGTTCTCAGCCATATTCAAAATCTGAAGGTTTTCAAAATTGAATTTACTGAAATCGATGTCATCTTTCAAGTTGTTCAGGGATAAATCTAGTTCAATGAGATTACTTAATTTCCTTAACCCATCAATGTTGGTCAAGTTATTATTGGACAAGTTAAGTTTAATCAAATGAATATTTCTCTGTAAATTATTGCAATTCACTAGATGATTATTGGATAACGATAAGTTTTGTAAATTGGTGAAATCATTAAAAGAAGTAAGGTTCTTGATATCATTGTTGTTCAAATTTAAATTTAATAAATTCAAAGGCAACCCTTTCAAGAATTTGACATTGTTATTGGAAAGATTCAACCTAATCAAATTAGGTAAGAAGTGTTTCAAATCTTTAATATTGGTCAATTGTAAATCTTCTAAATCGATTTCTTCAATTTGATTCCAGTTCTTATTGTTATTTATTTCCATCAATGCATCAGTGATGATTGAAACTAATTTTTTCTGTTGTTGACTGAATGACAACTCATCAATTTGTGATAATCTTGTGATATCTTGCGGTAATGGACTGATATTAACTTGGTTGGAATGAGGTAAGTGGAAAGATACGTTCTTGGAATGATTTTTAGATATGATGGAATCATCGATTTCAGGATCAGAATCTTGGAAAATTGAATCTTCTTCTTCCTCTTCTTCGTCTTCATCTTCTTCTTGTTGTTCATCTTCCTCTTCTTGTTCAGATATTAAATCCTCAATAGATTCAAGCGTATCATGAAAGTTATCTGTATCCTTCATTATCCATCTATGATTTTCTTCATCGAGTACCATGTTATCATAATAATTAGGTAAATTCATATTAGGTTTCAAATTCCCAGCATGAGGGATGTTATTCTTAGCTTGTAATTTCAATTGGCTGATTCTTTTCAATTTGAAATCATGAATGGATTGATCATTAGTAAAATCATAATCATCAATCTCTAAAGAATTCTCTGGAAATTCATTCTTCAGAATTTGATGGCTCAATTCATTTCTTAAATTGTTGTTTTCATCGATAAGACTTTCCATGTTTTTCGAGTATATTTTGAAACTGTTAACGGTAGCTTCTAATTCCTTGATCTTGTTTTTCAATTCATCATTATGTGAATTTGTACTTCGATTGATACTTTCCTCATCAAAAGTATACGAACTTTTCTTGGAAAGTTGATCTTGTAATGATTTCAAGTTATTGGGTGATAATTTTGGTGATTGATTGGAAAAATTCGACATTGTGTCAAGTCTTGAATTGGAAACATCACTGTTGGTCATATCATTCAAATGGGATCTCATGGAATTTACATTGGAGTTGTTGATGAAATTATGTTCAGATTGTACCGATGCACTTTTAGATGATACAATAGACTCACTAAATGAGGTATAATCATTAGTATTTTGTTGGAATTGGGTGGTATCTTGATTAAATCCGCTAGTGAATGAGGAGTATTCATTCAATTCATCTAAAGTATTAACTTTGTTAACTTTAGGTGTTGATGTAGCGGTGGCATTACTCGGTATTATGGTATTAGTCCCAATGGTTCCTGAAGCTGATCTGCTATAAGGACTTCTCATCGAACTAACTGACCTATGCTGATTAAGAAATTGTCCCCTTTTTTGAATGTTATCGAAAATATTATTAGCTTTAAGTCTGAATTTCTCTTCTATGTCATTGTTGTCGTACTTATTAGTTTTCAATTTGGGTATGGATGAAGATAAAAATGCATTTTCTTTTTCATCTTCAGACCTCTTTTCCTCTTTCACTAGCTCTTCAACTTCTTCTACCTCTTCCTCGATTTCTTCGATTTCTTCAGATTCTGGTTCCTTTACCGGTTCATTTGAGTTTTGAAGTGCTTGATTTAAATCCAAATTGAAAGTTGGTGCTTTCAAATTTGATATTATCTCATTTAATTTCCCTTTAGTGAAAGTATTGTAATTATTACCAAATAATTTTAATGGTGAAGCATTAGAAATCTCAATTAAATAATCATCAGGTTTATCTTTTAAAATCTCTTTCAACTCATCAACTTGTACTTTAGTCAAATTTATCTTTTCATCATTATCAGTATCTTGATTTTGCTGGGTATTATTATTAATATTCCTATAAGGATGTCTTAAATGAGAATTGGTGTTGTAAGGTGTTGATAAAGTTGAAGACATTGAATTCGATTTATCGATATTGTTAAAGAAATGTTGTAAATTTGGTTGATTTTCTTCATAATCTTGTTTGACTTTCTTCCAAATAGGAGTTTTGATTGAATTGGAATTATGAATTATGGAATTTGAACCAGAATTTAAATTGAAATTGGGTATATTTAAATCAGATGATTTCTTAGTTATACGTACAGATGAACTGAAATCATCTATCCATTTCTCATTCAATTCAGATGGCATCCAATCAGGAGTCTTATTGAACTTTTCATTATCTAATTTATTGATAGTTGAAGTTTTAATAGGTTCATCATTTAAATGTTGCGCCAAATCATCAATGTCATCATTATGTGTGGATATTTTCCTTATTATTGGAGGTTTAAATTGAGGACTTTGTGTTAATACTTCAGGACTTGTTCCTAACTCACTCTTAGTCTTTGCATTAGGATGAGACTTGTTTTTAAACGTATTGGGAATTGAATTGGGTGATGAAATTATCGATCCATTATTAGTGAATTGGAAATCCTTATTGGGTAAGTATTTGATATTCTTGACATTATCATTGTCAATAGAATCTTCGTCCTCAGAATGTATCTTTAAACTCAAATTGAATTCATCTAACTTAGATTCCTCATTGATAGTAACTAACTTCTTATCAATGGTATTATGGGCACTTTCTTTTTCCTTTGAATGATCAGAAAGCTCCGTTGTCTGAATGAACATATCTATATTCTGCTTTAGTGAACTATTATTCAGCATAGTAACCAATATATTTTCACTTTTGGACTAGAGATCTTGTGGATTTGATTGTTTACTTTTCACAAATTCATTGCTCGAAAAGTCGTATTTGCAGCTAAAGATGTCGCGGTCCACCGACATCTTATGCATTTAAGGTTAATGAAAGAGCTTGATTTCAAGGGGTTTTAATCGTTGATAATGTTTCATATTATTATAGGAATTTGTTAAGAATACTGTTGAGAGAGAAAAGAAATTTTCGGGAAGGATGTGTAGAGAAATTCTCGATGGAATTAAGATAATGATCAGCAGTTTTGTTCCGTACACCCCGAGCTATTGACCATCATTAAGAGGATACTACGTAAAGGAATAATTCACGCAGTTTAACGGAGTTTCTTATCATTCACATTCTTTTGTCTTTAGATCTCGGTAATATGTGAGGCTGTTCATCAACTTCTTTGATCTACCAAAGGTTAGAATATCCACCAAAGCTTCAAAATAAACCAATAGAATCAAAACCCCAACTCCAGTTTGAAGTTTTCTTCTTCTTCCCTACATCCTAGAGATTTTCTCGCCCCAACTCACTCTTTTAATTTATTCTTTCCACCATTCACCGTTTCAGCAATATCAACCTCGCGAAAACTTTTACTCCCATGAAAATTTAAATTAAATTACTAAAGTGGATTTCATAGTTATCTTGATTGTGGAATTTAATTACTTATTGTAAAACATAAATCAATAGAACTCACACATAGAATTCGGAAAGTTGAATTCTTTGGAAATAATTGATAATCCTAGCAAATTATTTCAATTGAGTCATACTGGGGTTGAGATCTTGTGATTAGACATAATATCCCTATTGAATAAATAATCCATTTACAAAGTTCAAAATCAACTTCAAGCAAGATAAGCAATTGATATATTTAAGGATATTATTTCATTGTCCGATCTGTTTTTTTTCTAGTTTAATTTGGGGGTGGTTTTTTACATTTATTGAAAATTAATCCGTATACCGGTATACACTGTATATTAAGTTTGATATTTTAGTTCTGTTGTAATTTTTCATTGGTTTTAGTTGCAGTTTCAGATTTCAGTTACAGTTTATTATTTTGTTCCAGTTAATTTCCTATATATATAATTACCTCATAAGATGAATCCAACAACAGTTTCATCTACTGCTAGTCATCAACATCAACAAGAACAAGAGATGTTGGCCAGTTTTGCTGTTCCCAATCCTCCATTATCTACCCAACAATCACAATATTTAGAAGATGATGTGAGTAATCCTAAAAGTGATGATGAGAACAAAAATGGACCAAGAACTTTATGGATGGGAGATTTAGATCCTTGGTTAGATGAACCAGCAATTGAAAACATTTGGTGGCAAATACTTAATAAGAAAGTTCAAGTTAAAGTTATTAGACCCAAATTTTCAAAACCTGACATAAATCTTAATGGTTTAAGTCATAGTGGATATTGTTTCATTGAATTTGAAACTTTTGGTGATGCTAAACAAGCTTTAAGTTTAAATGGTCAATTATTACCGGATTTGGCCATGCCTTCACAAAGACAATTTCCTAATAATCCTGATAATCAAAAGAAATATTTCCGTTTAAATTGGGCTAGTGGTGCTACTTTATCAGCTCCTATTGTTCAAAGTCCTGAATATTCTTTATTTGTTGGAGATTTATCAGCTTCAACTACTGAGGCTCATTTATTGGCATTTTTCCAAAAACTGTTCCCAACTTCAGTTAAAACTGTTAGAGTAATGACTGATCCTGTTAGTGGGAAATCAAGATGTTTTGGATTTGTCAGATTTACTGATGAACTGGAAAGACAAAGAGCTTTAGTTGAAATGAATGGTGTTTGGTTTGGTGGAAGACCTTTAAGAGTTGCATTGGCAACTCCTAGAAATCAAAACTTTCAATTCAATCAATTCAATAATAATCAATCTCCTATTAATCAATTCCAAAATCAATTCCCTGGTTCTTTCCCTCCTACACCAAGTCAATTCCCTGGAACTCCTAATATGAGAAGAAATAACTATTATGAGAATCCCCAAGAATTAATGTTTAATGGTGGATTTGGTTATTACCCTCCAATTGTCCCTATTTTACCTGATGAAGAACCTAAAACTCCTAGTGAAAGTGGTTATAGTCATGGTTCAACGGGTCCCGGGTCGGGTTCTCGTTCAGAATCGGGGTCGGGTAATGGATATCAACCTATACCTCAAAGTAATGAAGAAACCTTACCACCAAGCGTTGGTGAAGATTATTCTAGTTTAAATTCCCCAGTCTCAACTCCTACTCATTCAGTTCAAGGACAACCGTACAATGATCCTAATAATACCACTGTCTTTGTGGGAGGATTATCACCTGATGTTTCTGAACAAACATTATTCACCTTATTCAAATCATTTGGTATTATCCAACAAATCAAAATACCTCCAGGTAAAAACTGTGGATTCGTTAAATATTCTTCAAGAGAAGAAGCCGAAGAAGCTATTGCTGCCATGCAAGGATTCATAATTTGTGGTAATAGAGTTAGATTAAGTTGGGGAAGAGTTTCTCTGAATAATAAGAAATTCCATCAACATCAACATCAAGCTGCTCAAGCCGCTCATATGCAAGCTGCCGCTGCTATGTCTATGGGTATGGACCCAGCAAGTGCTATGGCTGCCGCTGCCGCTGCTGCCGCTGCTGCTGGTGGATACCCGGGTATGCCTCCTCAAGGTTTACAACCAATTCCTCAAGGTATACCGCCACCAGGAATGCAAGGAATTCCACCTCAAGGTTTACAGGGTTTACCTCCACAAGCAATACATGGTATGCCTCCACCTCAAATGCAAGGAATGCCCCCAATACCCATTTCTCCTCAAAATATGATTCCTGTCCCAGTTTATGTTCCTCCTTCAAAGGAATCTGATGATGAGAAAAAAGTCGATGATGATAATGAATTAACCACCGCTATGAAATCCATGAATTTAGAGAAATAGAGTTGATAAAATGTTGTTCGAGTTTTTCTTTACCTCTTATCCTTGTATTCTTTGTGCACTCAACGCCTGATTCTCACAGGCCCCCTTTTTTCGTCGAATTTTAGAGATAGAGAAGAATATTTTAACCTTTACCTATATTTAAACCAACACAAAAATAAGAAAACTATGATCTTTCACCTCTTAATCTTCTAGCTAATTGGATATCTTTCTTTTGAATGGTAACTCTCTTAGCATGAATAGCACATAAATTGGTGTCTTCGAATAATGAAACTAAGTAAGCTTCAACAGCTTCTTGTAAAGCACCAATAGCTGAAGATTGGAATCTTAAATCAGATTTGAAATCTTGGGCGATTTCTCTGACTAATCTTTGGAAAGGTAATTTTCTGATTAATAATTCAGTAGATTTTTGGAATCTTCTAATTTCTCTTAAGGCAACAGTACCTGGTTTATATCTATGTGGTTTTTTAACACCACCACTGACTGGAGCAGATTTTCTAGCAGCTTTAGAAGCTAATTGTTTTCTTGGTGCTTTACCACCAGTGGATTTTCTTGCAGTTTGTTTAGTTCTGGCCATTTTAGAATGTACACTGATAAATTAAAAAAATTTTCTCAAGGGGCGGATTTGGTGATATTTATAAAAAAAACATGACGGAAATAATTAAGAAAATGAGGGACTAGATTCCACCATTCTCCGCCAATAATATCATCTCATTTTTTCCTCGCTTGCCTCCTTAAATTTCCCATAGTTAAAAATCGCAATGAATCTCATGATGAAAAAACCACAGGTGGCAGGGGGAGACATTGAGATTTTTTACTATGAGGGAAAAAAATCCGTTCGCGACATCACTTCGCACATAGTTTAGGATGTCGCGACTTTATCTGATAAGCCAGAATAGGACTTCAAAGTAGGTGGAGATTGCTAGACTTTATCGATGCTTCCTCTTAAAAGGATAAAAGAAATTAGAAAAAGGGAGAGAAACGAAAAGAAGGGGTGGAAATCCGTATAAATATGCATTAAATCTAACTTCTATACCATAATCTAGTAATGGAAGATTTCATCATTTTCTTTTGTAATTGGAAAACTCCATACATTAAAGCTTCAGCAGTTGGTGGACAACCTGGGACGTAAACATCAACAGGAACAATTCTATCACAACCTCTGACAACACTGTAAGAGTAATGATAATAACCACCACCATTGGCACATGAACCCATGGAAATAACCCATCTTGGTTCTGGCATTTGATCATAAACTTGTCTTAAAGCTGGAGCCATTTTATTAGTAACAGTACCAGCAACAATCATAATATCTGATTGTCTTGGAGAAGCTCTGAAAATAATACCTAATCTATCTTGATCATATCTTGGAGCTGAGACATGCATCATTTCCACAGCACAACATGCTAAACCGAAAGTAACAGGCCAAAATGAAGATTTTCTGGCCCAATTTGCAATGGTATCTAATGAAGTCAAAGCATAATCTAATGGACTATTAGCAGTCTTTTGTGACATTAATGGGAAATCGGTTGGCATTGATTTTGGGGTTAAATCTTTTGATGATATATTTCTTTGGGATATTAATGATAATGAGTTTTGTTGTGATAATGATGATATTAATACATTGTTATTATTTAATGAATATGTTATACCTAAATTGGCACGTTTACCAACGTTCAATATTCTATGATTTAATTTGAACATTAGGTAAAGTTTATGATTATTTGAAAATTTTTTGAGAATCAGCATTAAAATGCAGAAATTGATTGGGTAGATTTTTGGTCTGGGTGCACGACTAACATAATGTTAGTATATATTGTAGGAGGGTTTAAGATTGATAGGAAGTGTGCTAGAGTGGTGATAGGCGCATGGAAAAGAAAGGGAGTGAGATGGGATTGGTAAGAAGTGGATTTGAAAGTTTGACTGTATATTAATGTGGTGTTGGAATTCTGATAAGTACAAGACACCGATTTTGTAGTAGGTATTAAGTTTGAGCAAATATATGTATGGCTCGTGTAGTCATCCTGTGACAATATTTGTGTAGATCCCCTGTTCTTGATGAAAAGACGATGATCAATCAGTTATCAAAGGTCAAGTGTATGGAAAATAGACCGTACCTAACGAACTTCATCAAAGTCATTTCAAGCTGGGCTATAGAAGGTAAGCATCATAAAATTAGCATCATGATTTGAGCAACAAATATATTACGGTGTGAATATTCTTCCTCTATTGAGTTATGTCTTCTAAGTAATCCTTTATTTTATCCATGATCTCATTCTTTACTTCATTGGGTACCAAATCTTCGGCTTTAGGTTTGACGAATTGAAATAAGTCGTTGAAGTTTATAGGCTCGTTATTATCATTATTACTCTGTAATTCCTTCAATGTTAACGAACTTATTTTGTCGTACCATCCAGATTCATAAAGTTTCAATTTCAAGTTTTGGTTTATAGTTTCATAAGTTCCCGATGAAATCAAATGATCTTGGATTTTTGATTTGATTTGTTCAAGTTCTTGATCTTGTGTCATTTCTTCTTATGATAATTTCTCCCGAAGTGACTGAAAATGTTGAGGATGTTTGAAATCTCTGATGGGTTGAATGTTCAAGATTTGAGAAACTTTCCGCATCATGAAACCTTCACCATATAAAGCTACATTGAAATCAATTGAACCATTGGTTCAAGGGAAATGGATCCAAACCCGTAAAATCAATTATGAAGATCCTAATGGTAATGCAAGGGTTTGGGAAATGGCTGTTAGAACCACTAGAACTGAGACTACTAATACCGATGCGGTATCTATATTAGCTACTTTAAGACATCCACAAAAAATACCTGAAATTGTTCTTACCAAACAATTTAGACCTCCAACTGGTAAAGTTGTGATTGAATTACCTGCTGGATTAATTGACCCTAAAGAATCTATTGAATCCACTGCCATTAGAGAATTGATTGAAGAAACAGGTTACCACGGGAAATTCATCAAACTGTCGATTGACGAAATGGAATTATTCAGTGATCCTGGGTTAACCAACGCTAATATGGCTTTAGCTTTTGTTGATGTTGATCTCACAGATAGTAAGAATGAAAACCCTGTAGCGGAATTAGAAGATGGTGAATTTATTGAAACCTTTTCATTACCATTGAAGAATTTATTAGAAGATTTGAAAGGTTTATGTAAAAGAGAAGGATGTGTTATTGACGCCAGATTGTATCATTACGCAGTAGGATTATCCATGTCTAGCTGAGTTAGTATGGGGTAAAAAGTTTATAGTCAATGGAAAGTTTTTGTAAAAGATGTAATGGTCCATATAACGTCTAGCCTTTATCATCAATATAATGATGATACATGAATTAGAAGCAAGCATTCTGGAAGTCTCTCATATTCTAACACCCTAAACAAGTTTCTGTCAACAGTTTCCAAAAGTGTCACAGGATTCTCAACATTTGAGAATAAGTCACTTAAAGATAAGATATGGAAACTTGTTCGTTTTGCCTTGGTGATGAAAATGATGTCCCACCTTTTGGGTCAGTAGATGATGCAAAGGATTTAATACACCCTTGTACGACATGTAAAATCACCACTCATCGGAAATGTCTTTTGGATTGGTTCAATTCCTTGACTTCAGATAAGTTACAAATCATTAAAACTGATGAAATAAGTTCGTTTCTTCAAAGGAACAATAGCAATGATGACAATTCAACAACAGAAAATGCTGAAAGTCGAATATTCAGTTTGGATGAAATAGAAATTGGTCAATCACCTTCAACTACTCGAATTCATATCAATTTATCTCCCCAACAAATCAATGAATGGTTCAATAATTTCACCAATGTAGAGAATTACACATTCAAGGACAATGTGGTATTCTTACTTGCAAGCTGTCCACAATGTAAAGAAGATATAATATTCAGTATGAAGAGATCAACATTCTTGTCAATTAATAGCGGATTTAGATCATTCATTAGTAAAGCAGCACAATATTCTACAGTATTTTTAGGGTTTACTTCAGCTGTTACTGGGGTGGTTTCAATGGGATATATAGGATTGACGTCGGTTGGTTTGAAAACCATGGATTGTATTTTACCTGAATCATTCTTGATCAAATTATTAATCAAGTCTAAAACTAGTGGTAATCTTTTATCATCAATTTTCCAACAATCAAACTACCCAATTGATAACCTAGAATCGGCTTTGCTGAAAGGTTTGATTGATCCTTTCAAATTCTCAAGAATCCCCTTGTTACCCATAATATTGTATAGGATGAGACAATCATCACCCATAAGTTGTCTTTATTCTAAAGATGTAAGTTCATGGTTGACAGAATTGATGATAAATGGTTATATTTCATCATTGGGTGATCATAAATTTCTTTCATCGGTGTATTATAACTTATTATCTTCCATTACTAGAATGTTGAAGAATCCATTAAAATTCTGGAAATATTTCAATCTTTTCAAAGGCATTGATTTTAATGATGCTAATAATCTTATTAGTTTATTTTTACCGGCAAGAATTTTATATGATATATTCTTCAGAATGACGCTCAACCAATTACATTTTGATATTACCATGAACGTTAAACCTAGGGAAATAGCTAACAAATTGACACAAGAACAACTTGATGAATTAGAGATGTTATATGGAGAATTGAACACTTTGAAACTTTCATTAATGAAGAAACCATTCCAAGTAACTAATTGGCAAGATTGGTTTTTGGAAAAGAAATTGTATATCACCAAATTATTCAAAAGTAACGCTATTTGGAAGATTTTAAAATTGAAATCATTGATTTTCCTGAAAAGAATGAAATACTGTATAAAACATGACTTCTCACAAACATTATCCTATAGTTCATTTACAATACGTTGTTTGACCACAGTAGTATGGCCATTTTTATCATCTAAATTAGGACAAATTATATTCAATAGTTTGAATGCCACTGAAAATAAAGATAAGAAGTTATTTTTGTGTAATTTGGCAGGAATGGTTTTAGTGGTGTTGTTAAAAGATCTTACTAATTTGTATTTGAGTAGTAAGAAGTCTGAACAATTGAAGAAATTGAAAATTCACAATTTCGAAAGAGACAATTCAAATAACAAGACATTTTCAATCCCTGGAGATTATATATAGTACATACAAATTTTACAACTACTTAGTCATCATAATTTTCGTCTTCTTCGATTTTCCTCATTGGAGGTTCAACTTCTTCCTTTTCAACAGTAGGAGTTGGTTGTTGTTCTGGTTTAGAGTCCGAAGAAATTGGATCTTTTGTGGTTTCGGCTTGTGATACTGATGGAACTGGATTCTCAGCAGGTGGTGCTACTATAGGTGCTGGAGCAGAAACAGGTGCTGGTGTAGTGTTTTCTGGTTGTGGGGTAGCAACTACTGGGGTAGCAGTAGTGGAACCTTCAGTAGGTTCAGGAGCTGGGGTAGCTTGAGCAGGGGTAGCGACAGCCGGGGTAGCTTGAGCGGGCGTCTCAGTAGGTGGTGGGACAGGTGTGGAATCAGCAGTTACTGCCACTTCAGGAGTTGCTGTTTCTTGTGATTTTGTTTCAACAATAGGTTCTGGAGCTTTAGTTTCAGTGATTTCCTTTACTGGTTCTTCCACTGGTTTGACAACAGGTTCATCGACTTGCATTGGTTGGGGTTCTTCTGATCTTGTTTCAACTTTTACTTCAGCTTGAGCTTCAGGTTGAGGAGTTACCATACCAACAGGTTTTGGATCATCTTTTGCTATTTGATTAGCAGCATTCATCAAATTACTTAAATTATTAGCAGGTGATTGAATTTGAGTCTTTTCAATTTTTGGAGTAGAAGCAGTACTTGATTTCTTCTTCTTTTTCTTATCCTTTTTTTCTGATTTATCATCCAATTCATGTTTACCATTAATTTTTGGCTGAGGAGTTGATACATTTGATTGTTCCTGAGAAACAGGAACTGGTGTACCATTAGATGGAGGTTGAGTTTTAATTGCTGGTGGAGGAAGTTGTTGGCCTGGTTGTTGGCCTGGTTGTAATTGATTCACTACCTGACCATGGAAAGGAGGAACTTGTTGGATTGGATGTTGAGATATCATTAAACCTGGTTGTCCCGGTTGTCCTGGGGGTCCTGGAGGTCCTGGTTGTCCCAATTGTGGAGGTTGGCCCGGTTGACCACCTTGCATTTGTTGTTGATGTTGTTGATGTTGATCTTGAGTACTTTCTAATACCATACTTTGAGGTAATCTTGGTTGTTGACTAATTGGAGGAGGTTGAGGAGGATGAGTATTACCTTCTTGTTGGTATTTGATTAATTGATCCAATCTAGCTTTAATATGAGGATTACCAGGATCTAATCTTTCAGCTTGTCTATAAGCATCTAAAGCATCACTGATTTGATTATTACAGGTTTCATATAAAGTACCTAAATCATACCAAACTTCACTAATATAAGGATTTAATCTAATAGCTCTAGTATAAGCATCTAAAGCATCTCTATATTGACTGATTTGATAATACAATACCCCAATAGAACACCAAAAAGTTGGATTTCTTGAATCTCTATTAACAGCTTGTTGGAAAGCTTCATAAGCAGCATTAAAGTCACCTCTTATCATATGAACTCTACCAAGATAATACCAACTATGAGCATCACTTTGATCAATTTCTAAAGATTGAGTCAAATATTTGGATGCAATATTCAAATCTTGAGTGAAAGGTTGATTATTTGATGAATTATTTTGATTTGAATTTTCAGGTTCAGCTTGAGAATAAAGACATCCTAATTGTTGTAAAACTTTAGCATGTTGAGGATTTACTTGCAAGACTCTTTCATAAGCATCTTTGGCACCATTCCAATCTTTTTGTTGTTCTAAAACTGACCCAATTTGGAACCAAACATCAGGTTGAGTTAATGGATGAGGAGGATTTGATAAAATGTATTGGAAACATTCTAAAGCATTTTGTAACTTACCTTGATGTTTATAAATAATACCAAGACGGAAATAAATTTCATTTGATTTATCGAAATTTGGATCTAACTCTAAAACTCTAACAAAAGCTTCTTCAGCATATTCTAATGAACCATACCTATCATATAATATACCGATACCATGCCATAATTTTGGTACATTCGGATTATCTAAATAATATAAAGCTCTTTGATAAGCTGCATAGGCTCTTTGTAAATCATCTAACATAAGATAACAATGACCTAATAATCCCCAAATATCACCATTTTCAGGATTAAAATTTAATGCTTGTTCATATAATTCAGCAGCTTTAAAGAAAACATCTTTGGAACGATAGATATTGGCTAATTTGATTAAAATTTCTGAATTATTTGGTGAATGTCTTAAAGCTGAATCATAAGCTCCTAAAGCTTTCTCGGAATTTCCTAAACTTTCAGCTAATGATCCAATAGCTAACCATGTGGCTGCAGTAGTTTCACTTAAAATCGATTGACCTTGATTTTGGTTTCCTTGTTGTCCATTAGATCCACTTTGTTCTTGATTGGATGATTCTTGTTGATTACCATTATTTTGACCTGGTCTATTGAATGGTAAATTAGAATTTGGTTGTGAAGCTTGTGGTTGAATTGGACCTGGTGGAAGTTGTTGAGATTCTTGTAAAATCCCATTCTTATGAGGTTGTCCAAGCATTTGTCCTGGTAGACTCATCATTAATATGTATTATGCACTTGTAATAATTCCGAAGATTTTTGAAAAACCTTTATAAATACTCAATTTTAATGGGAAAAAAAAAATTTCAATGATTATTGGAAATTCCCTTATTAAATTCAACTATTAAAATCAATTAACAAGAATAAAATTAAACAATTAATCGAGTTTAATTCTTATTGACTCAAAGTGTAATTTCTAAAAATTTTCTCACTCGACAAAAATCGTTGAGAATTCCTTCAGGGAATTTTTGTAAATTGATCTTTTATCAACTAAATATTGTTTTTGCAGGAGTGAGACAATAACCGAAGTTTATTATGTAATCCACTCTAAATTATTTTTATGTGAAGATCAAAAAGTTAAGGTGTTTTATCGATTAAATTTTGATGTAAAATCTGTAATATTAATACAAATGGGAATACTTGGTTAATTTTATGTCACTTCTTTTTTGAATCTCCTAAGTTTAAAAAAAGCCCATCGTTTTACACCCCCTTCTAATTACACCCCCTGTTAATGAATTTACTATCGATTTCACCCCCGGCAACTTTACACCCCTGTTATATACAGGATGTAGTATGCTAGTTAACTTACACCCCCTAATCTCAGCGCAGATGAAATTGACACCCCCTCCTTGAGAATTTATGCGGCTCGGTTTATGTATATTCAATAACTTCTATTGATTGCTAAAAAAAATTAGAGCATAGATTTTTAACGAGGTCTCTCTTTGAATGATTTGTTGAATCCTAATAATTCATTAATATCTTTGGTCCAATCATTTTCTCCCCCACTTACACACCAAATATTATTATCTATGGATAATTTCTTCATTATATGAATTTCATCACCCATTTTCAAATCTGGTTGTTTTATACCATCGATACTTAATTTTATCTCAATATTTCTATTCTTTGGAGATAACCTTATCATTATTTCACTATCGTGTGGTAATATTAAAGGTCTATAAGATAACGAACGAGGACTGATTAAATTGATCAATATACCTTCGATTAATGGATGCACAATTGGACCACCTGCTGACAATGAGTAAGCAGTTGAACCTGTTGGTGTACTGCATATGATTCCATCAGCTGTAGTAGTGGTTAGTAATTCATTATTGATTGAAATATCTAATGATACCATATTTTCTTCACTTCCTCTATGAACAGTAATTTCATTCAATGCATGTTTCATCACTCTATCATTTTTCTCTTCTAATCCTTGACGTATAACATGACACTCTATTCTACTTCTCTTGATAACTTGTCCCTTGTTATTAATAATCTTATTAAAAATCTCCATATGCTGTTGAAAATCGAACGGTAATAAAAATCCTAAAGTTCCCATTGAAAAACTTAGTATTGGTGGAACATTACTATTCAGAAATTGGGAAACTGAATTCAAAATCGTCCCATCACCTCCTATGGTTATTAATAAATCAGTTTTAGCTTTAATTAAATCTAAATCTCCATTAAATATCTTAACTTTATCTAATTGATTGAATTGATATTTCTCAACAACATCAAGGTCAGTTTTCAATCTTAATTGATTCAACTCATTAATAACTTGATTGTTTAGGATAATATTCATTTCAGGATGCAGAGTATTCAAAAAATTAATAAACTTTATCATTGAATTTGTAACTTCTTTATTATTAGGTTTCTTGGTAATGTAAACGTTTTGAGGTGGTGATGGCCATGTTAGATTATAAAGTTTCTTATTAGGTAGATATCTGGGTATTATCCTCTCTTGTAAAGTAGAAGCTGATTCCAAATGTAATGAACGGATAAATCTTAACATACTGAGTCAGATAAGATTTCGCATCATCACCAGTCATCGGATTTACATCAGCGAATCTTGAACTAAAAATTAAAACCAGCCGGATATTTAAGTACGAGAGTTTCATATTACATAATTTACATTTAATTTTTATACAAACATGTTTAATTTTGATGATTTAAATCTTCAATTTCTTTTAATTCTTCATCAGTTAATTTGTTATCACTAATATTTTTATCACCTTTATCCTTTTCATCATCATCATAAAATTCATTATCTTTTTCAATTTGTTGATCTTTAGAAAATTGGGATCCTCCTTTTGAATCAATAGCTTCGGGTGAATCTTCTTGTTCATCACCTTTATCTTCTAAATCATGAGGAACATCATTCATTTGAACTGAAGGAGCAAATTTCGTATGATCTAAATTACTTAAAATATTGGTTAAAATTTTATTCAAGAATTCAGGTGTATTAGCATTATGCATATTCGATGGTCTAACATCTAATTTATAATCAGGACCATAATATTCATAATATTCATTATAAGGTAATTCTGTTGGTAATTTAACATTATTTAATAATCCACTTTCAAAAGCCCATGTTCTGGCAACATTTCTCATAGTATAACCACCTCCACCTAAAACCATTAAAGGTACATTAAATTTTTTGACAAAATTAACACAATTAGCATGTCCTGACATTGATAAATTGAAACAACCTAATCTATCACCACTTAATGAATCACCTCCACATTGTAATACAATTACACTTGGTTGATACCATTCCATTATTCCACCAATAATTGGTTCAAAGATTGACTTGAAACTTGCATCGTCAACCCCATCTCTTAAAGGTACATTAACAGCATGATATTTACCTTTACCAACACCAATATCTCTTAATTCTCCAGTACCAGGGAAGAATTCTCCATATTTATGGAATGAACATGTCATAACTCTATCAGTAGTATAGAAAGCTTCTTCAACCCCATCACCATGATGAATATCAATATCAATATAAAGAACTCTTGGATGATAACGTAATAATTCAATAATACCTAAAACAATATCATTTAAATAACAAAACCCTGAAGCTTCAGATTTTTTAGCATGATGTAAACCACCAGCATAATTAATAGCAATATCACATTTCCCACGGTTTAATCTAGCAGCTCCTTCCATTGAACCACCACCAGAAATTCCACAATATTCAAATAATCCATCAAAAACTGGACAATCATCTCCTACATTAAATTTTATTTGTTCTTTGTTAAATAAATCTAAATTATCAGGAGTAACTCTACTTAAGAAATCAATATACTCATCAGTATGAAATTGAGCCATTTCTTGTTTAGTAGCAGGTTTTGCTCTATAAATTTCCATCTTTTTGTATAATCCGTAATTCATAATTAATGAATGTGCCATTCTGATACGATGAGGTTTCATGGGATGTCCGGCACCATAAGAATAATTACCTACATCTGCATCATAGAAATATGCTACTCGTTTCTTCTGGCTAGGATCAACTTTTAATTCGTCGAATGGTAATTGAACGTACATATTCTAGTCAACGATTTTTCCAATGAGATTACCTTTTTCTATCTCGAGGAATTTTTGAGAAATCTTTCATTACCCGGATGATAGTTTGAACACCGCTTACTAAAGAAGAGATTTAATATTTTATATATTCATAAGTTTAAGAGAACCTTTCATTATGTAATCTTTCTCTATAATCATTTAATTGTTGATTCAATTGTTCTTGTAATCTTATATTGTAACACCATTTTTCATAAACTTCATCATCAATATCAAAATTTATACCATTACAATTGGAATTGATATCAGTAGATGTAAAAGATAAAGGAAGAATCCAATACCAAATATTTGGTCCCATTACAGATTTCCAATTCTTCATGAATCCTATATTGAAGATATTACCAATATCTTTTTTCTTCCCGTTGGAATCGAATTCATATTGAAATTTATTCTTCTTTTCACCCCAAATCCATCTTGATTCTTGAAATTCAATTGTGGTAATGTTTTTAGTTACTAACCACATCAGGAATAATGCAAATACTCCTACGGCTATGGAAAATGCTAATCCAAGAATGAATAAAAATACCAATTTAAGGGATAAATATGAATCATTATAACTTTCATCACTGAAAAACTTCCATAATAAGCACAAGGACACTATAAAACAATATCCAGCGAATGTCGATACGTATGCTAAATTTTGAATAAAGAATTTCTGATTATGGTAACCTATACATGAAGCATACCAAGGACAATGGTGATCCATACGTAATATACAACGATTACATGTTGAACAATGATGAGTTCTATCAGGTTTCCAAGCTCTACATTTTTCACAATATCTGAACGGACTTACTCCAGGTTTAAGGATATGGAAATTAACATAATCGGTTGGTGGTTCATCATTAGCTATCAAAGCATCCCCCTCGTCGATTTGTTGGTGGTCTTCATTATCCTCTTCTTCTTCATCATCTTCTGCGGTTGACTTATGATTTTGATTATTCTGGTCTTGATTTTGATTTCTTTGTGATTGTAACTTTAATTGATCAATATCCCTTATTCTCAACTCTTTGAAATCACTAGGTGATCCTCCACCAGTTAAAGTCTTGAAATAACTATAAACCGCCAATAAATATAACACAATTCCAATCAATCCGACCAAACAACCTATCAAAGGTGATTTCTTATTTATTATAATTTGATTGTAACATGCCTCAATCAACAACACATAAATTGACCATGTCAATGTGGATATACAAAATATCTTTGGAAACAACAGAGGAAAGTTCAGTAGTATATAAGATAACATTGAAGTCCACCGTCTTAGTATTAGCACAGGTTGTGAAATCAACATAAATAAGTGCGAATTGTTAATGTTAGTTTCGTCTATTTATATGCTGAACCTTTCTTTCGAACGAATTCGAGGTTATTTTTGTAAGCCTAAGCTTTTGATTCTATTTACTGGTTTTACTGGTTTTTTTTGACATGGTTTGTGGAGTCTTTTGGTTTAATTTTGATTAAAGCTTCATATCCAATACCAAAAAATACTAATCCTACACCTAACATTTGTTGCAAGTTGAGGGAGTGACCAAACAATAATACACTAGTTATCATGCTTAACATTTTTCTAGTAACAGTAGCAGTAGTCAAAATAATGGAATCGAACTTCTCTAATATTATGAAAACAAATATTTGACCTACAGATCCAAATATCCCAAAAGTAAGGATATCTATCAATACCTGAGGATGTCTTTGGGCAAAATTGAATGCTGATACTATTTCCTCGTCATATTTGAAGATTACAGTATATGTAATTGTGAGGACCATCATGAAAGTATTCAACACACACATTAATATAATACCATTGATTTTATTAACTTTATTATCTAAAGTTTTCTGATATTTGAACAATTGATCTTGCGTACTATTTGTTAATCCGTCTAGAAGCATGGAACTTCCCAATTGAATAATACCCAATAAGGTGTCACCATCATTATTGGATTTCTTCTTAGTAGTATTGGATAAAGTGAAAACCAACACACCTAAGGTAACACACCCGGCTACCATAATCTTATACATTGGGAATCTTGTACGATAAATCACACCATGGACCATCATAATAGGTATTAATTTACATGATTTACTTAACAAATATACTAAATAATCCACATGATTTAACGATTTATAAGCAATTGGTGATGAAATACTCGAAGTAAGGGATGTAATCAAGAACATTTTGAAGAGATTCCACGAAACTGCTTTATCATTTTTAAAAATTCCAAAAGGATTGGTATTATCTTTGATCTTACTGTATGAAAAAGATATTAAAATAGCGAAGAATGATTGAATAATATTGACAATTAATGGAGCCTTGAAAAATTCATTATCACCGTAAGGAGTGGTATTAATCTTTTCTTGTAAAATAGACCAAGTAATGAAAGAACCGTAAAGACCTGCAACACATATTATCAAAGTTGTGGCCAGCATTTGCGAATTTTTTTTTTTGGCTGCTAAAAAAAATGTGAGTAATGTAAATGAGAGTAGGTATTGTTACACTATGTATATATTACAGACGACCGAAAATACCAAAGAAACCTTTCTTTTTGTTATCATCATCAGTTGAAGTTGAAGGTTCAGGAGTACCAGAATTTGAATTTGTACCGGAATAATTGATATAATTATAACCAATATCGAATAATACTGGTTTGGGTAATACTGGTAATATGTTATTGAAACCCAAGATATTGTTATTTAAGGGGAATTTATTCATGTTTTCAATGATAACTGAATCATTATTAGTTTCATAATAAAATTGAGCCATGATGTGATTTTTATTTAAAAGTTGTTGGAGTTCAGTTTTAAATTCGATGAATTCTTTATTGTTAGTAACATCAAATGGGAAATCTTCAACACTATATAATTCTTCTTTATCTTGACAATCTTTGTAAATGACGTCCAAAACTTTCAAACTTTCAATGTGTTTTCCGTTCAAAGTGAAACATTCAGCTAATTTAACTGATTTTTTGTAATTATAGTATTTAATCATATTTTCTAAAGAATTTGATAAATCTTCATCATTGAAGACACCAGGTAATTCTTTAATTTCATCCAAAGTTGAAATTATTGATGTATATAATCTTGTTATATCTTTATTTATGATTAATTTCTTATTTTTGGAAACTTTCAAGGATTTGGTGGATAAATCATCGATCAAAATCAAATCTCTTCTGATAGTAGTGAATAATAAATTGTAATTTATGAAAGTCAATAAAATAGCACGATCTTGAATTTTTTCATCATCTTCTTCGTCTTGATTCTTACTGACGTCGATTTGATGTAATTCTAAGATTTCATTCCACCCAGTGATAAGTTCATCAAAATTTTCAATCTCAGTGAGATTGTTATTGTTGGAATCAACTAATTTAATTAATTTGAAACTGATTTCATCATTATAAATTCTTGCTTCATGATCTCTCCAATTGACAGATTCAATTTTATCAACAGTAGATGAGATTTCTTTAACATATTTGTCATCAATCGATGATATTAATTCAACTATTGGACTTAAATATGGTAATTCATTATCACGACAATGCTTTCTAGAAATTGATTTTAAATCGATTAAATTCAAGTTCAATTGATTGACTGATAAATTGATAGAAGGATCAACAACAGTGTTGATTAATTCACTTATAATGGATTTATTAAAAGTTTCAGTTTCAGCTCTTTCGTCATGTAATAATTCTAATCCACATCTTGCCATGGAGAATGAATTTAAAGCTTTTGACCATTTTCTTTTATGAATAGCTAAAGAACCTTCATTGATGGCTGCATAAATATAAATTTCGAGTAACTTGAATTTATCTTGTTCATTCTTGACAACTTCTAATAATTTCTTAGTTCCGATGATAGATCTTTTCAATTTACTGATCATTAAATTTTTATATGATGATGCATTACCTTCATTACTGATCTCCAATAAACTTCTGATTTCAAGACTGTATAATAAATCTCTTTCACTGGTCAATAATAAAATTAATCCGAATCTTTCATCATTTTCATAATCTTCAATAGAAATCTTGCTGAATTTTTCTTTGGTTTTATAATTTTTGGTATCTCTGGTAACCAAATCTAAATCATGACGTAATCTGAGTAATTGTTTATTAATTCTCTTACGGTATTTATGGTAATCTTCGGCACTGTTAAGATAGGCAGTAATTCTGTTACCTATCGTCAATGCTAATGGTGAGTCCATGATTGAAAATTTTCGACGAGATCGAAATTTTTTCTCAGTCTCGCGATAACATTTTGCAACCAGATTTGGGACCATACAGGTAGTTAAGGTTGTATATTATGATAGCATTAGATGTTCAATTGGCACTATCCCTATTCTTTAATTGGAAATTGTACTGTAAAGTCTTGTTCTTTAACGAAAGTCTCTATCTTCACCGCGTCAGTTCTGTTTCGTCATGAAGTCGCCAACTCCAAGCCAGACCCACCTCAATGACAATAATATTCACAACACAACTTGAAAAGAAAATTGACTTCAGACAACAACAATTTCCAACACACAAATAGTCTGTAATCACAAATCGGGCATGTTCATATTGGATTATCACAAAAAAAAATATAAAAAATAAATGGTCCCTAGCAGGATCGAACTGCTGATCTCGGCGTTATTAGCACCGCGCCTTAACCAACTGGGCCAAGGGACCTGGGGATAGTTCATGATAGTTCAGGAGAGTTGAAGTATGTCGTGAAAATGGGACAAAACCGAAAATCATCATAAATTCATGTACCCCATGCATAGAGGTAAATAAACTATGCATAAATGTGGTAAATTAATCAAATTGCTATCATTATGGTTAAGTTGTTTGAAATTTTAAAATTTTCTATAATTGATTAAATCATTTTGAAATTAAACTAATGTACTTTTACTGATAAGTGCAAAAGTTGCAAAAAATAAAGAGAAAAAAAAAAATTTATAGGGGTTTTAAAAAATATCAATTAAAGGGTTGGATTTAAGCGATATCTGAAACATCAAAAGAAATAATCTGAAACAACATGAAACAAATGGACCATAATAAGGGCTAGAATGAATAAAACCAGTGATACAAGAAGCTGTCCCCATATTCGCGAAGTCTCATCTTAATCTTAACCCACTTAATCAACCAGATCTCAAACTGGGGACTAATTGGTAGCAGAGGTTTTGAGGACGAATTTATGTGGGCTAAGCCAATTGAATGATTTTACCCCTTGAACTAGTTCGAGAAGTATTCGAATACCTTCCTATTGACACAAATGAGTTAATGGGTGAAGGTGATGGAGGTTTAAGAAGATGGAACGAATTGAAACAACTACGGTTCGTTATAACTAACCACATGACATATAATCATATTTTTGATCAATTTCGGCGCTGCAAGTATCACAAGATCATACAACTTGTCCACTCATCACCAAAATCGTTGGTGGATTGTTATTATCGACCTCCGTTCTTTCCCGATGGTGCAGAAGTCATAATCGATCCTGAGGACATGGGAGTACTCACGGAATATGAACCAGTTTTTAAAAGGTTTCGGGTGAACCTCGAAACTAAAGGTAATCTTGAAGTATATGAACAATTCTGCCACTTATGGCCCTCACTCAAACCCAGCAAAGTAGAAATATATTCTTTTGATGATTTGGAATATCTTATTGACTTCGAAGTTGATTCTTTAGTTATCCATGGGGCGATGGACATTCCTAAATTCCATTACGCTAATTTGAGAAAGCTTGAAGTCGATATCACACAATGGCTACTGGATTACGATAGGTATCTCAATCTTGAAGAATTGATCATAAATATTGGGGATAGGAGAGATCCCAGCCTAGATGTGAACATTCCAACACTCAAATCTTTGAAAGTCAAAGCAATATTTCCACTTCACTACTTGAGGGTTAAATTACCTCCTGGCTTGCTTCAACTTTTTATAGATGCAGATGTCAACATTTTGGATGCTAATCTTCCCGATTCTTTGATCGAATTTCTCGCTGAAAGAGTCGAAGAGTTTCAAAACCTGGGAACTGATGGACTTCCCCCGTTTTTGGAAAAGTTGGATATTGCAGCCTGTCCAACTAATAGCACTGGCAGATGGAGGTCTAATGGGTCGGGACTCAATGAGTTGAGGTATCACGAGTTGCGGTTCTTGAGACATCTTACTGTCAAAAATGACCCACAACGCAGAGAACTCGCGATTCTCAGTTTACCGGATTCGTTGGAATCATTGAATATCATAAAATCGGTGAAACTAGCAGTCAAATTCGATGAGCTTCCTAAATTTAGGGAACTCACGATAGCTGCGGCTAACTTTCTTGATATTTTTGAAGCTTATGAGGAAAACAGTCCATCTCTTGCCAATGCTTGGACAGTCGAATATGCGAGCAAGACCTATTGTATCCCCTTTAGTAAGAGTTTAGAATCTTTCTGTGTGAGCCGGTTCCCTGAAGATATGAGAATCATTTGCTTCCCTCAGTCCTTGAAACACATAGATGTTTTCATTTCAGGGCCACTGTTTTTCGAAAAACTTCCAGTTGGATTGAAAAGCTTGAGAATAAATAATTTGTTGGGGTCAGATTCCAAAATCAATTTACCACCCAACCTCGAACTTCTCCAAATAATGAACAGCGATTTGGAAAATCTTAAATACGAGAGAGTAAAGCATCTATTTCTTCATTATGCAGACTCAGGCTATTTGGATTTTGAAGAAGTAAACCTCCCCAAAAATTTAAAAACTTTGGGATTTATTCAAAGAGTCGCAGGAACCACGATTGATCTATCAGATACAAATTTGACGAAGTTTTCTTGCAGAATAGATGGTGAGAAAGATTCGGAACTGTTGTATAGCGATGAAGGTGAAATTATTAAAGAAGACCCGTGTCACATAATAATGCCACCAAGCCTTTCACTTCTTGACGTGCCCACTGGCTATGGTATTGAGTTGATAATAGACTTGAGTAAAGTTAATATGAATAAGCTACGAGCGGTATGAGGAGCTGAAAACTTGGCTGCAAAAAATCACGAACTTGGGAATTATTGAGCAAGTTCACAAAAAGATTCTCCAAAATTTGGGAAATACAGACCTCATTTGAATATAAACACGATTTATCCCTATATTTAATCAAGTTTCTCCAACCCTTTACTAAACTAATCATTGTGTAAGGTGCAGAATGGTCTAAGAGTTAAGAGCAAAAACAGAAGTAGTCTAGGTAGTAACAAACAAATAAATATCAAATAAAGAAGTAAATAAACGATTCAGCTACTCAGTAGCCGAAATAGAAATCTTTAGCTAACCAAGCACTAAGCATATCCAATGCAACTTCTGGTTGATCATGAGGGACCATGTGTCCACTTTCATAAACTCTTAAGAAAGTTAAACCTTCAGCTCCTCTGACTTGGCCAATTTCTTTACCATCTTTCACCCATGGTTTGAATTCTGATTTTTTGTACGAATCATCACCATCAAACTTAATCATATTGGAAACAAAGTCGTAACCTACCCAATGACAAACGAAATCTTTGTCACCAGCGTAGAGTAAAACTGGTACATTGGCATCTAAAATTTCGGCAAGTTTCTCTTCATATGGGATAACTTCATCCCTAGCTAATGCAAATCTTGCCCCTACATCGTGATTACAGAATTTGTAGTCGAAATTAGGATCAACTCCTATTGCTGCTCTTACTGACTTCAAACTCAAAAAGTCAGCAACATAATCTAAATCTTTATAACAGAGACCATCGTCTTCACATTCCCTTCTCAAGTCATATGGATTCAAGTTTAATTCTGCAAGTGGTTCATAACAGATTTTCAGATAATGTTCAGCTATGAGACAAGCAAATTTGTTGAGCAGAACAGCACAAAGGTACGAGAAAGTGACCGAAGCATGAATGTTTTCGTTCAAGACCTTACACTGTTCTTCTGTGTAGATAGATGGAATTCCTCCCTCACCACAAAGCATTTTAGGTGATTGTAATTCCTGATGACTCGCGTCAACATAACCATTACCGATCAATACTGATGTCAATTTGAACGATCTTTCAGGGTGTTTCAATATATTGGCACCAATGGCAGGGATGTAATGACCGGCGTATGATTCACCAGCAACATGAAATTCATTTTTCAAGAATTGAGGGAATTTCTGGAAGAACAATTCTAAAAATACGTAGACATCTTCAGCAGCTTTTTCTGAAGAACCAACGAAACTGGAGTTGGTATAAGAATAACCAGCACCTACTGGTTGATCTAAATATATAACTGAAGCATTGGAATTCCAGGAAGATGGATTAAAAACTGGTTGCAATGTTGAATTGATGAAACTACTTCCCAATTCAAAGAACAATCCACCTTCGGAGGCACATCCTGGTCCTCCATTTAACCATAAAATTACAGGGTCATTTTTAGGATCATTTCTACTTTCAAAAAACCAAAAAAAGAAATGTTTATCAACTTCTTCTACATCTAAATAACCAACATGCTGTTTAACAGTATCCAATCCCAATTCAATGGGATCAACTTCCTTGATTCTTACGGAATGCCCATCAAATTTCTCTGAGTGGATGATTTCATCATGAACAAAAGTCGATTCGATTGTTACTTCATTTTCAATAGGGGGAACTTCAAAGACTGATTCGAGATCAAGCTCATAAGAAATAGACCGGAAACTACCATCTTCTATGATTCTCTCCAATGCAAGTATTGCAAGTTCCCCAAATTCATTTTGGAATTGGGTTGATGTTTTATCAAGAAGATTGTAAATTGTTTGCTGTGCTTTAGCTATCTTTTTAGTGTAATCAACTTCATTTTCTAAATTGAACAACACCTGAGAAGCAATTGTTAAGCTGGCATACAAAAAGATCCATAACTTCATGTTGTTGTAGTTTGAGGATTTTTTTACAGCTCCAAGTCCTTTGATACGTGAGGCTCTTATTTAAACAGCAGCAAAAATGCGAGTAGTGTGTGGAGAATAAAGTTAATAAGAGAAGCATGAGAAGGGGATATATTAAACTTCGTAACCAAATGTGTAATCGCCAGAAAGCCATTGGTTGAGCATATCCAAAGCAATTTCAGGTTGATCATGAGGGACCATATGTCCTGCATCATATACTCTTAAGAATGTGAATTTGTCATAACCTCTTACTTGACCTCTTTCTTTACCATTGTTGATCCAGGGTTTGAATTCCAGATTAGTGAATTCTTCTTGGTATTTATGTTGAACGGTGTTAGAAACAGCATTATATCCTAACCAATGGCATTGGAAATCTTTATCACCAGCATAATGCAAAACAGGTACTCCATAATCTAAAACTTTAGCTATATACTTTTGATAAGGTACTTGTCTATCGTGGGTGTAAGTGAATTCATCAGATACGTCTTCTGAACAGAATTGGAATTCTAAGTCAGATGGAATACCAATGGCTTCTTTAGTTGATTTCAAATTCAAATAATCCCCAACATAAGTCATATCTTCGTAACAAAGATCATTGTCTTCACATTTTCTTCTTAAATCATAATTATTCAAATTCAATTCTTTTAAAGGTGCATAAGTTAAATTACAATAGTAATTTGATGGGATACAGGCTATTGTGTTGAGGAATGTGTCACAGATTTGCTTAAATGCCAAACATTTGTTCAAATAGGTATCCATTTGTTCACATTGCTCATCAGTGAGAATAGGATCTAAACCTCCTTCAGAACAAAGCATCTTTTGGTCATAATGTGATTGATAGAATTTATAAACAGCACCATTACCCACCATCATTGATGCTAACTCAAACGATCTTTCCGGGTGATCCAAAATCTCTGCACCAATTCTGGGAACATAGTGGCCAGCATAAGATTCTCCAGTTAAATGAAACTTGTTATTCAAATATTGTGGAAATTTTTTGAAAAAAAGCTCTAAGAAGATATAGACGTCTTTTGCTGCTTTTGTGGATGTGTCCACCTTTTCTTTACCTCCATAACTATAGCCAACACCAACAGGTTGATCCAAGAAGATGACTGAAGCGTTAGAATTCCATGAATATGGATTGTACACTGGTTGCAAAGTAGCATTGATTGAACTACTACCCAATTCAAAGAATAATCCACCATTAGAAGAACATCCTGGTCCACCATTCAACCATAAAATGATAGGGTCATTTTTAGGATCATTTCTAGATTCAAAAAACCAATAGAAAAAGTGTTTATCCACATCTCTTACATCCATGTAACCAACATATTGTTTCACAGTATCAATGTTTAAACTTTCAGGGTTGGTTTCTTTGATTCTTAATTGATAATTTTCTTCTCCCTCCATGGTTAAGATATCAAAGTCAGCATCGTTTTCATCCATAAAGTTGAAATGGGAATCATTTTCCACAGAAGATTGGTGATTGTACTCTACTCTGTCCTCTTTTTTCCTGCCACTGATGAATCTTTGAGCTTCAACAACATGGTGCTTCAATTCATCGTAAGTTAAACCACGAAGTAAATGCTTCCAAGAGTCTTCTAATTGTTGCAATTCAGCATTTCCAATGTCAAGTTCATGGAATTGATCAAAGAATTCCGGATGTTCTTGTAAAATATCATGTTGCAAGGAGAATGGATTCTGTCTCGAAGGGACAGCAATAGCAAAGCTAGCAAGCAGCAACAACGATAATTTCATTTGTTTTGAATCGATCAAAGCTTAAGTTTTACAATGGTAATAAAAGGACTTTCTCATTTTTTGCATCCGTAGAGGCACACACGACCACTGGCGCAAATGACGTACATCGTATATCAAATATTTCGAATATATACCTATTTAGCTAGTTGGTGTAAAACTGACGAATTGTCTAATACTATCTTGGCAGCTCTTGCCATAGCCCTCTTCTTGGAAACATCAGTAGCTACTGAAAATAAGTGATTATTAATTTTCAAATGAGCTTTGAAGAGCTTGTCATCAGTTTCTTCACAGTCATATTCTGGTATTGATGTGTAATGTTTAGATAAAATAGCGTATAGTTTGTTTCTGGCATTTATGTCAAATTCATCATCATTATTAGCGATCAAAGGTAATTCCTTAAATCCAGAAGCTAAGCTCGATTCATTACTAGAATCAGAAAATTTAGATTCTTCCGTATTGGTGTTTTGAGTATCATTAACACTAATAGCAGTCTGAGATCTGTCACTACTGACTCTGAGCTGGATGTATTTTTCCAATAAAGGTTTATTTTTCAAAGCGATCATTGCAGCTCTCAAACCAGCTTCTTTTAAACCTGGGGCTATTCCGGTACCAAGGATCTCATGCCCCATCATACAGTCCACTTCAAACGGTTTAGATGCACCGTCACCAGTTTTTATCACTTTATAAGTAGGATGAAAAGATGCTGAACCAACCAAAGAGTATAATTCTGATTTTGCATCTTTATTCACTTCTTCAGTTTCTTTGATTTCATTATCGAATTTGTTCAAACGGTTCAAGAATAACTTGTACAACCAGTTTTTGATTTCATCATAATCATGATTTTCCATTGCCAAAGCTCCCACATAGGCTTCAAAAATATCGGCAAAGATTTTTTGCTTACCTTGTCTTAAAATGGCATCATTGATATTAGATTTCAATTTTTTATCAAAACCATAGATCAAGGAAAATTCTGCCAATGTCACATTGTTGACCAATAAAGATCTCATTTTAGATAATTCACCTTCTGATGCTGAAGAGTATCTTGTGTACAATATGATAGTCGCTATATTGTTCAATACTGAATCTCCCAAGAATTCTAACCTTTCATTATGTGAGCTAATCAATTCACTTTGCGATAAATAGCTCTTGTTGTTTATAGTTGATTTATGAATGAAAACTCTGGCGTACAAATGTGGATCTTTAATCAATGGTAATTTAGGTATAGTGTTATCTGAGTCATTATATGTGTCGTTTTTGGATTGGTCATGAATGCCTATGCTATGATTGTCACTTATGTTTGAATTTTCAGGAGAGGAAATTGTTTCCAATCTCAAATGAGAAGATGCTTGAACTACCGGGGTCCTTAAAGGTGAGTCCACTGAATTGATTTCATCATTGTCGAAATTTTCACTTGTTACCATTTTCAAGTCATGTCTTTCAAAATTTTCATTGATGATTAACCTTTCATCGTTGATGTTATTTTCTAAGATGGAGTCAAATATTTCCAAGTTGCCAAATTCATATAATGACTTCAATATACTTGATAAATGTACTAATTTATTCGTTTTTAAGTTATCAAAAGTCAAAGAATCAATTTCTTTTGCTGTCATAAGTTTATTCAAATTTTCAACATTTGGAGCGTCATCCAAAATAATCTTAATATTCTTTTGTAACATCCTAGCACTATGTTCCAACTTTTTGATATCAACGTATCCAAAAGCTGAACTTTTAATCCCAGTTTCAGGGGAATATCTCGGAGTCTTTGTCTGGTGATCTTCATCACTGACATCTATTATATGCCTTTTGTTGTTATTGACCATATCTTTGCATTACCTCGTTATGTATTTTATAAGCCAAGTCTTGTGTAAGATATTTCAAGCACAAGTTTCAAGAGGTGGTTGCGCGAAAAATTTTCCTCTGCAGCACCTGGGTCGGTTTTGCAGCCACTATTTGGATATACTTATTACATGGAAATTGAAAGGGGAGACAAATATTATTATGAGTGAAGAATAACAGATTAAGATAATAAAAAAATGTGTCTATTTTTAATTCTATATATTACCAGGCAGCTTTGGCAACAAAACTGTGTGGAATATTTCTTATTATAAGTTTTCTGGTTTCATCGTATGCAACCAATAATACCCCAAAACCCACAGCAATAAAATAATATTCAACTGGTACTGAGGATGATGATATAGCTTTTTGAACGGCTGGGATGTTTGTCCAGATAAATGTGGATGCAAATACCGGTAAGACAACAAGAAGTCTCCAATTCAAATTCTTAAACAACGAAACGTATCTTGATCTTACTACCATCAAATTAAAAGCTTGTAAAATAACCAAAGAAACAAAATAAATTGAGCATGAAGAAGCCAATAGACTGCTAATCCTAACAGGATCTTCATAATCACCATACGATTTAAGTGCACTGAAAGGGATTCCATTTCTGGTGAAATGGAGGAATGACAAAAGCATTGCAACGAAACATTCGAATGTTCCCACAAACAAATAAGAATGGAGTAATAATCTCCAATCGACTAATCTTTCCCCACTGACGCATCTTGGTTTCTTGTAAAGAAGATTTTTTTCTGGTCTTTCAAGACTGATTATCATGGATGCCACACAATCAGTTAAGCAAGAGATGATAATCATACAAAAACTTGATAACATTTGTGGATAACCTCCCAAAACATTCAACAAGACTGCCCAAAGTTCACTGAAACATCCAGCAGGTAATAAATAACAGATTGTTTTCTTGACGTTTTCAAAAACCAATCTTCCATAAATTAATGCTTCTACTATGGAAGTGAAGGAATCGAGCAATACTAAATCACTGGCTTCTTTAGCAATTTCTGAACCATCTGCCATTGATATACCGACATCGGCTTGTTTTATTGATGGAGAATCATTGACCCCATCACCAGTCATACCAACTACATGTTTCCGTTTTTGAAATTCTTTTACAATCTTGAGCTTCTGTTCAGGGGTAGTCCTGCTAAACACAATTTCGTTATAACTGGCTAATTTGTCCCAGTCGATTTCACTCAACCTGTACATGTCGGGTCCGTTAATTACCACAGACCTATCTTGAGAATTATCTGTAAGGGTGTTGATATTATCTATTTGGTCATGTTTAATGATACCACATTTCTTTGCTATCGATTTAGCAGTCAATTCAAAATCTCCTGTTATCATAACCAACTTTATACCGGCGTCTTGCAATTGTCCTATCACTTCAGGTATTTTGCTTCTCAAAGGATCACTTAAACTGATCAATCCGTCAATAGTAAAATCTTCAATGTCAAAGAAATCATCATCCATGTTGACCTTATCCAATATCTTGGAACCAAGTAAGATCACACGCTCTCCATTATTACTCCATTCCAACTGTTTGCTAGTGAAGCTACCAATGCCTACATCAGGGATTGATTTCAAGCCATCAATTGCGTTAAAGAACTTTGCCTTCTGTAAAAGCACATCAGGTGCACCTTTAACGGTTAAAATGAACTTATCTTCGATTTCATCTTTGAATATTTTCACCATATATTTCAATTTTGATGAAAAATTTAAGTGTTTGACCAAAGTATACCTATTAAGGATGGTGTTATAATCATTGAATTGTGAAAAGTACTGAAATATTGCTGCATCAGTTTGGTTACCACCACCCCTTTCGTTATCAATAACTTCGGTCTCATTACACAATGTACCTATTAATGATAATCTTTCCTGATCACCAAAAGAATTTGTGACTGTCATTTTCCCTGTAGTCAAAGTACCTGTTTTGTCACTACATAAAACTGAAACTGAACCTAATGTTTCAACAATATTCAAAGATTTGACTAAGATTTGACTTTCTTTCATTCTATGTGCCACGACAATCAAACAAACAGTCAAAGAAATAGGTAAACCTTCTGGAATGAACGATACCACCACAGAAACCAAATCAATGATCAATGTGGGAACATTAATCCATTCAGGGTACGTGTGTCTGATCCAGGTGGCCCATAGAATGATCACTAATACCATAACTAATACGATAACAATACTCACAATAGCAATAAATCTAAATAATTCTATTTGTAAAGTAGTCAACTTCTTTTTAGGAGCAGATGATAATTTAGCTATCTCCCCGAAAATGGTGAAATTACCAGTGGAAACAACTACACCCTTTCCATGACCCCCAACACAGAAAGTACCTTGCATGGCAATACTTTCACTTTCCAAGTAATTGAGACTGGAGCTGATAACTTTACCTGGACAGGGAATCGTTTCACCTGTCAAAATTGACCTATCAAATACAAGTCCCTTCAGTTCGAATATTCTTATATCGGCGGCGATTTTAGTGAATGGCTCAATCAAGATCAAATCTCCAGGAACCAAATCTTCTGATCTCAAATCAACAACTTCACTACTTCTTATCACTTTAACCTCAAGAGGAATCATGTTGTTGATCGACTTCATAACCTGACCACTGGAAAAATCTTGAATAAAGTTAAGTACTGCTTGGATAATAAACACGGCTAATAAAATCAAACCTAAAGCCAAATTTGCAATTTGAGGAGGATCACCCAAAGGTTTCCAACAAATTATCGATAATATACCAGCAACCAATAATAAACTACCAAACCCACCAAAGAAATAAAAGAATATCCTCCAAAACAAGTCACCAGGAGGTTTAGATTTTACATTCAAACCAAATTCTTTTATTTTACTTGAAATTTGTTGATCATTCAAACCATTCACCAAATCAGCTTCCAAATCATCGGCTACTTTAGTGATATCATCACTATGCCAAGTAATATTTAGGAATTTATTAGTACCCATCACATCCTCAGCCTCTGCAGCACCATTCGAAACATTACTATCGATGGTTTGACTGATGGTTTTGAACGCGGTGGGTAAGACATCTTCAGCCCTACTTGTAATAGTGAACATCGAATTCGATCTACTTAATTTGGAGTCGATGTTTCTGTCCTTCGTTTGGGCTTTGAATCTGACCATATCGTTTACCGTCCCTATTTCTGACTCTGTATCATACTTGATGGAATCTTCTGTATCAAATTTACTCATATTTGGTGTAATTTTAATTCCAAGTGAACCAAGGAAAGGTCAGTATCAAGAAGGATCTTTAGAAGATGAATTCACAGAAATTAATCTTGCAATTATCATGATTCAACCTAGAGTATTTAAATAGTTGCAACCATAGATCTTCCCAACCATGAAGTGGCTGCGAATTATTTTCTACAGGAATTTGAAAAATCACTCAAAATTAACTATCACTAAATAAGTGAAAATTGAGGTATTTATTTTCATGTTACAGAAACTTGAGGTAGTAAAGTTAAATACCTCAACGTAAACAAAGAAGAATCTCTAAAAGTTCGTTTTTTATAGGCTGAGTTTGGATTTGGAAACAGATGGAAATTGAGGGATTTTACAAATGACATCATTAATGCCATAGCAGAGGATTGACATGGGAGTGGCCATGATAATGTTTTGACATATGATAAATGAGTTTGGAGTTTATACCATATTGGGAGAACCAGATGGGAAAAGTCAGATTCCAGGTTTTTTTCCGTCTGGATCAGCATATTTCAGGAACGGCATCAAAATCAAATTCCAATAAATTACTCAATTAAAAAACCAACGATTTTAGTACGTTCAACACATCAACAACCAATGTTAAACACAACATTCAAAATGATTCTGACCATTATCCTCACGAATGGTTTTGGATGAAGAATACGCAGTGAGAAAACTACTGAGAACTGAGAAAATCTGAAAAATTTTAATCGATATGATTTCTTCAATCATTTCACATAATTTAAGAAGTATAAACCTTCTTAGACCAATAAGAAATAGCATTCAAGTATCAGTAAGATCTTTAATCTCCAGTAAGACTTATGCTACCTCCACCGGTGATAATGCAGTTCCAGATTTATTGAGTAACCAAAGAAAAACCGCCAAACCATTATTATCAAGAAAGACCTTTTTATTGGATTACTATAAACATTTGAACGATACCAATGAAATCATCTTATACGTCCATCACAATAACATCACAAAAAACGAAAACAAGAAAATCAGAAATGATTTGTCAAAAATAGGATGTAAATTGAATGTAATCAGAAATAGAATTTATGGTGTTTATTTAAGATCTGAAAATGAAATCGACCCTGCTGATAAAGAAACCTCATTCAAGAACAAAAAAGTAAATCATCCATTATCACCATTATTAAATGGTCCAACAGCTATTATAACTATCCCAACATCAAATCCTCAAACTGTATCCGACGTGCTTAAAATTTTGAAATCAGTTCAAGAAAAATTATTCGTTGTCGGAGCTAAAGTTGAAAAGAGTGTATATGATGTTGATCAAGTTAATCAATATAAAGATTTACCAACCAAAGAACAATTACAAAGTCAATTAACAGGTTTATTAACTATCTTGGGAGGTGCTGGATTAGTTCAAACTTTAGAAAGTAATACTACTTCATTATATTTAACCTTAAAACAACACGAGAAACAATTATCTGGGGATGATGAATAATTGTCAAAAAAATTGTAAATAGTAAACTTTTAAATATATAGTAACAGATAAAATCGCATCTCAAATTTTTCACTTTCAAAAGATGGATAAACTGTTGCAAAAAACTGAACAAGAGGAAATAGAGTCCAAAAGAAAAGTCTATAGAGAAGCTAAAGAACAAACGAGGAAGAATGCCAGAAGACTTAGATTCGATGAAAGTAATCCTCAACCTAAAAAAGATCTGGTAGATTCACCCAGAAAAAGATTCTATAGACAAAGAGCTCATCTGAATCCATTTAGTGATCATAGATTAGATTACCCGAAATCTCCTGAATCAATGGATTGGTCTAAATATTATCCACAATATCATGATAAAGAATCTAATAATATGTTACAAGATGTTGAAATCGCTGATATTGGATGCGGTTATGGAGGGTTATTAATTAACTTATCTAAAGAATTCCCAAAAACTTTATGTTTAGGTATGGAAATCAGAGTTCAAGTCACTCAATATGTTGAAGATAGAATCATTGCATTAAGGGAACAAAACAAATCTAAAGATATTAATTATCAAAACATTGCAGTAATTAGAGGTAATGCAATGAAATTCTTACCTAATTTTTTCAAGAAAAGTCAATTATCTAAGATGTTTTTCTGTTTCCCAGATCCCCATTTCAAACAACGTAAACATAAAGCTAGAATTATAACCAATACATTGTTATCCGAATATGCTTATGCTTTAAAAGTTGGAGGAATTATTTATACAATTACTGATGTGGAAGATTTACATAATTGGATGGTTGAACATTTAACAGAACATCCGTTATTTGAAAGATTAGACAAACAATGGGAAGATCAAGATAAGTGTGTTGAGATTATGTATAATTCCACTGAAGAAGGACAAAAAGTTGAAAGAAATAAAGGAGATAAGTTCATTGCTTGTTTTAGAAGATTACCTGATCCAGAAATATAGACTATTTTTTTTTTTCAAAAAAGGGGATTACATATATATAGATAAATAATAATAATTACATTTACATAACGATTAGGATACATCAAGTATCGACAACAAAAACTATATTATCACATATTCTGTAACCAAATTCAAAAAGCAAAAATTCTAGATAATCTAGAATGAGATTTTTTCACCTTCAACATCAGCAGCTTTAACACCAGCAGCTTTAGCTTCTTCAACTAAATCTTCGAAAGTACTGTCATCTTTAATAGAAGAAGTTGGGACTTCTGGGAATTTAGAAGAACCAGTGGTTGAAGCAGTTGATTGAGTTGGAACATCAACACCTTCGAATTTTGAAGCTTTAGCATCACCAACAGTTGAACCAGCAGTTCTAGTTGGGAATTTACTTTGTAAGAAAGAACCAACTGGACCAGATTTTTCAACTAAAGTTTTAACATGAGGAGCAGCAGCATCTTGGGCTAATTTAGTGTATTCAGCAGTTTTATCTTTAGCAAGTTTTGAATATTGAGCAACAGCAGCATCAATTTCTTTCTTGTTTTTAACATAAATAACTGGAACAGTGAATAATAAAACAACTGAAGTAGCTAAAAGGGTAAAGAAGGAGAACCATGAGGTAATTTTGTATAAGATGTATGATAAACCAGCAGCTTTTAAAGTGGTTTCAATATCATGACTGTAGACAATTTTTTGGAATTCTTCTTCTAATTTTTCAATACCTCTACCAATTGATGGTAAAACTGATTCATTGATGGTTTTAGCATAAGTTTTTGATGATGGTTTATATTTAGTAACGAAACCTTGACCAGTAACTAATTTACCAGCATATTCACCAGCAGCTGAGACTATAAACTTGTTAGTAATTGACCACAATATTCAAGAGATCATGTCTTTTCAAATAATTGATTAAACTTGAAAATCCGAAATTTTTGAAAAACCTGAAAAATTTCAGGTTGATCCGTCAACGAGCGATTGATAAGGCTTTTTAAACATGAATTCATATCTGAAAAACGACTTATCAAATACTTGAAGCCAATCAAACCTAAGTCCTCTATTTAATCAATTGAATTGAATCAACATTGAATCTAAAACTCTTTTTTGGAAGGTAAATACATACATAATAAAGCAATATAAGATAAGTGGAAAAAGATGTTAATCAAATTGACAGCTTTGAAAACCACTAAACCTAAGATGATTGAACCGAAAACTTTACCAGTTTGAACTGGATCTTTCCAAGTTAATAAGTCACACAAAGAGGATGATGAAGTAGTTGGAATTGACATTGTTTTAAATTTTAATTGAAACAAATTAGTTGAATAATCTTTCAGGGATAAAAAAATTTTTATCGAGCACTGAGACGATTTTTAGTGGTCTTGTGATTGCTAAAAAAATAGGCTGCAAAATTAGCAAATACAAAAATGAAGACAGGTTGTTAGGTGAAGGGGATTGGTATTGCTTCAAAAAGGCGATGATTAGTGAAATTGGTGAATATTTCCATTGAGAAATCAAGAGATCAAATTGATTTGGTAAATTGACGATGATAGAATGTAACTATATCATTGTTATCATGAACTGAATTTCTTAATTCATTGAACTCCTTTATTTTAGTTTCCCCTATGAACGCTTTCATCCAGCGGCAGTTCAAATGATTGAATTTATATAGAAGTTCGTCACACAATTCATTTAACAAAGGTATTAACCGAGGTAATCTACAGGACAAATCTCGAACCACCTTTTCCTTATCAGAATTTTTTGAATTCAACCTTTTAATTAACCTAGCACAATCCCTTGTGAGTTTTAAACCGACAATCAAAGGTTGGTGTACTTCACGTTCAAATAATAGTTTGAAATTGTCTACAAACACCAGTAATGATTTCATTTTTTCTCGATACTTATCGATGATTGATTCGATATACATCTCGCCTGATAAGACATTCAACCAAAGATGGGAATATTTGGTCTGTTCATGAACAAACACGGAAATTTTAGAACTATATTGAATGAATACTTTCTCCAATTGTTGTAATGATCTGTGTTTAATTTCGAATTCAGTGATATGGCGGTTCAAATTGTGAGACACTGGTTTGGTGGAGGCTCCGATATTATACTCATCAATATCATCAACACAATATTCCAAATTATTATTGAATTTTGTGACAGTGTGTTTATTATAATCTCTTAATTGGTCCCAGCTCTGGATTTTTGGTAGATCGTGACAATTATTGATAAGCTTGTTCACTTTAACTAATGAAAGATTTAAATCATATTGATCATCTACAATGTCCATTATTCTTTTCAATTGTGGAGGATATTCAACAAGTCTCTTCAATGGTTTGATTAATAGAGTTGATAAAGGTAGTTTGTTGATCCTTTTACCGATCATTAACCATTTATCAACCCCCAGTTCACTCTTACTCCTTTCTTCAATAATTGATATAATAAAGCCATACTTCATTGATAAGTTTTCAATTGACTTCTTGAACAATTTGTTATCAAAGATTTTACTTTTGACTATAGAGCCCACATTGAACCTATGGACATCACAATTATATATCAAATGAGGAATATTAAACAGGGTTAATTTTTCATTACTGATAGTGTCGAGATCCAATTTATGGGGTAAAATGGGGGTTTTGAGTAATTGCCTTAGGATTTCGATTAAAAAGAACCTGGATGTAGTAATCAAATTGGTCAAATCATCAAAAATTAAATTCTTTTCACTTAGGCTGAATATTTTTGCAAAACCATCTGTGTTTTCTAACAAAGATTTGTAAACAGTTATTGAAGATAATATGGTTTGAAAGTAAGACACTTCGCTATTTATCAAGGTAATCATCGATTTCTCCAATTCCATTTGTTCATTTGAAACCCCTTTCCAAGAATTTGCAGAAACAGGAGTTCTCTTCACTAAACTCGGGGGTTCGAAATCTTCATCAGATATGGGACTTAATTTCAAGTTTCGTTTATTCTGTACCATTTCTGATTAAAAGAGTAGATCAGGGACTATTTTATATATTTTAAATTTGTTTCAGAAATGAGGAGGATTTGTTTCAGATTTGTTTCAGATTTTTATTTCGCAGCCATTTTTTTTAATCTGTTATGTGGATGAACTCATTTTCCATTATACCTTTTCCAATATAGTTGGTGATGACTTTAAACTTGTCTGATGATTCCTTCAAAGTGGATTTAAATAAATCGGTCTCATCTTTGGATTTCAATTGTTCATCTCTTAATGTTTGTATCAGATCAATATCACTAATACATATGGAGCAAACGGGTTTTGAATTAAGGTGTTCATTGGAACTTAAATAGTTATCATTAAGACACCTTTGATGGAAGGAGTGTTTACATTTGAAATGTATAGCAGGAAAATCTAAATTGAGATTACATGCACTACATTTGTTATTTTGAATAATGAAAGGTTTTGATTTCAATCTATTAAGTTCATGATTATTATTAATAGATTCCTTTTCATACAACTCTACCAATTTTTCGTTGTTGTTAATCTCTTGGTTGTTACTATCGATAATTTCAATCAAATAATCTTTGATGAGTCCTATGGTTGTGAATTCAGTGGAAGATAAAATTTGAATTATTTCTAAAGGTGTTGATAATTTATAATCTTTAATCTTATTCAAAATGAATTTGAAATCTTTGTCAGATACTTTGTCAAAGTATTGTTGTTTGGACACAATAAACCTCAATAAAAACTTATATAATTCAGGTTTCGAATCACCGTATTGATTAACGATCTTAAGACATTCATCTATATCACCAACCAATTGAGCTGATCTGAATAAACTCTCCTCAAACCCTTGTCTTTTCTTGGAAGATAATTCTCCCGGTTTGAAATTATAAATGTGACTAATTAATAAGATTGTGGATTCGTCCAAAAATTCAGAATTATCATCAATAACCCCCTGTGCTTTATCTAACCATTCTGAGTTTTCACTCTTTTTGGATAATGATAAATACATTTCAAATAATGTTATTAATAATTCTTTCTTGTCATTGATGTTACCTTGATATTTATCGAAAGTTTCGATACAAGCTTCGAGGAAAACCACAAATTCATGAGGATTATTCATGAAACTAGCAAAGATCAAACTGGGTCTTGGAGGTAAATAGGTAGGTCCATTATCAACCGGTTCTTCTTCGGGTTCTTCAGCATTATTTGACAAGTAAGCTAAAAAATTTTGATAACTACTAATGGGGAATGAAGAATCTGATACTGGTTCTTTCTCCTTTTCTTCAATTTGTTCATTTAAAACATTTGAATCATGAGCAGTGTATTTACCAGTAAATACATTAATCAATAATTCAGTGGTTTCAATGGGTAAGTTATCCAACAAAGTTTTAGAATGTTCGATTAAAATCAATAATAAATCATCGATGGGTAAAGTCTTGATATATTTCAAACATTTTTTGGGACTTTTCAAATCATTTAATTGAATATCGACAATTAAACTTGGACGATTCAATTTATGTAACAATTTGATAACTTCATGGAAATAACCACATTCTTTGAACAAGTTTATGATCAAGGGGAAATCTAAAGATGCTAATTCGTTACTTTCATCTTCATCAGTCAAATCCAATTCATTAATGAAGGTCTTGATTTTGTCAACACTCTTCAATTTACAATAACAGCATAACAACAACGTTATGTGATCATTATTGGCAATATCCAATTTATATAATTGATTCAAGAATTCTGTCAAATTATTAATATTGGAAGCATCCTTGAATTTGGTAATGATATTGATAATGAAATCATTCAATGTTTCATCATCTTGCTTCAAATTTAAGTTGGGATCCTTGTAATAATTCAAACACTTAATGAATAATTTTATAGATTCGTGATAATCTTGCTTGTTATACAAAAAATCTCCGTGTAACTTACAAATTCTCAATAAGATATCTGGAGATAGTTTCGATTGTTTTGCTATTTGATATGATAATTGGAATAGTTCTCTTTGTAAAATGATCTCTACTTGTTGGTTGATTGGCTTTTCATGGAATTTATATAACATTCCATCCGAACTCAATAAATATATATCCCCCCACATTTCCAAAATATGATTCATGGTGGTATTGGGTAATGTTACAGTGAATGAAATATGCTTATTATGAAGATCAAGAATAATGACTTTAGTTGTTTGTTTACGTGAATTTCCGGTGGAGTTCTCTTCTGGTGATACCATCAAAAGATAGTTCTTCTTAAATCTGTAGATGATTTTCTTCTTTATTTCGAAATTGATTATATGACTTTTACCAAAATGATTATAATACCTTAAAGAAGAGTCTGTTCCTACGATTAATTCCTGAGTAGACTTATCCTTGGTAGAACATTGTAAAGGTACGCCAACTTGTTTGGATAATATTTTTAAAGGTTTACCTTGGTTTCTCCCTGTGGTTGCCACAGTTAAGATTTTCGAAGTTGTAGTAACATAGATCAACTCATGATACTCATTGAATTGTAAACCTGTAATAGGATCAGGAGTTTCATAAATAATTCTTTGTTTTGAACCTCTATCTCTAATCAAATCTCCACGGATTAACAATACCTTCCCATTGGTGTAACCTACAGATATACATGAAAAATCATCATTGAATATGAAACAACTTATAGGAAATGAATTATCACCATTCTGAATCATCACTTGAGTTTGATATTTCCTCTTCAATACATCATCAGGATCTTCATTCTCATTCAACTCTATCGATAAGATTTTAGATAAATTCCACAATTTCAAAACTGAAGGGAACCCTTGTTTTTCAGCAATTGTCACAATTAAATCCAATTGATCGATGGAATTGACATAAGTTATAGTATAATCGGAATCATAGGCCATAAAAGTCTTTAAACTTTGGAAATCTTGAGATATTATCTTTAAATAACAATTGTCTATTGATATAACCATATATTTCTCTGTCGATGATATGGCAGTTAATGTAGTATTAGAATATAATGCATCATCAGAATTATAATTGGGATCTCTTATCGGCACTATATCAAACAATTGTAATTGTCTCCAATTAGATGGTAAAGACATTAGTATGCGAAAATGGAGATTTTTTTGTAAGAACTTAACTGATACCTCTGGTACAGGATCGCGAACTGATACACGAGAAGTGAGAGAGTGAATTTTTCAACGGTTCAACAAATGAATTACGATCCAATACATGACAGTTTTATGTCATCAACAACACCACCATCCAATAATGGTAATCATAACAATGGTATGGTAGATCCAGCCATCACTAATGCCAATATTACAGAAATGGAACCACCAAAAATTTCATCAGCTATTCAACCACCTAATTCAATGGCTCATTTAATGAGTGATGATATTGAAGATGACCTGATGAATGTTAGTCATATGGATGAGGATAATGATAGTGATAATGATAATGACGAAGATAATGATAATGATAATGATAACGAAAGCAGTAAGAAATCCAAGACTAAAAGACCTGTAAGTGCTTCAATACCAAAGGGAGTTAGGTATTTGAAGAAGACCGACGGTGAACCTTTTTGGAGGAAAGACATTCAATATGATTTTTTAGAGGCATTATTTGAAAATGAGCAAAGAGTTTTCACCAACCTGTTTGCTTATTGTACAGTGCCGGGATTTTATGGTGGTGCAAAATATACTTTTGCTGAACTTTATGTTCGTACATTAGCTGAATCATCAAAATGTTCAAAGATTTTAAAGGAGAGATTATTGAAGGATTTTGATATGGGTAAATCAGTTGCTAAAGTTTGTTTATTGGTTAATACAGGTAGAATGAATACTACTATCAATTTTGTTCCTGAAATGAGATCAACTTTAAGAACTTATCATTCAATTCCTTCATTACAAGCAGATCCTTCTTCAGGCTCAACCAAACCTTTACAAGATACTCCAAGATTGAAATCAATTTTGAAAGCTGTTAGTGATACCAATGAAGATTTCAAGACTGTGGAAGATTTATTGAATAGTCCACCTCAAGCAAAACCCAATACTAATCTCGTTTTATTATTATTCTTATTGAGTAACAATGTCAATGGTATTAAATATCATCATTTACATGATGAAACATGTCATCATGTTTCTAATAGCTTCATGGAATTTTTCTTGGAAACTAAAATTCATCCTAAGAATAGAGCACAAAGATTCTTATGGTTGATGTATACATACTTAGAAACTAATTTTAAAGATGAAGAATTGGCTCAAAATCCTTTTGGAGGTCCTACAATGCCAGATATTGAATTGGTTCCTGATAATGAATTGAATAATTTCGATAAGGATACTGATTATGAAATTGAGTATAGTGAAAGAATGTTTAGAACCAGATTGAAATATTTAGCCGATGAAGAACATAACAGTAACCCTAAAAGGGGCAACAAGCCACGTAAAGAAGATCTTGAAGATGATATAAATATAGATTCTAAAATTTTAAAGTCAGAGGATGATAAAAGACCTTTAGAAGATGCTAAAGATAAAAAACGAAAGAAAATCAAATTACCTCCACAATTACCTGATATGGATGAAGATGAAGAACATGATTACGATTTTGACCATGTTAAATTTCCTTTGACAGGTATCAAAAAGATCAAGACTTTAAATAAATTCATACCATCCAAAGCTCCTGATTATTCCATTTCCAAGGAATTCAAGAACAATTTGAACAACAAGACAAAAGGGTTAGTAGACACAGATAAAGTAAACCCCAAGAAGATTTCATTATTGAAAGATTGGATAATGAAATTCTTCCAATATAAGAAACAAAGTGGGTTACTTTCAATGGAATGGGAAGAAATACGATACGATTTAGTTTATGGTATTGAAGACTATTTAAACGAATTCAAGGGTGAAGAATTATTGAAATATGGAGGAAAACTTCCTTCAGATTATCAGTTCAAACCTGATTATGAACCAAGTTATGATTTTGAATTGATGAATGAAAAGACAGATTATTTACTTAATTTGTTAAATATATCAAAGGATTGGATCATTTCCAAATATAATCAAGAATTCGAAATACCTACCATATCATTTGATTTTGAAAATGAAAAGTTAATCATAGAATAATTATACAGTTATATCGAATAATCTCTTAATCAATACTTTAAATGCTTCTGAAGTACCTAAATCATTGACGGTGCTTAGATATATTGGGGTTAAATCTTTGATATTATCATCTTTTTCTAGAATGATGGAGAATTTAGATCCACAAGTACTTAAATGTCGATTTTGTACTATTATTTCCCAGGAGAATATTATTTTACATTGATTGATTATGAATTCTAACAGGTCTACTGTCCTCATAATAAATTGTTTTCTTGATTGATTCAAGATTTTGAATGCTGATGATATGATTGAACTGGGTATGAGGTATTCTTTGAAAGCTTGAACTAAATCAATGAAAGATTCAATTCTGGAGTTGAGAATTTTAAATAAGGAATTTAATCCATATGCTATACCAGATATATTACATTCAGGCATGTACAGTTGAACAATTAAATTATTTAATTCTGGTGATAGACTGCCAATGGCCTTAGTGTTCTTAATTTCTATCTTTTCTATGGATTCATCTTTATTAACTGTCATTATTATAGGTATATCAAAATATTTTGAATTTAACGAAAAGTCATAGACTATAGTCCCTCCTGAGACTATATGAGCTTTCACTACATTAACACTAGTAAACCTCTTTACATAATTCAATCTGTCTATCCAATCTTTCGAAGGTTCAACATTGATCTTTTCCAATGCAGCACTTTCATTAGTTTCCATGGAATTAAATCCTGGTATGGGAGTTTTGGCGAATTGTTCATTATTTTCCTCAATTAAATGATCTAGACTTCTCTCAGCTATGATTCTTTCCTTCTGCTCTTTCAACTTCTTAATCTTAAGCCGTATGGTTTCAATATCATTCATTTTCTCCGTACGTGTATTGAAAAGATCTTGTTTTTGTTTATTTAATGTGGAGATTAAGTCCGATTTCTCGTCATTAACTTTAGGTGCAGTAGTTTTACCTTCAATATCGGCCAATAAATCATCGAAATCGATCATCATATCATCTCCCATTGTTTGATCCATGGTATCATCAAGTTCTTCTATTGATCTTTTTTGCATCTACTTCAAATATCAAAAGTCGCGATTGTTTCTCAGAGATGTTGCCTATAGATAAAGGAAGTGAATTCTCCAAGGTATGTTGAATGAGTTCAAATATAAAACGTAAGATGACTAACAATTTAGTATTATGGGAAAAAAGTGTGTATCGAGTTGAATAAAGTTAGAAAAGTCGTAGGAACTTTAGTTGGAAGTGATGTATGTATTATAAGAAACCAGATGTTCTCCAAGAAAAGGTACTAACGTCTAGGAATCAATGAACATGACATTAGAATCAGCAATAGAAGAAACTGAATCAGGTGATAAGTTAAGTTTAGGAACAGTGGTATGTATTATTTGAATAAATCAATCGACACCAGAATACTAACAATATAGATGATTAAGGGTTCATCAATCATATCAATGGAAGTATGTATAAACTAATCAACCTTTAGCAAAAGTTAATAATCTTACTAACATTCTAGGCTCTTGAAGTTGTTTAACTTTGTATAGAATTTTACATGAATAAATATATATTTTGATCTAGGCATTAAATTTAAGAAACATTTCATTACCTCCATTAGTGTAACCACATTTCTCATAGAATCCAATGTTTTTAGGATCACAATCTAATATGATCTTATAACAACCTCCTTCTTTTGCAACATTAGTTAACCCAACTATCATGGAATATCCTAATTTATTACCTTGTTCTGATTCAGCAACAGCAATATCTTCAATATGGGCGTAGATAGAACATTCATGAATCATTTTTCTTTCAAATAACACCATTCCAACAGCTACAATCTTTCCTGACTTATTGGTGATAACGTGTGGATGAAATATGTCTGACAATGATTTCCAATAATCGAACAATTCATTGAATTTTGATTCCAGTATTTCCCCCACTTCGGTCAATACTCTTAAAACATCAAGGTAATTGTTATGGTAGTCAGTCTTTTCCAAAGGTCTAAAGGTATAACCTTCAGGTATTGTTATTTGTTTGTCAAAAGCCATGAATTTTTACGCACCCAAATCAAGAAATAAAGTTGAGATCTATTTATATATATTTTACAATGCATCGAGAACGTTTTTGGTCTTAGATTCTACTTGCTTGAGTTCATTTACTAGCTTAAACTTATGATAGTAATTTGTACAATCCTGATTGATACAAAAATTCGAAATGTTTTTGGAAACTTGAAGGTTTCGTTGAATACAATTATTACAAATCTTGGTACTATCATTAAGCTTATCTTGAACAGATTTAACTTTCAATTGGTTAGTTAGAATGGTTTGATATTTGTCATCATTACACTTGGAACAGATAGGAGTCAAACTGGCATCTCCACAATTCAAACAATTTGATTTCATGAATACTCTGACTTCATCTTCATACAGAATCTTAGGAATTTCACTGTACCATTGTTGGATATCACAACCCATAAGATTAAAAATTCTCTCTAATGGAGGTATCAATACCTTGGTAATGTAATATTCATAATCCAATTTGAAGTTGGTATTTTCAATGAATTCTTCAGGGGAAATACATCGATCTTTTAATCTATGTTTGGTAGGATCCCTTATTACAACATAAGGAACTCTTTCACGATATTGAGGTTCATTCATAGCATCTTGTTCAATCTTCTTTCGGGCAACTATAGCTCCTGGTGGTAAATATTTCTCATTCTTATAAGTTCCATATCTAACTTCTTTAGCAAAACAAAAATCACTAATTAGAATTTTATTGTCCAAGATTTTCCTGAATTGATCTTGAACATATTTCTTTACTTCGGACAAATTACTACTATCGAATAATATTCTTAGAGATTTCTCTAAGATCTTTTGTTGTGCCGGTATACCATCTCTCCTAATAGTTTCGATCCCCTTAGCATCAAACTTGACTGGTTGGCCTAGATATTCATAACTATATCCAACATATCTTTTTTTACTCAATAACACACATGGATGATAAACTTTTTCGAATTTCAATTTGATGGGATCAGGGAATTTCTCCGATATGGTTTTGGCTAAGATTTCACCTATCTCAAATGCATCAGGTAGTGATTTACCTGGAAGATACACAAATAAAGAATCAGTATCACCATAAACCACTTTAGCTCCAAACCCACTTTGTTCAATCATATCAATTGATTGACTCAAGATTTCTCTTCCTGTAGAAACAATGGCATCTGCTATATCACTATTGGGCATTCTACCACTATAAGTGGCTGAAGCGTACCCATAAGTAACATTGGCAATCAATTTAAGTGCCATCTGACGAGAATTAAACACTTTATATAATTGAGGATAATCCTCTTTCTTGAAAGTGTTCAAGAACCTTTTGATATTGATCCTCATAGTTAAAATTTCTGATAACATTTTGGATAATACAGATTTTCTGAATTTTTGATTCACAAAGACATAACCATTAGGTGATATGTTCAAACAATTTTGTTTGTTTAAAACATCAATCAAAAAGGGATGTAAAGGAACATGATTCAAATAACCTATGTTATTCTTCTTAGGATCAAATCCATGTAATTTACAAAGTATGGTAGAATAACAATAATTATAAGCAATCATGATTGAAGGATATAAACTTTGAAAATCAAGCACAAGTAATGGAGATTTGTAAAAATTCGATTCGGGTTCCATGATTAATGGAATTTGTTCCAAGGCTCTCATCTTATGAACCTGTAATTTGGTAGGGGAATTAAGAAGAATGTTTTCCAGTTTAGCAAACCTTAATAGAATGGATTCGACTTTGAATTGTGAACCTCTATAAAAATTAGAATTGAAATCGATCCCTATTAATCTTGAAGATTCAGTATTTTTGGTGATAAGCTCTTGGGAATTGATGAAATAGTCGATGATAGCAACTTTCTTAAGATAATAATTGATACCCACCAAGAAGTTTTGAAATTTGGGAGACTTAAGGAATTGAGTTAGTTGAAGGTTCAGTATTTTGGGGAAAGTTGAATGTAAAACATGATAACAACAATTTTCAAAACTATAATTATTCAATGTTAATTCTCTTCTCAACACTCTCCAGATATTCAATGTGTATCTTCCTACAATGGTTATTACTGAGGTATGAGTGTATCCCCATCTATCACCAATTTTACCATTATTTTTGTGGGAAGTTTTACTTAATTCAGGCGTTACATCATTACCCAATTCTCTTGATCTAGCAATCAAGTATCCCCAAGAATGGGAATTGATTTCGAAACCTGAAAGAATATCAGGATCAAACTTTCTAACGATTTTGATCAATTCTTTCATCATCCCCAATTCATCATCCACCAATATACCACTATGATTCCCCATAAACCCATGATTAAAATGCAGTTTATTTACAATGTAACCTGACTTTTTATCATGAGGAAAAGAACCATTAGAATCATCAAATTTGAAGAAGATGATTGATATTTCATTCTTACTTGGATCTGGTAATTTATTGGTTGTTGTATTGATATGAAGTTCCATGATGAAATTTGTCAAGTAAACAAAGTCATTGGGTGACCGATCTATCTTATCATTGATAGAGATCTTATAATTGGAAGTCATGGAATCAAGTTGGGATTTGAACTTTTGATATTTCTGTTGGTCAGATATCTCAGCATGATAAGAATCAATAACCGATTGCTTTGAAGGAGGTGAATGGTATTCCACATCTCTGAATTCAGTGGTAGGTGGTAAAGTATCTCGAAGATTCTTAGATACAGCAACTCCTCCAATAGTCAAATACGGTATATCTTGTTTGAAAGGAACCTTGATTCTCTTATTGGCAAAAATCAACGGTTTTGTTATGTCTTGCTCTCTATCATAATAAGGGTCAGGATAATTGATCTTAATGATCTTATTATTCTCCAAATCTTTGATAATGTTATCTTTAGAAAATGAATTGTCTACTAGAGTAGCAACAGGTTTGTGATACTGAGTGAAGATTTGACTATCGTCAATTTTAGAATACTCTTCATCATAATTTTGTAGTTGAGAAGAAGCAGGATCATCCGAGCCCATGGCCAAGGGCCCGTCTTCATCCTTGTCTTTAATTTGTTCGTCGAAATCCTTAACATATTCTTTGTCAGAATCCGAATCAAAAATTTCAAATTCGTCTTTCTCTTCTAAATGGTGAGTTCCACCTCCATCTTCAAGTTCGAAATCAAAAGTTTCCACGGGACTTATCAGAGTTTGTGAGGTTTGTGACCATATTTGATTAGGTATTACCAAGTCAAATACCACTTTGGAAGTCTCTCGTTTTTCAATAGCTACAGTTTCGAATATTGTGGGATAATGTTCATAATCTTTATTAATAGGTTCAATGATTCTGGATTTATAAGTTGATAAATCTTGATTATAAGACTTCGTTAATGTCACAGCATACGATAACAATTTATTCAAATCCAAGGTATTTGACCAGATGGAAGAACCTTGAATCAAATTACTGAAATCATCAGAAAACTTGAAATTCAAATCATTAAGATTTGACTGGAAATCCAAATCTTTTAAAATTGAAGTTAATGATGATAAATTGATAGTTTCGTCAGCAAATATATTGAAATCATGATGGATAAGTTTTTGTGACACCAAATCAGCATTGGTGATATAACTAGTCTTAATATCAATCTCCAATGTCGAATGACCTATACGAGAATAGTTTACAAGATTATTCTTGATGTATGAAGACAAGTAATTTTTTAGAAGTTCAGGATCATTTAGATTTTGAATAATAGGTAATCTAAAATAGCAATGAGAAAGATTAATCCAATCACAGGCATATAGGTTAAAATCTTGTAAGAATTGTGAAGTAAATGGAATATGACTTTCAAACACTTGAAATCTGAAATTATTTGATTTTGAAAAATTCTCCATTGAAAGTTTATCAATCGAATTAGTAAATCTGGATTTATAATTTGGTGATAAGAAGTTAATTTTATAAAATAATTGATATCCCACTCTATATCCATAAATGGGTATACCTTTACATAATGTAATACCAGCAATATAATTACGTTTTTGCCCCAACGGTTGATTATTCTTCGTTATAAGGGTATGTATGAATGATTCCAAATAATTGGTTACATGAGTTAAATGATTCAGTTGGGATTTAACAAAACTATAATCACAGGTTAAATAAAGGTAAGGGAAATAGTTATGTACATGAATTAAAGTATTAAAGCATTTCTTCTCATTATTATGTTTAAGAACCAACGCTCCATAAATCCTTATAATTGGAACTTGTAACGCTTCTTGATACAAGTTGTCTATTTCTTGAGGTGAAGTCTGATAAGTATCATAGTTATTTATCTGGATTCGTATGTCATTATTCATATACAACTAAAGTTCAAAAATGCGCGATCTAAAGAGTTAGACACTTTAACGGTGGGGGACAAATTGACTCAAAACGGATTTTACACATAGCAATTAAACCTAGGTTAATTTAGAGTTGTTGTGGGAAACCTTATAGATGATTTCTTGTTTTTATCACCTGATAAGACACGGATAAGTTATTTAATAAGCATAACTGCCTTAGTTAAATGGTGACATGAAATAGCAATCTAAGCCTTTGAAAAGTCTCTCTCAACCTTCCCCCTTGCATGAAATAATTCAGGTTTATAATCATTAACCTATGAATTGAAACCCTTAATTTCAAATTGTTCATAATAACTTACTGAAACCTTTTAGAACCCTTATTACCGAATTTTATCAATTAAACAATAAGTTAATTTCGATTGATATGAAATTAGTAGTGTTGCTTTAAGACTTTTTATCCCATGAACAAATAACTCTCATCTTGATTGTTCACTATTAACAAGTTTATAATTGAAGATTTCTTTTACTCTTTTAATTAAGGGGGTTTAATTGTTGTTATAACTTATTTCACTTTGTTTCATTCCCCACTTAAATTGTGCCCTTTTAATTCAATTGTTTGAATTTGCGTTTGAAACCAAAGTTTTTCAATGCAATGTCGCAGTTGTCTGTACGACATCTCCCACCTTAAAAAAAAACTTGAGGTGTTGAAAACCTCGAATCTTGATTTTAAACAGGAATTCAATATTTAAATAATTTCAACATATTCAAACAATTGTTTAGAGTTGAATAACTTAATATCATTAATTCTTGTTTAACTCATTTATAATTAAAGATTTTGTGAATTATCGGAGATAATATCTTAAGCAAAATAGCCTAAAGTTACCTGCGATTATATTACTTATTGTTCAAATAGACGCCCCTGGTTGGATCAAATTTGTTTATAAAGATACATATTCGTTGGATTTTTACATTGAACAAGTGATCTAGAACTTCCTAGTTGTACTTATTTAACACCTATTGTATCTAACTCATCTGAAAGTTGAAATCAGGTGTGATTCTACAAGAGGTAATTTTTACATATATTCATTTTTTATATTTCATAATTTTTATTTCAATTTTGGTAATTCAAGGGTAAATTCTTTTTTTTTGTAAGGAAACATTTTATATTATAAATCCATTCATAATGTCAGATAAAGAATTAAATAAATCGATACAAAATTTATCAATAAATTCATCAATGAATTCATCAAATTCTTCGGCATCTTCAGTTTCAACACCAATAAATTCAACTGATCAAAGTCCTAAATTAAAATATGATAATTTAAGTCCATCAATTTCAAGTTCTAATCATATGCATCAATTAAATAGTGATGTTCAAGCAAGAATATTAGCATTTCAACAGAAAAGAAGTAAAAATTTAGTAAAGCCTAATGATGATGATATTTCAAAACCTTTACCTCCATTACCTAATCAACAAATACGATCTTTATCATCCAATGATGCTAATGAAGTACTTACATCGAAACTGGAACAAATTGAACAATCTTCCATTAAGGATTCAACTTCAACATTTACAATTTCTAAACCAACAACTCCGGATTTAGTTAATTCAGATATATCCAAAAAACCTTCATTATCTCAAAGACGTAATATGAAATTAAATATCAATGATTTGAAATCTCCTCCAACATTAAATAGTCCTCCATTAAATTTAAATGCTAATATAATTGAACAACCAGGTTTAGTTAATTCAACCGGTGAATTGAGTAGAAGATTAAGTGAACATCGTAAGAAGCCTAATTTCAAGTTAAATTTGAATGATGAGGAAAAAACCATAAATAATTTAAAAGCAAAAGATCCTGAATCGGCTCAAAGTAGTAATCCCGGATCTGCTGATACTTCAACCAAACCTGGTGGATTATTTGCTAATTATTCAAAATATATTGATATTAAATCAGGATCATTAAATTTCACTGGTAAAGCTTCATTACATTCAAAAGGTATAAATTTCTCCAGTGGGGCATCATTTCATATTTCCCTTGATCAGTTACAATTCATCGAAGAATTAGGTAGAGGTAATTATGGTACAGTTACTAAAGTTTTACATAAACCAACAGGAGTTTTAATGGCAATGAAAGAAGTAAGATTAGAATTAGATGAATCTAAATTTACTCAAATCTTAATGGAATTAGAAATTTTACATAAATGTCATTCACCTTATATTGTTGATTTTTATGGAGCTTTCTTTGTTGAAGGAGCAGTTTATATGTGTATTGAATTCATGGAAGGGAGATCATTAGATAGAGTTTATGAAAAAGATGTTGGTATTAAAGATGAAAGTTATTTAGCTTATATTACCGAATCCATAATAAGAGGATTAAAAGAATTAAAAGATACTCATAATATTATTCATAGAGATGTTAAACCTACTAATATTTTAGTAAGTAAAACAGGTAAAGTGAAATTATGTGATTTTGGGGTTAGTGGGAATTTAGTAGCATCATTAGCTAAAACTAATATTGGATGTCAAAGTTATATGGCACCTGAAAGAATAAAATCATTAAATCCTGATGATAGTACTTATTCAGTCCAATCTGATATTTGGTCATTAGGTTTAACTATCTTGGAAATAGCCAAAGGTAATTATCCATATCCTGCTGAAACTTATGATAACATATTTTCTCAATTAACTGCAATGGTTGACGGTGAACCACCTAAATTAGATGCAAAATTATATTCTAAAGAAGCTCAACATTTTGTTAAATCATGTTTAAATAAAAATCCTGATTTAAGACCTGATTATCAAACTTTATTAAATCATCCATGGTTAGTTAATTATAGGAAAGTTGGAGCTCCCGGATTTGAAGATTTTGTTAAAGGCAGAATCGAAGATATTCATAATGAATCTTCAACAAAGAAAAAACCTACTGAAAATGTAAGTAGTTTATTAAAGACCAAAGTTAAAGCTCCTGCTTTACATAGAGGAGGACTTTTCAATAATAATAGAAATTTCATACGTCAATGATTTGTAGCATAAATATACCACCAATTAATTAATTTCATCTCCTCTCTAACAACGTCTTTTGGGGGTGGTTTTTGCGATCGTTATCTTTGATAAATCAAGTTTCCTAGCAGGTCCTCACCTATTCTCAGCCATCAGCTAAAGTGCGAAATTCTAAAGGTCGACAACAATGTTACAAATAGAACAAAATAACTTATTATTAGAGAAAACTATTACGGAATTGATCAATTCAGAAGATTTAAAAACTGTCGAACGACTTTTCACTGATTTTGATTTCACAACTTATCATGTTTCAAATTTGTCTGATGAAAAATCATTGATTTTAGTATCCATATATGTTAAGTGTTGGAATGATTTAGTTAAATACGGAGTTGAAAGTTATTTAGATAGTAAATATTCAAAGTTTTCCAAATTTTTAACCAAGACCAGTCAAGAATCAGGTTATGATTATTCATTTAATTTGGATTTATCAATTTTAAAACAAGAATCAATTGAAGTTCAAGACGAATTGATCAGTGAATTATCAAATTTAAAGAGAAATTGTATTGCCGCCCCTTTTGAACAAGCTTTCAAAAGATATGATGAATTAGCTCAAGCTTATGCTAATGTTGATGTTTATTCTGAAGAAGTTAAGCAAGAATTATCTAATGAATCAGTTTTAACTATAAATTATAGAGGTATGGACGAATCAATTTATATTAAACCATCATTCGATAGAGTAACTGTTATATTTTCCACAATTTTCAAAGATGAAACTGATAAAATCTTTGGTAAAGTATTTTTACAAGAATTTGTTGATGCCAGAAGAAGATCAGTACAAACAGCTCCTCAAGTTTTATATTCTCATAATGAACCTCCTTTGGATATTAAAAGTTCAGTTAATCATCATCCTAATGAAAATCAAGGGTTTGTTACTTTTGTTTTATTCCCAAGACATTTAACTAAAGGTGATAGAAGAGATAATTGTATCTCCCATATTCAATTTTTCAGAAATTATTTCCATTATCATATTAAATGTGCTAAAGCTTATATGCATTCAAGAATGAGATTCAGAGTTAAAGAATTCTTAAGAGTATTAAATAGAGCTAAACCTGAGAATTTAGATGAAGATGGTAAAGTAATTGAAAATAGAAAAACTGCCAGTGGTAGAAGATTTGAAATTGGAAGAGCCTAAGTGTTATTAAATGTTTATGAATGGATATATATATTGAAAATATAAAGAACAAGAAAGAAAATCATGATACTATTTACATTTATTCAGGTTTTTTAACCCCATATTTACTTCTTGATGTGGCTCTATTGGCAACTCCACTTAAATCATAAGCTCCTCTTACTAATTTATATTTAACCCCCGGTAAATCTTGAACTTTACCTCCTCTTACTAAAACAACATGATGTTCTTGTAAATTATGACCTTCACCTGGAATTAAAGCACTAATTACATTACCATTAGTTAATCTTACTCTACAACATTTTCTTTGAGCTGAATTTGGTTTTTTTGGTTTGACAATCATAACTCTAAGAACAACTCCTTTTTTGAAAGGATTGGTTTCTAAATGGGGTGAATTTGGTATATATGGTTTTTTAGGTTCTCCTTGTTTACCACGTTTGATTTGATTTATGGTGGCAAATCTTTTTTGATTAAGCATGGATGTTAATGAAGGGCTAAATATTCTGGGGGTTACCACATGGTTTGTGAATGAAGTTATTGGCTTCACCACTGATTTAAGTCCCAATAACTGTTTGAACATGGTTAAGTGAAAAATTTTTGTGCGATTATGAGACAGTGTAGGAAGGTTGGTAGAAAGAGAATGGTTGAAGTTCGGGAGGTATATCAAAAGTGCTGGACAATGTAGGGGTATCTTACTGAAGGAGCCATATCAGAAGTTCCAATAATTCGATAAATATCCTGTTCCACCATGGGATCATTAACTAAATCTCCTTCCTTTAGCTTTGGAGACTACAGCTCACAAAACATCAACTTCGAGAACTTCACCTACTACAAAAACTCCTTATATTACGCAACTTCTTAAAGCAACCAACACCATTCCCAGTCTCTCATCTTCAGTCCCGTTTAATCACCTTTTACCATTAACTTTATATTCTTCCCTTCTCCGGGTAACCCTCGCCTATATTCTCAAATCTCAACCACTAAAAATTCAACTCAAACGATGTTTAGAAATTTAATTAAATCATTACCAAAATCCACCGTTAGATTATCAAACTACAGGGTAAATGTTCCTCAACAAGTTTTCCCAACTATAAGTTACAACAATGTTCGTTTTTATTCTGCATTCCCCGATTTAACCAGAGAAATCGCCAAAGAAAGAATATATGAATTATTAGAAGGTTACGATAAAGTTTCCACCACCAAAGAAATAACTGACGATTCATCATTCATTCAAGATTTAGGATTAGATTCTTTAGATGTCGTTGAAGTTGTCATGGAATTAGAACATGAATTCAATATTCAAATACCTGATGATGAAGCTGATTCATTAAAAACTGTTGGTCAAACTATTGATTACATTTTAGCTCAACCAGATGCTTGTTAATATATTTATTCATTTTGTTCCCCCTTACTACCCCTTCCCTCTTCTAACTCTTTGAGTCAAAGGATTAATGAACGTATCACGTGACGTATTTTTCAACCATTTCTCAACCAATGGAAGTGAGAAAATTTCCCATCAATCATCATGGTTTCAGTATGTAAATAAGACACCTATAAGAGTAACCAAAATCATGTCAAACACTCAATACTAACTAATTATAGTACAGTAAAGGTCCAAGTTATAAACCTATTCCAACCATCATAGGTCTCAATGCTCCAGTTGTTAGAAAATATACTTTCACATTAGCTTTATGGGGAGGTGCTGCAGCTTTCGCTATTGCTACTTTCACTGAAGGTGTTCCATTACTCCAAAATACTTTCTATAAAAAAATTCCATACTTCGGTGAACGTTGGGTTTACAATCCAGATCCTGAAGATGTTCCAGTTTAAAAAAAAAGATCTCAAATAATCATAGAATTCATTGATATATACATTATATTTACATTAAGGAATATATATTAAAGTTGTTCCATCATTATCTCTCGTTAAAAATTCATTAGTTATTAAATATTCAATATTTTGTTTGATATCTTGAATTGAAATTGGTCCTCGTTTATTGTTAACTAACAATTTATTGATCAATTCCATCATTGGAAGTTTGGTTTCAATTTTCATGATTTTGATTAAATGACTACGAATTTCATTATTTCTGTTTCTTTGTATAACTTTATCTTCTATTACATTTGAATCCTTATCTCTTAACATGGGGATTTTCAATTTTTTGGACTTATCGGTGAAATTTTCATTAAAGGTGATGATTTGATCTTGTTCAATTAAGATCTTGTATTTATCTGATAAAGAATTGATAACTCTTTTCAAAAATTTTATATCAAATTTGGTTTCCTGAACTAAATTATTGAATTCCCATTGATCTTGTTCATCGAATAAGTTTATTATGATAGCTTGGTATAAATTAACCAATAATTCATATTCTCCCGATTTAAATCTCCCTATGATAGTCAATTGATGAAGAGAATAATTATCCCAATTCAATTTATGGTTCTTTAATTTTTCATCCAGATTCTTATAATATTCATCAAACTTATCCAAGAATGGTTTGAAATAATTCAAATTTATATCATTTTGTTGTTTAGGAATTTCCGGCCAATGTTTCTTATCCAAGACCAAAGTGGAGAATTCAAACTCCTTAATGAAATCAAGTTTATGATATTTCAATTTGGATAATTCCAAGTCTTTAAACATTATATTAAGACCAACTGAATCATCAGTTTCACCAATAATTTCCATAATCTTCTCAACTAGTAATTTTTCAGAATCGATGTTTGTATTCTTATTAAGAAGTAATCTTCTTGATAATTCCCTCTTGAAGATGACGACAAAATCATTCTTATTATTCAAGTATTTGAAAATAGTTAAGAAAACTTCTAAAAATTCATTAAAGTTCAAGGAAGACTTCTTATTGAAGTTTTTAATATTAGAATCAATGAATTTACATAATTGACTGATTATTTGATTATTTATCTTCTTATTGGAATTTAAAGCTTTGCCAAAAGAATTCCTAGCTTCAAGGGAGAACTTATTATCATTTTCGAAAAATTGTTCAATGATTGAATTGTAATAAATACTTGAGCTATTGAGAGTTATGATAAGATTATTTGATTTGTTGTCATCAAATCCATTAATAGTCTTGACAACTTCATCCAAAATCAATTTCCCCCATTGGAATACTAAAATTTTTGAAGAATCAAGACTATAATCTCTCATAGTATTATTACAAAATCCATAAATGGTCTTTATCTGTTGAGGTTGTTTCAATATATAAGGTAAACAATTTTGAATTATATCATTGAAATCTTGGAATATCATTATCCAACGTAACTTGATCAACAATTTCTGTAAAAATTCATTAGATTGACCACAATTTTTGAAAAATGTAATTATTTTCAGAACTTTCAATAAACATAAATGTATATAACTATCAGGATTTTTGAACCATTCATTTTTGAAAGCTTCATAATCTTTACAAATCAGACTGATTAGTTTTTCATTTAATTTAATAGAATTATCAAAATTTAACTTAATCAAAATTTTGGTTATGGGGATTAATTCAGATTCACTATCTTGTTGAATAAATTGTTGTAGGATATGCAAATACTTATTGATAATGATGGTAGATAATTCTGTTGAATCTGTGAGTATATTATCAATAAATAATCCAAGTCCCAATTCTAAGATTACTTTCTTGGTAGGATGTTGCAAAAGATAGTTTCTATCGATGTAAAGGAAAATCTTTCTTAATAACAAGAGTTTATTTTCCCAATCTTGATAGATCTGAAGGAATCTTGTGATAAATTCTGCTGCCATTAGATCACTATTACTTATAGTTTCAATATTGGGCTTGGTAGTGGTATAGAAACTACTTTCAATTCTATCCTTCAAATATTCACTTAATAATGATTGTTCTGAATGTTTGAATTTACAAATACTTTCAACTTTCAGATAATAATATTGGTACCCATTTTTGAGCGGTCTGTTATTGAGAATATCTTCTATTACTTCATGAACTTCTTTTTTTGGACTTTCTAATTGTGTCAATGAGTGTTCACTGGTGATTCTATTGGGTTTAGCTCTTTTCACATCTTGGGGAAAATTACTCAATGATCTTGATCTGGGTGATAAATGTGATTGTATTGATTCAGGTGTTACACCAGGAGGTAAATGAGTGGGAATCTCATTAACTGATCCCATTTTAAGTATCTCTGATAAAGGTTTCATAAAAATTCGCGCGAGGTATCTATCATGGATGATAATATTGATCCTAAAGAACTTTCAAATATTTATAAGAAAAATGGAACTTTCGATAGACAAAGGAAACAGTTATTAGATAATTTCAAATCTTCAATGACTCATACAAATTTACTTTTGAAGTTAAAGATAATGGTTGAAAATAAGGTCAAACAAGATCCTTCAATTTTAACCAAGAATAAGGGTAAAATGGCAGCTTTAATTCAAGGAGAGATTTTAGGTAGTGGTAAAGAAGATGATTCATTTTTAAGTATTGTTGATAAAGATATCCAAGAAAAATTAATCGATTCTCCAGAATTTCATAATCTTATAAAGACTGATTTAAAAGATATCAAAAGGAAGAAACTTGGTATAAGTGATGAAGAATTTGCTAAACAATTAGAAGAAGAGAATAAATTGGAAAAGATTAAATTAGCAGAAAAGGAAAGAAATAATATCAAGAAACATAAAATAAATAAACCTCCTAAAGTAATGATTCGAGATAGAAATAATTATCGTCGACCTACCAGTTCAAATAACAGAACCAATAATTCATCTAAGGATTATCATTTAATGTATTAAAGAAGGAACGTGTAAACTATAAAAATGTATATTAATCATCAGCATCAAAAATTTCATTGGCTATAAACATTAATTCTTCAACCACTTTACTCTTATAACTTAAATCATGAGGGTTCATTGAATTATCATTTAATATTACTGGCCCCCATATTATAGCAAGATTTTTAACTGACATTTTATTAACATCTGATTTTGAAGATACTTTGTTTAAATGGAAAATCAATGATCTTAAAGTAAAATATGATCCATCAGGTAAATTATAAACTAAATGATGTAATTTTTTAGCAATATAATTTTCATCTAATGATTTAACTGTTTCAATGAACGATTGATAATATTCTTCAGTTAATAGTGGTTCAGGTAATGAACTGAAATACAATTTCAATAATGAAGCTATACAATAAATATCAGTATCAATTACATTTGTTGGATCAATATTATTACCAATCATTAAATAGTTAGTAAATTTAGAATCAATAGATTCTTTCAAACTTTGAACAATTGTTACATTACCACTTTTCCTGTAGATTCCTTCTAAATCTAATCCATGAGTTTCAATAACTTCAATACATTTTTTAACAATTAATGGAACATTATCAATACCAGCAAATTGGATTAAATCTTCAATTGAAACTCCAAAAGTTGGTTGTGAATATTGATTTAATGATTTGGCACCATTAAGATCAGGTGTATTTGGTTGACTGGAGGGATCTAATGAGCCATAAAATGATGGTTGAGGATCTGGTTGAGGGGAATTATAACTACTGATTCTTTTATCTGAATTTTGAGAAATATTCAAATTATCTGACCCATTACCTGATAAATTACGATTACCAGAATCATGAGTTTGTGATGGTACTGGTTGTGATGATGTAGTTGTAGTTGTTGTTGATGAATATCCATTGTCTTTAATATTATTATTCAAAAATGGTTTTGTAGATTTTGGTTGATATTTAACTAATGATGGATGAACCTTATATTCAACAGGTACTAATGTTGATCGGTTAGAATTAACTTCTTTTTCGAATTTGACTAAATAATTAAATAAATCTTGTTCATTATCAATCGATGAAGCTAAGGTCTTCATTGATGATTTATCATTAGTTAAAGGAGATATTAATACTCCAGAATTCATAATTAATGTTTCATTCCAAGTAGCTAATTTTTGTAATTGAACATTCATTGCAATATCCATTTCTAAAATTAAATTTTTTAATTTCTTTGAATGATTTGGTCTATAAACCATAAGAATTTCATCTTTTAATTTCTTACAAATTGAAACTTTCAGTTTATAATCTTGATCAGCTAAATCTACTTTCCTTTGTAAATCATCTTCTTGTTGTTCAGCACTTTTATTAGTTAAAGAAAATGATTTTTTACTTGGATCACCATTTTTCAATTTATCTAAATCATCACATAAATGATAATATTTTTGTTTGGCCTTCTCCGCTGCAGTAATAGAATCTTGACATTCTTTCTCTTTCCTCTTACCTTCTTCTTTGATTTGTTTCCTTGATCTTCCCATGGTAACAATTAATGATGATAATTCATCATACATAACGTTCAAAGCTGTAACATATGATGATCCAACATTATAAGATTTTTCATCAAATTCAATTATTTGATCTAATCTATTACTGAAAGAATCACTCTTTAATTTACTTGGATTCTTCAATGATGCTCTGAATTGACTACCAAATTTCTTCAATTGTGAATAATGATCATCTTCAATTATAGCTTTTTTCTTGATATATTTTGAAAATTCTTCTCCGGTATTGATGGATTTCTTTAACCTTTCCAACAATATATCCAAACTTAAGTCCGAATTGAGGATTTTATTAATATTGTCTTTATCAAGTAAGGACTCTGACATAATTATCGATATTTTTACTGCGCGCGGATCTCAAAAGAAATGATGATGTTTACGTTTTTTCGGACCTGATTCTATTTTAATACACTGCGCAGACTTATGAAGGATGATTGAACAAATTCTTCAAGACATTCAATAGAGAAAGAACGTTACCGAACTATATGCATTTATTCTCTAATTAAAGAAAATACTATTTCTTTTATCTTCTTCCATACCAAAAGTGTTTACCCCATTCTCTGCTGTAGCTACAGAAAATTCCAAATCATCAGTAGTTATCATATCCCAAAATTTATAAATCATCATCACAGCAAAAATATTACAAAGGGATCCAAAGAATAATCCATCGATATAATGTGAAGTACCTTTACAAATTTGTACGTTGAACACATAAACTAATACTTGTCCAGCAACAAAAAAGAATACGGCTAAACTTATAGCACCTAACGGCCAATTTGAATCTAAAGCAAAGAACACTAAAATGACTTGACTTACAACATATGTAGCTAATATGATAGCATTAACAATATAAGTTATAATAAATATAGCTAAAGTATCTTTATTATTGGTAATCCCCCAACTTTTAAAACTTGAAACGGAAACGAAAAAATTTATTAAAAACCAAATTAATGATATTATTCTTAATAACCACATGGATTTCCTGGATCCATCTTCCCAGAATTGGAAACAAACAAGACCATTATATAATAATGATATACATGTAGCTGATGCTAAACCTAATTGAATAGAAACGAAATAACTATAACTAGTTGAACTTGGTGGACTAACACCACAATCTACAACTAATGTACTTACTAATAATCCTATGAATAAGTAAGTAAAATGCAACATTTCTTTTCTACCAATAGCAGTATATTTTTGTCTGATATTAAAGATAATCATTAACAATACAGCTAATCCACCAAATTGAACAAACGCATTACCTATTTGGAATATCATGGTGTTTGCTAATTCAACTGGTCTAGCGTAACATTCGGGTAAAATTCCTCTGGTAAAGTCTTTACTTTGACTACCTACCACTGAACATAAAGGAAATGCTGCTTTATTACAGATATCATTAAAACTACCAAATGCCATTGTGAATTTTTTTTTTTTTTTCCCTGATTCAAAACATTCGCACTAAAAATAAATTTTAACGTGTAGAGCGGATTTATACATCATAAATTCATTATATACACGGGGGATTACATTTGATATGGAGGTGGGATATCGAAATAACTTTTATCTTCCAATTTACTCAAGTCATTTAATCGATTTTTAATTGTTTTGAAATCCAAATAAGTATCATTAGTTAAAGTGAATGAAGGTTGTACTTTAAATTTCTCATTTAATTCATTGATCTTGGATTGATAAAGTTTATTGATTTTATCATTGAATTCTTGTTTACTGTCTTCTAATTCAGACATAGTATCTTTATTATTGAAATTGAAATAGTTGTTTCCGATACCAACACCTGTTATTGAATTATTAAGGGGAGAATTACTGAAATTTCTGTATAAATGAGAATGTGGATGATAATCTTTGACATCATTTGATTCTAAAATAGTGTTCTGAGGTGAAATATCTGTAGACCTTAAAGGTTTTGGTTGTTGGATTTCATTAGTTTCTTCAATTAATGTATTATCTTCAGAATCATTATCTTCAACTTTCTTATATCTACTCATTGAAGTATTCATTGATGAAGCTTTTGAAACCAACATTGGTGATGATTTTTCCGTCTTTTCAGGTTTTTCGATATTCTTCTTACCTAATTTGATAACTCTTCTTTTAGGTTTTAATTCAATACCATTATTATTATTATTGGTGGTTTTATAATAATTATTGGTTTGGATATTTGAGATATTCTTGATGATTTCTTTCACATTATTATAATCTTTATTAACCAACAAGTTAATAGGTATACCATTGGAATTGTTGTTTTCAAGTTTATAATCATTTAATAAGTTTAATGATGTTAATAAGTTAGGTGATAAATTCTTATTAAATTTATCTAAATTACTACGTTGTATGATTTTCTTGAATTTTGGAACTTTCAATTCAAGAGTTTCTCTAGAATTGAATAATTTCAAATTATGTTGTAAATTTTTCATTGAATAATTGTTAAATTCGTTATTTAAATCGAATAAAACAATTTCTTCTTCTTCATTGATACTTTTTTCAAGTTTTTGTAATAAATTAGTGTCAAATTCATTGTTTAGAGTGATGTATTTTAATGATAATTTATGTAAAACTGTAGGTAAAGTTTCCCTGAAAAGTTCTCTGATTTGACTTTCAATTTGTTTTTGTAAGAAATTTGCCAATACTTGTACCATATCAAAAGTTGAACTTACTTTAATTGAATCCAAAGGATCATTACGGAAAACCAATGTTAAACCTTTTGTTTTAGAGAAAACAATTATTCCAATGGCATTGATTTTGATATCACTTAACTTTAAATCTAAAGGTATTGAAAATTCATTATTAGATAATAAGAAATTAGGTGTCACGAAATTTGATGATCCCCCAATATCATTTTCTAATTCAACTAAATTATCATGATAAATCTTTAAAGGGTTAGCTTGAACTTTGGTATGCAAGGTTATTGAAGAATCTCCGGAATAATTGATCTTAAAAATTCCTCTAAATCTATCTTTCTCCAATTCACCTATTTCCAAGATTTCAAAATCTGGAGGTATTTTACCGAAATTAAGATCTTTAATTTCAATATTAGAAGCAAGAATATTAGGTCTTTTACCTGAATTCAATGCTTCAGTTAATAACTCTTTGGTCCATTCAGACATTGATTGCGTTTCTAGTAAATTCCAATCAACTTTGAATGACATCTTGTTCTAATGTTCTACGAAGGTTCTATGAAATGTATGAATATGTTGATGAATATACTGGCCAGCAATAAATAAATAAAAAATGTAGAAAGCAAATAAAAATCTGATGATTTCGTCTTTGTAAAAAAAAAAAAAATAATAAAGGGATGATTAGTGCGGAATTAAGTCGCACCTATCAAATTTTGAACTTAGGAGATTAGAATCATTTTGCGGTAGAAGGGATCTAATGACCAAGATAAAATCCATATATGATTGTACAATAATAGATCTGGATAATAAGAAAATACCCATGAGTATATTCGAGGGGAAAGTTCTTATTATCGTTAATACGGCTACATTATGTGGATTTGCACCACAATTTATACAATTAGAGACTTTATATCAAAAGTATAAAGATCAAGGTTTGGTAGTATTAGCATTCCCAAGTAATCAATTCAATAATGAAGATCCTAAACCAATCAAAGAATCAATTGAAGAGGTGCGGACGAAATATGGGGTAACATTCCCAATATTGAATAAAGTTATGGTTAATGGTATTGATGACGATGGTGATGAATTATATGAATACTTGAAACTGGCAAAGCCAGGGAAGTTCGGATTTAAAGGAGTGTTATGGAATTTCGTTAAATTCATAGTGTCAAGAGATGGTAGAGTATATCAAAGATTTCCTTCAGAAGCTCCACCCTTAATATTCGAACCAGTAATCCAAGCTTTACTTAAATCAAATTAATGTCTGTAAATAGAAAATTCATAACTAAATAAACATTTAATATCTATACTATACTTTTTGACGTTTCTCCTCAGGAGTTTGGGATTTCTCTGAAATCTCAAGTTTCCTTTTTGGTGGATCCATCTCTTTTACTATACATGCCAATAAAGTTTGACAACGTCTACTAATTTCTGCTGTATTTCTACTCCTTAAGAAGAAATCAAATTTAAATAATATTGAGTCTTTAATACTGGTTCTAATTCTTTCATAAACTTCAGGATTATCAAGTCCATACTTGTATAATGAAACAATTAAATAACGATCTTCATCTTCGGACCAAACTTTTTTATTACTAGAAGCTGGTGGGAATTTTAATGTTAATTGTTGTAAAGGATATTTGTATTGAGCTAATTTTCGACGGAGACATTCTTTTTGAATCTTTAATTTTCGAATTTTTTCTTCACCAGCTTCAATATTGGCTATAAATTTCTCATATCCATCAATATATTTATAATCAGTCCAAAACTTCTTAGCATAAGTTCTAATTTCATCGATAGTTTTAGTATCAAATTCTGATGAAATCAATTGTATTGAATTTCTACCATATTTTGCACTCATTGAAATGAATTTTTGAAATTCATTCCTATTCCAATTACCAAAACCCATAGTTAATAATTGTTCCTTTTCTTGCTTTTCTTCATCGGTCAAAGGTCTTGAATTTTCAATTTCTAATTGTTCAATTTCTTGATCTCTTTTACGTTGTTCCAAAGTTGATTCTTCGCCTGATTTTAATTCAACTTTATGATTAATTAATTTCAAATAATGTTTCTTTTCTAATTCTGCTAATTCAAGTAATTTAATTGGGAAAAATTGATGATCATAAATATTTAATCTTGGTTGTTTTGGTCCTGTTTTAACATTTCTACCAGTATTTAAAACATCACGATAATAAACATCAACAGAATAATTTTCTTTACGTTCTCTTTTACCAGGATTAATCCATGCATGTCCGATATTCGTTATGCCTCCAACTTCCTTCTTTTTGAAATTTTCACCATTCCATTCATAAACACTTTCATCGTTAGTGAAATTTTGTAAGGCATTCAAATCAAGTTTTTGATATCTTTTATTCAATTCTAAAGTTTTGGATTCTGATTCCATTAATAATTTATCAATATCAATATCTTCTTCACTTTCTTCACTTTGTTCCTTTTTCTTGTCATTAGATTTGAAAATTTCCGCTGCTCCATGTTGAATCATATCTAACAATTCATCTTTCAGAGCAGCTTTATTACTTTGATTACCAATATTACTCTTAGTTCCTTGTTGAATAACTAATTGATCTAATCTTAATTTTTGTGCAGCTCTTTCAAGAACTTTTTCTTCAATGGCATTTTCTGTAATTAATCGGAATACTTTAACTTGTTTTGTTTGACCAATTCTATGAGCTCTATCCATAGCTTGTAAATCAGCTTGAGGATTCCAATCACTATCGAATAATATAACTATATCAGCAGTTGTTAAATTAATACCCAATCCACCAGCTCTAGTGGTTAATAAAAATACAAATTTTGATGATCCTGGGGCATTATATTCATCAATAGCATTAACTCTATCACCATGATCAGTTTGTCCATCAATTCTACAATATTCAAATTGTCTAAAATGACAATAATCTTCTAAAATATCTAACATTCTACTCATTTGTGAAAAGATTAAAACTCTTGAACCTTCAGATTTGAATTTTTTTAATAATTTATCTAAAATTATCATTTTTTGGGAATTGAAAACAAGATGCTCATCAGTAGTAAATGGAGGTCCTGGTTCAGCTCCTTCAAAAAGATATGGATGATTACAACATTTTCTTAATTGCATTACAATATTAAGTAATCTAGTTTTGGATTCTTTCTTACTTGATCCATTAACAGCATCAATATCTTTTTCAAGTAATTTTTGATACCAATTTTTTTGCATAGGTGACATATTAACATAAACATTCATTTCTTTCTTTGGTAATAATGATTTTTCCACATCAGATTTTATTCTTCTTAATAAAAATGGCTTTAATACCTTATGAAGTTGTTGTACAATAGTATCATCATCTTCGTTTTCATTAGCTTTTGAAGTTGAATCTGGATTAAACCATGAATCAAAAGATTCACTATCACCAAAAACATCAGGTAAAATGAAATTCAATAATGCCCATAATTCATGTAAATTATTTTGTAACGGAGTACCAGTAATTAATAATCTATGATTAGAATGGAACATTCTAATGATTTGTGATAATAAACTTTGTTCATTTTTAATTCTATGAGCTTCATCAATAATGATATATTGCCAATTGAATTTTTTGAAACTTGATTTTTCTCTTATAACAATTTCATATGATGATATAACAACATCAAAATCACAAGTTAATAATCGTTTGTTTATAATAGCTTGACGTTGAAATTTATCACCTTGTAAGATTAAACATCTAACTTCTGGTGTCCATTTTTTAAATTCTCTTGCCCAATTATCTAAGGTGGATTTTGGTACAATGATTAAATGAGGACCATTAATATTCTTATAATATCTTAAAAAACCTAAAAATGAAATGGTTTGTAAAGTTTTACCTAAACCCATTTCATCAGCTAAAATCCCATTCAAATTATTTTCAAATAATGAAATCAACCAGTTAACCCCTTGAATTTGATATGGTCTTAATTTTCCTTGAACATATGGTGGACTTTGAGTGAATTCTACAATTTCTTGATCATCTTCATTCATTAATTCTTCATCTTCTTCCTTTTCAGTTTTACGTGAATGATTTCCCGGTTTACTGATAGAGTCTAAAACATTACGAATATTTTGATCTTTGCTTGCTTTGGCTTCAATGAAATGTTTGAATAAATCAGTTAATCCTAACAAGTATTTGAATCTCTTTGATGTATCGTCGACATTAAATTTATGACCTTTTGAAAAATATTTATCAAGGTTTGCTTTGATATCAGTAGTTGTTGAATGATCTTCTGGTATGACAATTTCATCAAGATTCAACTTGACCTGTATTGGTTAGTAAAGATTTCTTCGATGTGAATTTGAAACGAGCCAACATACATTTTCAGTATCAGAGTCGGAATCACTCATGGTTGGATTTTAGACGTGTTTGTAAAATGCGAAACCTTTCTACCTGCTGCGTTTGTTCCAAACTTTCAGAACCCATACCTATGAATGGCAATTGACTTGATTGGGACTCTGAATTGGAGTCTTGATTCAATAGAGAAAAGACGGGTTTGAAACTTAAAGACTTCTGGAAAGATAGTTTTGTTAGAGTCAGTTTATGTATCTTGAGATATGATCTCTAAAATAACCGGATAAGAGTTATCGTCATGATTCCAGACACTTCCCATTGACTCACTCTATGTATGTAATGGTGATACGAGCCTAAATAGCCCTCAAAAGTAGGGCTTTTAATTTTTGCATTTTTAAAATAATTAATTTTGTGATTTTTACATATTCACAGAAAGTGAATAATTCTTCGAATTTATCTTTGAAGAGAGAGGAAAAAAATCCAATCAAAGCTTATAAGTATTAGAAACTTATAATAACGTTCAATGGGAAGGATAGAATCATGTTCAGTTGGAAAAAATTCAATTTAACCTCAATTGTCTACTAATGTTTTAAACTTAAAACTAAAAACCATCACATGATAAGTCATCTGATCTTCACGTGGTTTTTTCCAAGACGAGGAAGTATGCGACTCCATTTTCAATGTGAGGGAAAATACCTAAAACGGAAAGTGAAGAACTCAATTGGGAATAATATTGATAATTATTCTCACTTAGGAATTTTCATTACACGAGACATTTTGAAGTACCCCCAAACTTAACCTTCTTTCTGAACACCTCATATATTATGATAAGAGTATAGAATGGAAATAGTAGAACTGATAAATCTCTTGACAATTGCTTGCCATCTTAACTTTCTCATAAACTTTTTATTATTGCCTAGATTCCGTCAATCCAATTCCTTCCTCTTTCCTTTTTTCTTAGTGAGATTTACTCCCTAACATGAAACACAGAGATGAGATGTTACACCACAGTAATAAAAAAGATACAAGGCACTTATATTCATTACCTAATGACGAGATTTTATCATGCCCCTATCTATCACCTCCATCACCTTTTAAACGAATTCTATTATACGATTCTATTCATGAATAACCGAGTCGTGTTCATTCATCAAATCTAGACTTTATATTTTTTGCCTTACAATCGGTTTGAAGTTTTATGTCGCGCTCAATAGGGTAAAAAAAAAATCTTCTTGGCGACATTTATGTAAACAAATGTGTTGAAAATTTTGATAAAATCGTCAACATCCCCCTTGAGAAATTTTTTCTACTTTACTTCCAACTGGATAAACATTAAATTCTAAAAAAGTCATTCCTTAATCTTTTATTCCATTTTAGAATTATCTGTTCCTTTCATTTAAGAGTCCAAGTTAGAATATATCAAAAATGTTATTTAAATCTTTCGTTTTTACCTTGTTAGCTACTACTTTAGCTCAACCTTTAGAAGAACATCAACATCAACATCAACACGAAAAAAGAGCTGTTAAAGTTGTTACTGCTGTCAACACTGTTACCGTCACTGCCGGTTATGGTGCTGCTCAAGCTGCCACTGCTTCATCAGTTACTTTAGAAGCTGCTACCGATGCAGTTGCCAACACTGTTTCTTATGTTCCTCAACAACAACCAAGTAGTTTCAGTAACCCAACTACTTTTGCTACTGTTGCCACTTCAACTTCATCAACCTCAACTCCTCAATCAACTGAATCTAGTTCAGGTAACTTTGATGGTGGTGCTAAAGGTATTACTTACTCACCTTATTCTGATGATGGTGGTTGTAAATCTTCAAGTGAAATCGCTTCAGATATTTCAAAATTATCTGCTTTCGAAATCATTAGAATTTACGGTGTTGATTGTAACCAAGCTGAAGCTGTTTTATCAAGTATTGGTTCAAACCAAAAAGTTTTCGCCGGTATCTTTGATGTTGCTAACATTCAAAGTGGTATTGAAACTTTAGCTTCTGCTGTTAAAAACAATGGTGGTTGGGATAAAATCCATACCGTTTCTATCGGTAACGAATTAGTTAACGCTGGTTCAGCTTCTCCATCCCAAATTAAAAACTACGTTTCAACTGCTAGATCAGCTTTATCATCAGCTGGTTATTCCGGTCCAGTTGTTTCCGTTGATACTTTCATTGCTGTTATTAACAACCCTGAATTATGTGATTACTCTGATTACATGGCTGTTAACGCTCATGCTTTCTTCGATGGTCACTACAGTGCTGACCAAGCTGGTGAATGGGTCTTACAACAAATCCAAAGAGTTTACACTGCTTGTGGTGGTTCAAAATCTGTTTTCATTACCGAAACTGGTTGGCCATCTCAAGGTTCCTCTAATGGTGCCGCTGTTCCTTCATCTGATAACCAAAAAGCTGCTGTTGCTTCAATCAAAAAAGTTTGTGGTGACGCTGTTACTTTATTCACTGCTTTTAACGATTACTGGAAAGCTCCAGGTTCATTCGGTTGTGAACAATACTGGGGAATCTTTTAAAAAATTGATATGATTTAATTCGTATCGGGTCATTTTGATCATTATACCAATATATGTTTTCTACTTACTTTACTTACTATTCTCTGTCGCTTCCCCTATAATTTCTCAGATTGTTTCATATGTTTTGGTCTGGTACACGCAATTAATATGTCGTGTAAAATTCTCTTCGCCGATGTAACCGTTTCAGTGAAAACTTCGTCAAATAATAAATGGCATCCCGGTAGATCATGAGGTCATAGGGTATGGTAATACTATACTACCCGTTTAAATTATTGTTCCCAAGATATTTCATGCAAACATCAGTTGTTAGTTACTCTTTAAGTTTGAAATACCAATCAAATTTATTTTACAGGCGAACATGGACTCATCTAGACTTGTTTAGGTTTTCTTGAAGCCATGTGTTAAACTCTAGTCCGTTCAAAATATTATATTCAAATTCAACAGATATTCTGTTACGTAATGAGAAACGTTGAAATTCTAACATTTGTTCACCCAATTAGGAAGTGTAATGAGATTTCGGCATTTGAGATTTTGAACGTTTATGGGTAGATCCAATGAACACTCAATCTAGATCGAAGAGGACAGCTATTCAATTTAAATCAAGTAAGTCTAGAATTTGTACATTAATTTATTAACTTGAATACCAATCGGGATAATTTTTCATAAAATTCATTATTATATTCATTATTCGTTTCTTTTAAGTTTTGATAAAATAAATCATTCATTTGATTTAAATTTTTATCGATTATATTAATCAATTCTCTATCACCATGATTTTTAGTTGGAGTGTAAACTTTCTTGATAGAAGTTTTATAAGATCCATTACGTTTGAAATCACTAAAATATGATTGAATTGGTGACGGAGAATCTATATTAGTGGGCGAAATGGTTTCACCAGATTTCATTTCGATTAATTTGATTTCTCTAGCTCTTAAACTGATAAAGATAGTTCTCAGACTAATGTTATTAATTTTACAATTATTTTGATAGAACAATAAATCATTTTTCATGGAATTTATTACTTGTTGTTCTAACCTTGGATTTATAGGACATGATTGTAAAATAAACTCTGATCTAAATTCATCAGTGAAAGCTACGTTAGGTAATAGATTTTCATAATTACATAATTCATTGGGTAATTGATTAATTGGTTCAATATCGATTGATAATTCATCATCTTCAATATTGAAATACTCTTGATTCATTATAGTTGATATTTTATTCTTGATTTTGTTATCATTGCTTATAAAAGTTCCATCTTTATAAACAGAATTCTTTGTTCTTGAAATTAAATCATCATCAATTTTTATCAGTTTTTTCAAATTATTATTTAAATCTACCATAGATTGAGTTTTAGGTAAATTGAATTCTTCAATTTCGATTGCAGGTGATGGTGTTCTTAAAGTTTGAACTGATAATTTTCTATTGACATTATTGGATTTATTGGGTGGGAGATAATCAATATTATCATAATTAGTATTCATTGATGAATTGAAAGAATTCTTCCATTTATCTATGAAACTACCTCCTAATTTGGTTAAGGAATAATTGGACGTTGATGATGAAAGTGATGAATTCAATGATGAGGACAAATATGCCATTGATGAAGATTTACTCAAAGAAGATTTAGTGATGGGTAAATTCTTTGAAGTTGAATTGATTGATGTTGATGTAGTTGATTTCCCAATATCCCATCCTTTGAATGAAGGATTGGAGAACGAATTATCTAATGAGCTGAATGATGATCTACCTTTTATAGGTATGGGTTTAGAATTGATAACTGGTGGTTTATAATTATAATCTTCGGAAATGGCATCATTGTTTTCATCATCGAGAGCCAAATCGATTTCGGCATCTAACCGTGAATGAGTCAGAAGATTATCATCATCATCGTCAATGTCAGTATCAATATCAAGTTCATTCATATCTAACAGTAAATTATCATCACTCAATAAATTAAATACTTTGCTGTCAGGTATTAATCCATTAATTATAAATGCTAACTTTTTAGCTACCATTGGATTACCCGTCATTATAACAATTCTTACTATATCTTTTGAATTACTAGTTGAATCATAATCATAATGTATAGGATTTTCGGATAATTGAAATCTTAAAGGAATTATTAATGCAAATAAACTGGATAAGAATTTGGATGATTGATTTAATTCTTTGAATTCTAACCAATTTAATACTTCCACTACCCAATTAATTAATATCGGATGAAATTTAGGAATTTGTGATGATGTTTTGATCAATGAATTACTATTAATTAACTTCGGAATATTGGAATTATAATTAGTTAATTTAATCAATTTTATTAATTGATTGAATAAATCATTGTCACCAGATAAAGTATATGAAGGGAACTGAATTCTTCTGTTAATAATATAATTATTTTGATTTGTACCTTCTTGAACATTCTCGGATAAAATATTGATCAATTTTTTTCCTACAATTTTCTGTAAAACAATTAAATAATGACAGATTACATTCCAATTGTTAGAAATAATATCCGACTCGTCGTCTGGTAAAGGAATGACTAAACCTATTCCAAATCTACTACTAATGTTTTTGGAATTGGTATTAATTTTTGTTTCGTTAATGGGTAATGTGGGTTTTAATACCCAATCAGAAATTGGTTGATCATTTGAATCTTGTGAATCAGTTAACAGGAATAATCTTGTAATCAAAATCGATTTGTAACTTCCATAAGTTTGATTATTAACGATAGGTAGAATATGGATTTTTGTAACTGATTGATGTTCAATAGTGGGTAATCCACATCCGAACATATAATCATGTAATTCATTGATATTATGATGTATTTTAGATGTCAATATATTTCGGGATAAGTTTGATTTGGTATTATTATTAATTTTGTTACTTTTGGTTTCATTCATGGAAGAATCAAACAATACTTGTTTAGTTCTCAAATTACCACCATCTTGTGATACCACTATTCTAAAGAACTTATTATTCAATTCAAAAGGTTTCAAGATACTTTTATCATTAACCCCATACAAAATTTCTCGAGTATAACCATCTTCATAGGAATTTTGACCTGATTGTTGTAATTGTTGTTGAATCGGTAGTTGCTGAGAAGTATCTAAATTTAATGATGATGAAGAATTTTGTCTAAATAATCTCCCTATCATAATGTTAGATTGATTAGTTGGACAGAATATTTATAAAAAGGAGAATTTATTTCTAATCAAATCATTCGAAGATTTAGTTATCAACGTAATATATTTGCAAACAATAAGGGAAAAATGTCAATTAACAACTGATTTGAAATAACTTCCTTAAAAAAAAAGAAAAAATTCCAATAGCTTTTAATTAATGAAATATGCCGAGGGTATATACAGTTCGTCACAATTGTTTGAAAGGTATTGATATGACCCTGCTTTTATTATGTACACGATGTTATCAGAAATTCACTCCTCGTCTAATTTTGAAATAGGGATTAAGTGTACAAATAGGAAAAAATGCGAACCTATACATTTTTTTATTTCTAAACGAGCATTTTTAGGTCATTGGCTGCAAAAAATAATATTTTTGAGAAATATTTACATTTATATATTTATAATTCTTTTAAAGCATCTTCTAAAGCTGATAAGAAGATATCAGCATGTTTTTGTTCGAAAACCAAAGGAGGTCTTAATCTGATTGAATAATCACCACATCCTCCAATATTAATACCTTTATTACGTAAGGAAAGTAATAATTTACCTCTTTCATTAGCATCTTTACAATCCCAAGCAATAAAAGTACCGAAATTTTCACCTCTTAAGTTTAATATTGGGTATTTTTCAGCTAATGATTTCAAGTTGGAGAATAAGTAATTACCAATTGAAGCAGTCTTGTTAACTAAATCATGTTTAACAACTTCTTGATAAATGGTCTTAGCAATTAAAGCTTTTGATGGATCACCACACCAAGTGTTGAATTGTCTGTATGGTTGATTTGGTTGTAATTCAGGGTTACTGAAATAGAATCCAGCAGCTTGGAATTTCTTGGAGAAAGTAACCATATCAGGTGGAGATGGTAAATCAAAATGTTCATGAGCCCATAATTTACCTGAAGCACCAACACCAGTTTGAACTTCATCAACAATCATTAAAACATCATTATCTTGGGTGATTTTTCTTAATTGTTGGAAGAAATATGGAGTAGCATGATTATCACCACCTTCTGATTGAACTGGTTCAATAATCATAGCAGCTACTTTACCATTATAAGATTTGATAATGCTTTCAAATTCTTGTAAACATTTATCTTCTTCTTGTCTGTTTTCAGCTTCAAATTCATTTAATGGATATTTTAATGATGGGAATGGAGCTTTTGGCCAGTTGAAAGCTGGGATATCTAATTTATGAATAGCTTTTGATCTAGTAGTTGATAAGGATCCAAATAATCTACCATGGAAACCTTTATCGAATGATAAAATAACCATATCAGAAGCACCTGGTAATTCATTATTCATTACTGATTCTAATTCTTCAGCTGAAAAATCACCATTTCTTCTTTTAGTATGATGATACATGAAAGCAGCTTTATAAGCAGTTTCATTAGCATCTGATCCTGATAAAGCAGTCCATACTTTATTCATACCTTTTGGAGCAGCTGATAATATACCTTCGTTTAAGATAGTAGCATAATCAGTAGATGGGAAACAGGCTAAAGCTGGTCTATTGATTAATGCATTAGTCATTTCATCAGATTTGGCAGTTTTAATCAATTCAGGATTATTATAACCTAAAGCAATAGATGAAATTTGGGCATAAACATCTAAAAGATAATTACCATCAGCATCTGAAATATAATTACCTTTAGAATTATAATAATCACTAACAAAGTAAGTAGCTCTGTTATCAAATATTTCACCTAATTCATTATTTAATTGTTCACTTTTTGGACCAGGAATTGTGGAGGTTTTCAAAATTGGAGCTTTGGGTTCATCAGGGAAATAACTTTCACAAGTTGATAAGAATCTCTTAGCTCTAATTGATCTAAGATGTTTAATAGGTCTAAGCATTACTGAGGAAATTAATTGAGTGGAATCCAATTATTTTATATTGATTCCAAATTCCACGATTTTTCATGGGTTTGGTTTTCCGGAGAACACTGTCAGTGGTTATACCACTTTAAGAGATTAAGGCAATTCCGTGATACCTTTCCCGGTCAATGTACCATGGAATATTAAAAGAAATCTTACTAAAGGTGATAATTTATTGAATATAGTTGCCGTTATCTGATAAGATATAGAGATAGTGATCAAATCAAGAATTCGCTTAAAATGTGACATTTTCCGAGGAAACTTCCATTATTGATAACAACCACGAAATCCTCATTTGTTTCAATTATCAATCAATAAACCATATATTTGAAGTTTAAGCTACTGAAAAAAAAAAATCAGATCACTGATGAATTTAAACTTCAGCCTCCTCTCAACGATCAGCATCATGAATAATCTCAATCTCACTCGCATTTTTTGCAGAGCACATTTACTTACATATGGAAGAACCAATAAAACCTGAGAAACATCAATTCAAGAATTTCCTAAATAAATTGACGGGACAACCTCAATCTTATTCAAGGAAGGAGCATTATACCTTTGGTAAAACTTTGGGTGCGGGATCATTTGGAATTGTAAGGTATGCTAGAGATAATCAAACAGGTGAAGAAGTTGCTGTTAAAATCATTTTGAAAAAAGCTTTGAAAGGCAATGAAGATTTAGTAATTGATGAATTAGAATTATTATCTGAATTAAATCATCCTCATATTGTAGGATTTAGAGATTGGTTTGAATCTAAAGATAAATTTTATATTGTTACTCAATTAGCAACCGGGGGTGAACTATTTGATAGGATTGTTCAACGAGGCAAATTTACTGAAAATGATGCTTCATTGGTCATTGTTGAAGTCTTAGAAGCCATTGACTATTTACACAAGAAGAACATCGTTCATAGAGATTTAAAACCAGAAAATATTCTATATTTAGATAATACGGAAAATTCAAATGTAGTATTAGCAGATTTTGGTATTGCTAAAAAATTAGAAAGTCCCGATGAAAAATTGCATTCTTCTGCTGGTTCTTTTGGTTATGCTGCACCAGAAGTCATAATTGGTAATGGACATGGAACAAAATGTGATATCTGGTCATTAGGTGTGATAACTTATACTATATTATGTGGTTATTCACCGTTTAGGTCGGAAAATGTTCATGATTTTATTAATGAAGTTAAGAATAATAATGCTGTTATTTTTCATGCCGATTATTGGAGAAATGTTTCTAAAGATGCTAGAAGATTCATTATAAAAGCTTTACAATTTAATCCTGATAATAGACCAACTGCTGAAGAACTATTAAATGATGTTTGGTTAGTTGATATAGCCAAGAAACATAAAGAAGAAGATTTATTACCAAACTTAAAACAAAAATTCGATGCAAAATCTAAATTTAAACAAGCTATTGAACTTGTAAGATTGAATAACAGAATTGCCAAATTGAAAGAAATTCAAACTGACGATGATGATGACCCATCAGAAATCAATTTCTTTGGTGATCAAGGTTCGATAATAACCACATCGGATGTTGATAATGATAATGAAGATAATGATAAAGTAGCTCCTTTATCTTCATGGTCGAAATTGGTAAATTCTTTACCCCATAATGATAATGATATCTCCAAATCTTCTTTAACCCCAGAAGCTGAAAACAAGGATAAGAAGAAAAGCTTAGCATCAAACGCTTTCATTCAATTAGTTCATACTGCTGCTGAGAATAAGGACAGAGTGAGCAGTTTTAAAGAGGATAAATAATCCCTTCGTTTTTATTTATATATATTTTTTTTTCAATTCTATATCTATTATGTGTCATTGAATTCAATTTGTTTCCTCTCCCAAATCTATATCTTCCTCCATATCTACATCTATCCAAAGATACTTGAATTTTAAATACCTAGCCACAAAACATAATCCTAATAAGATTGGTACTTCAAGTAAAGGTCCAAAAGTTGCAGCAATTGATTCTTTACTCCCTGATCCATATAAAGAAATTGAAATGGCAAGACTGAGTTCAAAATTATTAGATGATGCAGTGAAAGTTTGAGTTATTACTTCACTATATTTTGCTGAACAATATGCTTCCCATTTGTCTTTATTGACATTTTTTTCTTTCTGTAATTCACATCCACATAATAATTCAGTAGTTTCAGAAGTTACTGTTTTTCTACCTAGTTTCCATCTCATGAAATAAAATGTCCCAAACCAAGTAATCAAAAAATAAATCACTAAAGGAATAAAACAACGCAATGCTGATCCAATATCCTTGATGAAATCATTCCCCTTCTCGATGAAAATCACTATTATAGTATATAATAAACCTATCAAAGCCCAGGGCCCAACAATTGGTAGAACTTTGGTTTCGTATTTTGCACCCATTGTAAATTTTCCCAAAAATCTAACAACTACACCAATCAATAAAGGTATTCCTAGAAAAAACGCTACACTTCTTGCAACCAACTCGTAGGATACATTGGCGTCAATATCATTGGGACTCGATCCCGTTATGGTATAACAGAAAAAAATTTGATAAGGAGCATATAAAACAATCTGCAATAAACTGTTAACTAATACGATTACAGCACATAAAGTACTATCACCATCAGAAATTTCATTCCAAATCAAAACCATAGCAATACACCTAGCTAAACCAATCATAATTATCCCTCTCCTATATTCTTCTTGATCAAATAATGTTAACCAAGCAAGTCCAAACATCAAAAAGGGACAAATTATCCAGTTAATCACTAAAGACCATAATATTGGCTTCAAGTATTTATCCAGACGGAAAAACTTGAAGAAATTCTCCCATTCCACTTTACAAAGAGGGGGTATAATCATAACTATGAGACCGAAAGCTAAGGGAAGTGACACACCAACTATTTCTGTGCCTTCAAAGGCATGTCTCGTTGAAGGTACGTACACTGATAATAGAATCCCCAATATCATGGATAGGATTATTAGCAAAGGCAATAGTTTGTCCATCAAGGACAAACCACGCACAGCTTCGAGAAGGTTATTTGATAGTCTCATAGCGATAAGATTTTTCCCAATGCGATGAAGCTAAAGAATAAAATTGCCAAGTCTTGAGATCCTTCGAATATAGATTGGGAGTTTGTAGAATATATCCGTAGCTATTTTCATCATTTCAACAGAGGAGAATGGCATTCAACTCAATACAATAAAAGTTTGATTATGTAAGAACTAGTCTCTGAAAAATATGTAATTTATTTTACTCCAATATTTCAACTATCTGATCACTCAAGACGGCATGAGATGGGATGAGATGAGATGAATTCCCAGAATTAATATTTCGAGATCACAAAAGCCAATATTTTGACAGAAACCGATTATGATTTAACCCCTAACACAGTAACGATTTGCAACATACGCGCAAGTGAAGGCGCAAGTACCTGAACCTAAAAGCGCAAGATAAGTTTGATTCCAGATATTTCAATAGAGAAACAATAATTATAAGACCCCTCATACTGTAAGCATCTGAACTTGTATTTATCACTAGCTTTGTGTTGGTTTTTAGGAATTTTGTAAAAATTCACCGATCTGATAAAACCTTATCTCCTCATTTTAAACTTTGCTCAATTGATTCGGATGATTTGAAAATGTAACCGATCTAACAAAGAGATTTTGATAACGTCAAATGCTCAGAAATATTCGATCAGTGAAAAATAAAATTGTATAAAAGCATCCCATTCCCAAACGTTGCGTTGTAATAACAAACATGAGTTCTAAGGAAAAGGCTATTCATGAACAAGAAATTGTGGAAACAAATGATAGGGTCGATACATTGAATCTTGAGATAGATCCCAAAGATGAAAGGAAGTTCCTTATTAAGATGGACTTCAGATTGATGCCATTGTTTTGTATGATGTTTTTCTTTTCATATTTAACTAGAAGTAATTTGGGTAATGCTAAGATTGCTGGTTTAATGGAAGATCTTAATCTAACAGATTCTCAATTTTCAACTGCTAGTTCGGTATTATATTCCACTTATATAACAGCTCAAATTCCTGGTGTTTTATTGATGAAAAAATTCAAAGCTAGAGCTAATTGGTATTTGGGTTTGATGATGATTTGCTTTTCCTTAGTTACATTATTTGCAGTATTCCTCGATAATTTTGGAGGATTAATCACTCATAGAGTTTTGATAGGTTTATTTGAAGGTTCATTCTTTAGTTGTATGTCGGTTTATATTTCAGATTGTTATTTTCCTCATGAATTAGGTAAAAGATTTGCTTATCTTTTCTCAGCATCAGCTATATCTTCATCTTTTGGAGGCTTAATCGGTACTGGAATAACCAAAATCGAAGGAGGTCCTTTGGCTAAATGGAGATATTTATACTTAATTGAGGGGTTATTGAATTTCGTGGCAGCATTGGTGGTAATTTGGAAATTACCTCCCGATGCTTCAACTATATTTAAAACTGAAAAAGAACAAGAGATATTCAGAATCAGAGATATTAAAAGGAAGCATTTCATGGGTAATGAAGAATTTAGCTTCAGAAATGTCTTACAATCTTTCAAATCAGTTAAGACTTATACTTCAATTGTCATTCAATTTTGTCAAGATATTTGCATGTATGGTTTTACCACTTTTTTATCATCAATTTTGAAGCTTGGTTTAGGATTTGATAGTTTGCAAGCCCAATATTTAACCATACCGGTTTATGTGTTAGCCGGAATAATTCTCATCATCGCTGCTGCTTTGGCAGATAAGTGGAGAATAAGGGGTCCATTGATTGTATTTTTGAATTTGTTTTCAATTGCCGGATATTCGGTTATATTGGGGTGTAAGAATGATGCTTTGAAATATTTTGGATGCTTTTTAATAACTGTTTCATTATTCTCAAACGTAAGTTTGAATGAATCTTGGTTGGCTGTTAATAGTGCCCCTGCCGATAGAAGAGCCGCATCCATAGGAGCCAATCAAACTTTCGGAAATGCTGCTGGAATCATAGCTCCCTTAGTATATAGAGCTGCACCTTATACTTTAGGACATGCTTTCAGTTTAGGATGTATGGTAGTTGCAGCTTTGGTTGCATTGGGTCAACACTTTATGTTCAAAAGAATCAATGCAAAACGTCTCTCATTATTGGATACTGCTGAAGATGAAGAAATTGAAATTGCCAAAGGTGATTTATCAGTTACTTATAAATTTATTACTTGAGAACTTTTTAAACTGCATTTATATTATATCAGAAATTCTCATAGAAGGCTCTCGGAAAAATTTTTTATGGTTCAAATCCCACCATATCATTAAACTCTCACAAGATTTTCCCTATGTATTCCAATCAGCGGAATCAATTGGTCTCACTGTCAATATTCATTCCGCAGAGATGACTGACGTTTGTTTTTAAACATTAGGGGAATCCCATAAAATTATCGAATCTACCTTCCTTATCTTTCCAAATGGCTAGGTGATTTTTGTGCGGAAAAACTTTGAATTAACATATATTCACTGACCTTTCTTTTACTTTCAATTATAATTTTATATCAATATCCAATTCATGAATAGAGGGCGACGGGCACGATTTTGAATAAAACACTACTTTGATGGCTTTAAATCTCTTATTCATTGAAGAATTGTTAATTAATTAACGACGAAAACTTCGATAACGGAGAATCATGCGTGGTTCTCCACTGAAGTTTTTCCAATTCAGGTTGATTCCCTGAGCTTATCTCGAATAATTTCCCAACATGGATAGTTGTCCATATTGGACTTGTTTTTATTAAGGACTAGATCGAGGCTTCACATGAGATTAGATTAGAGATTATAAATACTTATCCTTATCTTTTAAAAAAATGTTCATATCACGGCGGTAAAAAAACTAGATAGTGGTGTTTCATATATAATTGGGACACTTTTCCATCACTAGTTACATTATAATTCAAGTTGAAGATATGACTAAAGTTAGTAGTTTTTACAGAGCGAGTTATACTCAGGCTATAATCATTGGGTTCTTATCATTTTTAGCCCCAGGTATCTTTTCGGCTATTCAAGGTTTAGGAGCTGGAGGTTTAAAAACTCCTACTACCGCCAATGCTGCCTATGCCTTAAGTGCTGGGGTCTTAGTTATAACAGCTCCTTTATCAGCAGTCGCAGCTAACAAATTCGGTTTGAAGCCAACTTTGATCTTTGGTACTTTAGGTTATGCGATCTATTCTGCCAGTTTATATGAGAATTCAAGATCTGGTAATCAATGGTTCCTTTTATTTGGAGCTGCATGTTCAGGCCTTACCGGTGGTCCATTTTGGACCGCAGAAGCTGCTGTAGCTGTTTCATATCCTGAAGAGAAATTGAGAGGAAGATTTATTGCAACTTGGCAATTTCTCAATAAATTCGGTACAATTATTGCTGGTGCTATCAGTTTATCTTTGAATATTAAAGGTAAAACTGGTGGTTCTGTATCGTTAGAAACTTATATTGTTTTATTTTCCCTTCAATGTCTTGCACCATTTGTAAGTTTGTTATTGTCACCACCTGAAAAGGTTATCCGTTCTGATGGAGAAAGAGTAAAAACCAATATAACTGATCAAACTGTTGGAGAAAGATTCAAAGATCTCTGGAGAGTTTTTACCAAAAAACAAATACTTTTCTTATCCCCTGGATTTTTAGGTGCTGTTTGGTTAGGTACCTGGCAAGGTAATTATACCGCTAAATACTTTTCTGTCAGAGCAAGATCTTTGTACTCTTTCGCAACCGCTATCCTTTGTATGTTTGTTGATTTCATTATGGGATGGTTATTAGATTTAAAATTTAGACGATCAAAGAAAGTTCAAATTTCCTGGTACGCTATTGTTACCATCATGACGGGCTACTACATTTATGCTTTTATAATGCAATCAAAATTCGACAAGAATGATCCAGGTGCAATGGATTGGAACGATCCAGGTTTTCTTCGTGCATATGTTCCATTCTTACTATTCCGAATTGGAGTTGAAGCTATATTCAATTGGGTTTATTATTGTTTGGGCTCAATCCCATTAACTCCTGCTGAAATTACTATTGGTGTGAGTCTTATCCGTTGTTGTGAGTCTTTGGGTCAATGCTTGTCATTCGCTGTAGGTGCTGTTAACAAATCTAATATGGTAAACTTAAGTGTTTCAGCAGCCATTTTCTTTGCTTGTGTACCTTCAGTGACTTATGCCACTACTTTATGTACTGATGAATCACCTTTAGTGGAAAATGAAGTTGATGTAAATGGTGATAATGAAAGCGAAATCGAAATTCATGTGGAAAAAGATGATTTGAAGAAGTCTAATGTTTCCGTTGATGTCTATCCAGTGGAGAATGAAAAGGCTTAAAGTGCTACAGTTGATAAATGAGATAAGTCGATCAATTTTCTTTCTCTTGATTTCCTCTCTTCCCTCCCTTTGCTTTTTCATGACATGTTTCATTTAAGCTTTTGAATGGAGTTTCTCCTTTACTTTTTTGGGGTGATTTTGCGTGATTCATTACCATGGCTTCTCATAATAAGTGTGGAACACTTTACACTCACGAGACAAAAAAAAAAGGTTTATCTACATCCAAACGGTAAGAAAGGTTCAAACTTGAGCGGTAGTGTCTGTCATGTACCAAACAGCTCAGTGAACTCTCGCTGTCTACTCTGGAGTTCTAAAATGTATGAATGATGGTCAACATGAAAGAAATAATTTGTTACGTTCTCCAACCGAGACATGGTCCAGAACTTCAAAAAGTGATCTATTCCGTTTTTTGGATCTGATCTCTTTTCAGATGATCCTTGCTGTGGTGATGGATTAGAAGGCTATGCCAGAGCTTCAAGTTCCATGGAAAATTTATGCAAATTTGGCCAAATTTATACCGTCGAACATGGTTTCACCCTATCACCGCAAGATTTGGTTTTCTTGATGGTGATGTTTTATGAAATTTTCAATAGGGAGCTAGTTCCAATGCATACAGAGACATTCAAATTCATCTGCTTTCATTGGAAATGGTTCTCGCATCTGTTTGCAGCTCTTGGTTTTTCAAAAATCTTTCGCAGCCATTTTTCACTATTTGCTCATAAGCAAAAATACCACAAAAATGATACAATGACCTAACCCTTGGTTTTACCGCGATAGTTGGGGATTTAGTTAACTTCTTTGGGCAATAATTTTGAACTTTTCGAAGTATTCGAGGATAGTATCTTAGTATCTCAACCGTTATATGATCTTCTGTCCGGCTTTAAATTCAAAATTCTACTAACGTAAGCCACATTCAGTTGAGTATTCGATGAATGATATCATTACGAACAAACCTTTTGTAAATGACGAATAATTAATTGAAATTACTTGAAAGAAAATCCTTGTTTTTCAAGCAAAATTTCGAAATTGAAGACTGAACATTTTGGTTATACGAATTAAGTTTTCAAATTCTCATCAGTCGAAGGTGAACACCCTGGGAAGATATGAAAGTTTCACAATGGAGCTTGAGAACTATCCAACTTTCGATAGCAATCAATTTCTCTGGCGATTATTATATTGTGACTACTATCATTTCCAAATTTTTTAGAGAAGTGGGGAAATTTCCCTCTTCAAGCACTCTTTTTAACCCGTCCAACATTTACCCAACATTTACGGTATTCAACAGGGCTGTAATAAACAATCGCAATTGTTTGAAAAAATATTATATTTTTATGTGTCTTGACCAACAAATACAAGAGGATAATACCCCATGATTTGACAGAAGATATGAGCCCCAATCAAACCCAGAAATCAGTAGATTTCCAGAGACATATCCGATTATAATGGAATTTTGGATTATAATGCGGAATAGAATACACGGATATCATATTTTTGGAACTAACTGAATTTTTGGGTGCGTGAGTGAGAATGAGATGAAGAAAAGGATTAAGCTCAGAAATTAGAGATAAATATTGTATCCTCGGCGCAGAATATTGAGTGCCATAATGTAAGAAAATTGTAATACAATTAGATTCCTGCGAATAAATGATATCAGTCGTCTTCGTAATTCGCGTGCATTTAGCTTGAGTGATAGGTTATCGACTATATCCACTTGAAAACAAATTGATCAGAGTGGAATATTGACTGAAAAATGATTGTTACGAAATTCAGGTTCATAGATAATCCTGAGACATATTGAATTTCATGTCAGAACTTAGCTTTGAAGTAGCTATTCACGATTACTCTATTAATTTCGTTTCCCCATACCTCTTCCCACATGAAAACAAGGTGAAAGCTTCCAAAATAAATCGAAGAATATCGAATAATCTTCGGTAAATCTGTTTGACTATATATTATTCCAACAGGCTGAAATGGTAATAGTACTTCAGTATATTCTGGAAGTAACAGTTTCAATAAGGAAGGGATTCCAAAGAATGTTCGCCATATGCAGCTAATGTTCGAACATTCAAGTTCTTGATAAAAATTTTTGCTCTATGTCAATTATGATGCGAACGCGACGTACCAATTTTTTACACAATTCCGGTGTTGCTTAAGTTTCCTTTTCATACGTTCACCGCACGTGTTTTAAGAATCGAGAAATTCGGGGGGTGTCTTCACATTAGGACATAGCTCGTAATGGCAATTTAAGTATATGTTCCATTTCAGGAAAAATCTTTGGAGATTAACCAAAGAACTGCATATGAAAGATCCTTTATTTTTGCACCTTATCGGCGTATCCAGGAATTATGACCTCAACACTCCATTCAAATACAGGACGTTGAATTCCGTTTCACGAAACTGTTCAAATAAAATTAATATCTGCAGGACTTACGCATCAACTTGAAGTATTTCCGCATTTATTCGATTCCTGTCAGAATTGAATTTATCGTGATGGTGAAAATGGGAACTAGAAAAGGAAGATCACCTACGCCTTTTAGCGATTCTCGGTCAATTAGTTCGTTTGTGTTAAAGGTCCATGAATTGCTTATTTCCTGTATTAACGTTATTTTTTCAATAGACAACCAGGTGAAGTTGAATGATAATCAAGTTGAATTTTAATTGATGTAGGGCTCCGTAGAAATTATTTTTCAGATGACGAGCATCATCATTTGGGCATCGTAACAAGCGAAATAATTATTCCAAAACAGGAAATTTCCGATATAAACCCGCACCTACTCACAAATGCATGGTGGTTGGTTGGAGCAGAGCTTATTTCTGTGAAGAGTTTTTGAAAAACTGGTATTTTAGTCAGTGGTTACACCTATGGTCGAAGCGTGGAAGATATCTTGGCTCTTATTCATCTCTGGACTGAATCTGAATAAAAGATTCATGAGACATAAACATTTTCGCAAAACAAAAAACTTGCTTTGTTTGATATGGTTATCAAACTGGTTACAATCCCAACAATGCTTTCTAAAACCATGACGGATTTCTTCAATTTGGAAGTTTACGAAGCTTGGTGATGTAATTCGTGCTATATCACGCGAAAAAAATACTGTCTTGTATTATGCTGTACTTGTATAATGCCGATCTTTAATTCATTAACACTACAAGAAATCCAAACTCTGTAACACATGAGTCTTTTGCCCGAACCAAAATCGCTCGTTATTATATCTGTAAAGTTTCCAGAATACCCCTCAAAGTCTGGTGGTATTCTATCGAAAAAATTGAAACGAAAATCGGACGTTTTAACTTTGATTTGCGGTTACCTATTTTTTCACAGTCTAAGCCCATAACTAAAGTTGCAAGAATTGCCGCATTTTGTTTTAATCATATGGGGCCCTATTGTTGAACTAGAATCGTTTTAATTCCACCTGTTACTCAATATTTTCTGGTCAGTAGAAAATGTTACTTGATTTGGAGTATAAGAGTCCCAGTTTGTAAAAAAACAATATTTTTTGACAAATTGTTTGACAAATGTGCATATAAGAATCTATTGTTAGAAAGCTCAGTTTCATTTCCACAAATTTAATTACTAAGGTATGAAATCCCTAAAATAACTTTCAACGACTTGCCAGCAGCAGCTATTCATTTGTATTGATCAAAAGGTTGGAAACGAACAATTAGCGCCATCAAATTTCAACCCGGTTGCAATCTTGTGATTCCTCTTATCAAACTTACAAATTCAAAGTAAGCAAATCGGTAAACTGTCTCTTGTGAGCCTTCTCACCTAATTCAAAGAATTCTGGCCAGTTTTCTTGTCAGATACAACAGAGTTCAAAATCATTTCATGCAAGGCAGAGTCATGGAATTCATTCTCGCAAGACCTGTAAACGAAGCTGCTAGATTCTCAATCGGTCAAAATTGGGCCCAAAGTGGTAAGTAGCTATAATTAGAGCAGTCGTAACCTCTGAGGGAATTCGAACAATGCAATAAAATAAATCAAATTTTATCTACTATAAATAGCATTGTGTCCGTGGATCCTTAGAGTCAATGAAGTTTTGTTTCCAGATCATAACATTTTTTTTGTTATGCTTGAAAACCAATGCAATTAACGTTGGTTCTTGTGAGATAGATAATGTCAATAGTGGATTCAATGTGGAATATTATAACGTATCATACCATGATTGTGGTCCAGGAAGTTCCTCGGATTCTCAGCTTTGCCCTGCTTACCTTCAAAATGACTTTGAAAGTGAACTATCACCATCTTTAACTATTGAAGGTGTCCGGAATCTCACATTCGAGTTTGCCCCAAGTGCAACTGATACAGCTCTTAATAGTGGTGATCCAGTTTACAAATCACTTTATGGAAAAATTGTCAACGTTCAAAGTTTTGGGTTAAGAATCACCGGTTATTTCTATGCCCCTCAATCAGGTGAGTACCAATTTACAATCACAGGTATTGATGACGCTGTTGTTTTCTATTTTGGGGGAAGAGAGGGCTATGACTGTTGTCAACCAATTTCCCAACTGGTTGGAAATACCCCTGCTATTGTGGCCTCATACCCGGCCGGTACAACAACTTATACTGTAACATTGGAAGAAGGGTATTATCCAATGAAATTACTTTATATCAATTGGGGTCATATCTCGCATTTACAATTTCAAGTTGTCTATCCAGACGGTACGGTGGTAACTTCTGACGATATGCCAGCCTCTGCTCCGCAAGAAAATTCACAGTGTGTTGTTCAAACTACCACCATTACATCAACTTGGACCGAAACATTTGGAACAACTTATACTGTAACACCAACTGGAACTGGTAACGTCACTGCAACTGTCATTGTTGACGTTCCTCCTATACCCACCACAACCATCACAAGCGGTTCAGTACCAACTAGTTACTTGACTACTATTACCACCGGTTCAGTTCCTGTTACTGAATATGTTGTCATCACTCCTACTCCTGATATTCCAACTACTACTATCACCAGTGGTTCAGTACCAACGAGTTACTTGACTACTATTACCACCGGTTCAGTTCCAGTTACTGAATATGTTGTCATCACTCCTACTCCTGATATTCCAACTACAACAATCACCAGTGGTTCAGTACCAACGAGT